AGAACCATCGATTGACTGCCTCTTGCACACCCCATATTTGGGATTGAGCCTGCAACCTGTGTATATGCCTCTACCGGGAATCGAATAGATGACCTCCTGGTTCCTGGGTCGATGCCCAAACACTGAGCCACATCCAGCCAGGTTCACATGTTATATTTTAACTAGAGGCCCAATGCACAGAATTCATGCAAGGGGCTCGGCCCTCCAAGCCCAGGCTGCCTTGGCCCTTGCAGCCCAGCTGCTTTTTGGCCCTGGCTGCCTCTTGGCCCCATGGCCCCGAACACTGGTCATTAGCCTTCTGGTCTAACTAGCATATTAGCTCTTTATTATATATGATGTTAAAATTAATTCCAAAGAAAGATATGCAACTTACATCTATTATATCTTCACTTGTTTATTTACTTTTTTTAAAAGTATATTTTATTGATTTTTACAGAGAGGAAGAGAGAGGGATAGAGAGCTAGAAACATCGATGAGAGAGAAACATCAATCAGCTGCCTCCTGCACACCCCCTAATGGGGATGTGCCCACAACCAAGATACATGCCCTTGACTGGAATCTAACCAGGGACCCTTCAGTCCGAAGGCCAACGCTCTATCCACTGAGTCAAACTGGTCAGGGCTGTTTATTTACTTTTTAATGTATTTATTGCCTGACAACCCCCCTCCCATTTCTGGAAATCATAAGCCCCTGAGAAAGTAGACACTCTGCCTTGTTTATTGCCAAATCCTCAATGCCTAGAACAGTGCTAGGCAAATAGTATTTGCTCAATATTTTATCTTTTTTTTTTTTTTTTTTTTTTTTTTGCTAAGAAAATGTATTCAGTTTTGTAAAACTACGATTGAAAGGAACTAAGTCAGGATGAAAAGAAATCAGGAACTTGACCAACTGAAAACTATAATAATAATCATGTTGATGAATATGGTGATATTTATTGAGCAATTATTATATGTTAGGCCACTGTTCTAATGGCGTAAATATATGGACCCATTAAATCCTTACATGACTCATTGAAGGTAGATTAAAAATATTTCCCCAAGTCAGCCAGTTGGTGAGTGGCATTCCAACTTGGACAGCTTAATTGGATTTTTCTGAGGCCTTGGCTACCCAAATTGTTTAGGAAGACAGGCCTCTGGATAATTGAACCCTGACTTTTATTTTTAACTATGTTTTTATTAATTTCAGAGAGGAAGGGAGATGGAGATATAGAAACATCAATGATGAGAATAATTGATGAGCTGCCTCCTGCATACCCCCTACTGGGGATCGAGCGTGCAGCCCAAGCATGTGCCCTTGACTGGAATCAAACCCAGGACCCTCTAGTCTGTAGGCCAACACTCTATCCACTGAGCCAAACCAGCTAGGTCTGAATCCTGACATTTGAGAAGCTGGCCTTGCTCCCATGCTGCACCTGATTTGTCAGAAGGGCCTAGGGAAAGGAATGAATCGCTGTGTTTAGGGCGCCCCCTGATGTTCAATTATGTTGAGGCTGCTTGGAAAACGGGCAGGGCTTTTTCAGTGGATGAGTGTATTTGGTCAAAGGTCAGGAACCACCTACTATACTTACATTCTTAGATAGGACCTTAAAAGTGATTAGATCAAGCTGACATTAGAAATGGGGAAACTAGCCGGGACCGGTTTGGCTCAATGGATAGAGCGTCGGCTTGGGGACTGAAGGGTCCCGGGTTCGATTCCAGTCAAGGACATGTACCTTGGTTACGGGCATATCCCCAGTAGGGGGTGTGCAGGAGGCAGCTGATCGATGACTCGCTCTCATGGATGTTTCTAACTCTCTATCTCTCTCCCTTCCTCTCTGTATAAAATCAATAAAAATATATATATAAAAAAAAGGAAAAAAAGAAAAAAGAAATGGGGAAACTAGCCAAGACTGGTTTGGGTCAGTGGATAGAGCCTCTGCCTGCGGACTGAAAGGTCCCAGGTTCGATTCCGGTCAGGGGCATGTACATGGTTGCGGGCACATCCCCGGTGTGGGGTGTGCAGGAGGCGGCTGGTCGATGATTCTCTCTCATCGACATTTCTGGCTCTCTATCTCTCTCCCTTCCTCTCTGTAAAAAATCAATAAAATATATTAAAAAAAAAAAAAAAAGAAAGAAAGAAAAAGAAATGGGGAAACTGGCGCCCAAAGAAGTCAAATGTCTCACCCATGGTCGGTCACTCAGTTGGTTAAATCTCAAACAGGAAAGAAGCTGTATTCCCTGACCCACACCTCCCATCAAGGTAAACTAAACTCTTAATTCCAGTCTCTTCACCCTTTTTATATTTACTTTTTTTTTTGAAAATTTTTAATATTCTTATTGACAGTATTACAAATGCCTCCTGTTTTCTCCCTTACCCTCCCCCCTCCCAGGTCTTCACCACCGTATTGTCCATCTCCATGGGCTATGCATATAAGTATATATAAGTAGGGGTGCATATAATCTTTCTGATTGGTGTCTTAGCGGTGGGGGGGTGGGGTGAGGTTAGAATATATTCCTAGAAGTGGGATCACTGGACCAGATGGCAGTTCCATTTTTAATTTTTTTAGGAAACTCCATACTGTTTTCCATAGTGGCTGCACCAATCTGCATTCCCACCAGCAGTGAACTAGTATTCCCTTTTCTCCACATCTTTAATAGCACTTGTTTGATGATAGCCATTCTGGCAGGTGTAAGGTGATCTCTCATTGTGCTTTAAATTTGCATTACTCTAAAGTAGGGGTGTCGAACTCAATCAGAGAAGGGGCAAAAATCCTAAAAGCCGCCTAAATCGCGGCCGATGTTTTACTGAACAGTCATAAACTGTCATTTGTTGATGGAAACGCAGCGGAGTGCAGTGATGACAGTGCGGTGCGGGCCACATTGCAAGGCCTGGCGGGACGGATTTGGCCCGCGGGCCTTGTGTTTGACACATGTGCTCTAAAGATTAGTGATTTTGAGCATTTTTTTCATATATCCATTGGCCATTTGTATGTTCTCTTTGGAGAAGTATCTATTCAGGTCCTCTGCCCTTAGATTGTCTTTCTTTTGTTCTATGAGTACTTTATATGTTTTGGAGATTAACCTCTTATCAGATGTATCATTGGCAAATAAGTTCTCTCATACAATGGATTCCCTTTTCATTTTGATGGTGGTTTATTTTGCTGTGCAGAAACTTTTTATTTTGATGTAGTCCTATTTGTTTATTTTTTCATTTCTCTTGCCCTAGGAGATGGATTAGTAAAATGTTTTGTGAGATGTCTGAGATTTTACTGCCTATGTTTTCTTCTAGGATATTTATGGTTTCATGGCTTACATTTAAATCTTTTTAAAAAAATATATTTTATTGATTTTTTTTAAGAGAGGAAGAGAGAGGGATAGTTAGAAACATCGATGAGAGAGAATCATTGATCAGCTGCCTCTTGCAAACCCCCTACTGGGGATGTGCCCGCAACCAAGGTGCATGCCCTTTGACCGGAATCGAACCCGGGACCTTTCAGTCCACAGGCCGACACTAGATCCATTGAGCCAAACCGGTTTTTCGGCTACATTTAAATCTTTTATCCATTTTGAGTTTATTCTTGTGTATGGTGTAATTGGTGGTCTAATCTCATCTTTTTGCCTGTGTCTGTCCAGCTTTCCCAACACCATTTGTTGAAGAGATTAGACTGTCTTTACTCCATTGTATGTTCTTGCCTCTTTTGTCAAATAATTGACCGTAATGGTGGTAAATTTCTAGGGTCTCTGATCTGTTCCATTGATCCGTGTCTGTTCTTGTGCCAATATGAGGCTGTTTTGATTATAATGACTTTGTAATATAATTTGATATCCGTCATTGTGATCCCTATTCCCCTCACAGAAGGTCAGACAGCCCCTCATCTTGGAAGTCTTCCTTGGTCTCTTATCACCAGGATCCTGTGATCCCTGACTTTCACATACAGGAAGCATCACTGGACACTTAAACATGGATGTCCCTGCATTGATACTTTGAACTTCTCTGTGTCAACAGCTAATTTCTAGGTAAATGACTGAGTTACAGGTGGGACTGTGAGAGAGACCTGAGAAGGTACTAAATAAAACGGGCACTTATCCAGGGCCAGGGCTGAGTTGAAATTCACTATGAACTAGGCAGCCTGAGGGCAAGAGAAGGGAGTGGATCCATCCTGCAAGAGCTAAGAAGAAATTTTAGAAAATTTGCATCTCTTCCTGGTTCTCTGGGATATGTAGAAATGTTCTTGGACTTCCTAGACTCTAGGACCTAGAGGAATAAGCTTTCGAAAGCCTACTCTATAAAGTAGAGAAGTGAGAGGTGTCAAGGTGAAAATGCCCACCCACCAGTGAAGTGGGGCTTGCTCTCCAGCACCTCAGTTGAGGTGTCCCCAGATGGCAGCGGAACAGCCAGTTCTCAGAGACAAGACACACACACACACACATACACACACACAAAAAAAGATCTAGAGTCCTAGCCGGTTCAGTGGACATTTGATTCTGGTCAAGAACACACTCCCCGTTGTGTGTGGGCTGGGACCCCAATTATTCTCATCATGGATGTTTCTATCTCTCTCACTCCATTCCTCTATGAAATAAATAAAAACATTAATTTTTTTTAAAGGCTCAGCCCCGCGCTATGGCCAAAGAGGTCCTCTTCCCCAGGAGAGAAATGAGTTTGACTATAATTTCGTGGACTCCAAAGGAGGAAAAAGGTCTCAGGCCACCGGCAGTGGAGTGTTTGGGTTGAGGACTGGTGCTCTGATGAACCCGCGGGGAGAAGGCTGCACCCCTCCCTTCTTCGTGTAAATGAAGTTAAAAGGGCATGTGACCTGGACGAGCCCGCATACCTCCGGCGCTCACGGAATCCCGGGAACAGAACCCGCAGCAGAACCTGGGAAACTGGACTGACCGACCCTCTCTGCCCCGCATCAACTCCAGAACCGGAAAAGCAGCTTCCCCTCGCTTCCCTTCCGCGCGCCGATGGGCGGAGCCGGATGTGGAAGGCACTGCGGGCGCCACTGGGAAATGTAGTCTTTGAGGCAAGGGCGTTGGAGAGGGGTCGGGCACGACAGAGTACTACGCTCATGGCCCCGTACATGTTTTGTGAACGTGGTTTGAAGAAGAAAAAGTGAAAGCCAGGCGCCACACTGGTTTTACTCCAGGGACCGGAGTAAGTTATCCCGCAGTGCTCCCTCGGAGGCCAATGGGAGCGCAGGCCAGCTGCGCGCTCCGGCCCAGCCGAGCATCCTGGGGGGCGTGGTCCCGCGCCGTGGCGGATTCTGGGTAATGTAGTCCCGCCGCGTGGCTGGAGTCGGTCCCCAGCTGGTGACTGCATTGACCCCTTGTTCTTCGGTGGCGCTGGTGAGTGAGGCTCCCGCGGCACTTTTGCCTCACCGTGCCCTTCCCTGCTCCGGAAGGTGGGTCTGAAAGGCTTGCTGGGGGCTGGGGCTGAGGATGGTGCTGTGGGCGGGCGAGGAGGGAGGGATGGGGGCGTGCTGTCGTGGCTCAGGCCGTGCGCTACCGGATGTCTTATTTGGGGGTGTGGGCGCGCGTCTCCGACGTGAGTGAAGCTCAACCTTGAAGCCCAGGGATGGTGGGTGCTGAGCTCCGGCCTAGGGTCCCTGTGGGTTTGACATGTTTGGCCTTGGCCGAAATAGGGGTATTGGAGTGGGAGGGGGTATCTCTCATGCCACAAGTCCCTGGGTTTTGAGGGGTTGAGTAAGTAGGCTCTGGGGGTCCTGTCATTCCCCAGGTGGTGGAGTGGGGCTGCCACTGGGGTTTTGGTGGATGGGGGCTGACGGTCTTACTTCGAGCTTTGCTGAGGTGGGGTGCGGGGCTAGCGGGCTTGGCCAAAGGTCCCTGGTTTGGACTAGGTGTTGGAATGGCCATTTTTTGCGTGATCTTAGGGTCTCAAATTGGCAGGTCATCCCTAGGTTCAGGCCTTGGAAGAAGTGGGGCTGGGGGCCCCTGGGCAAGTTTTTCAGAGATCCGGAGGGCTGTCACTGATCCCAGGAATCATGAATCCCCACATCTCTGGTGTGGCCAGGCTTTGGGACTTTAAGCTTTATTTTAACTTTTTATTACAGAAAATTTTAAGACGGAAGTAGATGAAACTTCATAGAACCATCACCTAGATTCAGTGCTTATCACCTCGTGACCCCTCTTGATTTCACCTCAGAATGACACACTGAGAGCCCTTATAATCCACCGTGGTTTCATATCACCCACAGCCAGATTCCATCCAGGCTCTGTCACTTTATAGCTGTGTCGCCTTGGTCAAGAGACTGATCTCACTTGTGCCTCAATTTTCTTATCTGTAAAATGAAGATAACAAATCCTTACTTCATTGTGTTGGGAAGGTAGAATGAGGTAAAGCTTGTACAGTGCCTGGAACAGTCTCTGGTATTTACACTGTGGCCAGATTATTATGGTCTCTGAATACGTAATAATCTGGCCACTCTGTGTGTGTGTGTGTGTGTGTGTGTGTGTGTGTGTGTGTGTGTAAAATTAGAGGCCTGGTGCATGAATTTGTGCATGGGTGGGGTCCAGCCAGCCTGGCCAGGAAGGGACATGGGCCGTTGGCTCTCCTGCCTACTGGTTGAACTACCTTTATTATATAGGATATACACTGAGTGGCCAGATTAGTATGCGTTCAGAGATTCTAAGAATCTGGCCACTCAGTGTATATGCTAAGTGCCTAGTAGGTGTTAACTTTCCTCATTAGAGCAAAAGTGAGAGGGGATCAGCTCAGGGTCAGTGCCAGTAGCATGTGTGAGCAGGCAGTGTGAGCAGCCCATAGTTCAGCTCTCTTCCCAGCAAGCTGCCCACCATCTTTTGTAATGTGACAGCTCTATTCTTTTTTTTTTTTTAATGAATTTTTATTGTTCATATTATTACAAATGTTCCTCATTCCCCCCCTTCCTACCCTCCATTGCTCTCCTCCACCAGGTTCCCACCCCACCCTCTGCCCTTTCCCCACCCCCATTGTCCTCATCCATAAGTGCACAGTTTATGTTCAGTCTCTTCCCACGCCCCCCTATCCCCTTTTCCCCTGAGAATCGTCAGTCCACTCCCCTACCATACCTCTGATTCTATTATATTCACCAGTTAATATTGTTCATCAGATTTTTTTTTAAACTCCCTTGGTTTTTAGATTCACTTGTTGATAGTTACGTATTTGTTGTTCATAGTTTTTATCTTTATTTACTTTCTCTTCCAAAAGAACCCCCTTCAGCAATTCATATAATTCGGGTTTGGTGGTGATGAACTCCTTTAGCTTTTTTTTATTAGTGAAGCTCTTTATCTGGCCTTCAATTCTGAGTGATAGCTTTGCTGGGTAGAGTATTTTTGGCTGTAGGTTCTTGCTATTCATCACCTTGAATATTTCTTGCCATTCCCGTCTGGCCTGCATGGTTTCTGTTGAGAAATCAGCTGACAATTGTATGGGTGCTCCTTTATAGGTAATTACCTGCTTTGCTCTTGCTGCTTTTAATATTCTTTGTCTTTTGCTCTTGGAATTTTAATTATGATGTGTTTCGGTGTGGTCTTCTTTGGATTCCTTTTGTTTGGAGTTCTGTGTGCTTCCTGGACTTGTAAGTCTAATTCCTTCACCAGGTGGGGGAAGTTTTCTGTCACAGTTTCTTTCAGTATGTTTTCAATATCTTGCTCTCTCTCATCTTCTGGGACCCCCATAATTCTGATGTTGGTTCGTTGAAGTTGTCCCAGAGGTTTCTTACATTATCTTCAACTTTCTGGATTCTCTTGCCTTCTTGCTTCTGCGAAGGAGTGTCTTCTGGCTCTTTATGTTCCAAATCTTTGACTTGATTTTTGCGATCTTCCATTCTGTTTTTAGGACTCTGTATAATATTTTTTATTTCAGACAATGTATTCTTTATTTCTTGTTGATCCCTTATTAGTTCTTGTTGATCCGTTATTAGTTCTTGTTGATCCCTTTTCATCTCCTCATAGGTCTTGTCGACCTTTTCTAGGAAATTCTTGAAAAACCTTATAAGCATGGTTTTGAACTCTATATCCAGTCTCTTCTTTTCCTCCATTTCTTTTGTTTGTGCTCTATTTCCTTATCTTGGCATTTTCACAGCTTCCCTTAGTTGGTAGGGTGGCTTTGTGTGCTAAGGTGTCCTATATGTTCCAGTGAGTCAGCCTCCCAGCTACCTGAGGTGGACAGTCTTGGTGTAGCCCTTTGTGGGTTGTGTGTGCAGTCTTGTTGTTAAGCCTTGCTTGTTGTTGGTATCACTGGGAAGCGTTGATCTCCAAGCCAATTGGCTATTAGGATCCGACAGCTCTATTCTTGATGCTTTTAAGGACAGTAAGCCCTACCCTGCTGGATCTTGAGGGTTTCCAGTGATGCTCTGTAATCTTTTTGTTCTTGACCTGCCCCCCTCCGTCTCCTGCTGCCCAGAGAGGACGTCCTAGTGGGCAAAGGGAGGATCTGGGCTCTGGCAGCCCAGCTTCAGGGAGGGTCCTACTTGCCTTTTGCATGTGAACTCCTGGTGGGTTTCCTTTGCTCACCTTTGATATCCAGTGATCAGAGCCCCAGCTGGTTTCCCCAGGAAACAAGGCCTGTGGTAAGAGTGACAGTTTTCACAGGGACTGTTCTTCAGACCTGGGGCCCTCATTCGTGACCTCTCAGTCCTTACCCCCCGCATTTCTTCTCTCAGCATTTGTGCAGACTGCTCACTTTAGAGCTCGTCTGCTTGTGAAGTTGTCAACATTCGGGGTTTTTTTTTTTCCATCCAATACTCTCACTTACTCTTTTTCCCTACTAGAGTGGTTTGCAGCAAATTGTCATAGCATTTCACCTTAAATACTTCAGTAGGTATGTCTAACACAGAAGAGCTTTTTAACTTAAGGGAATCACGATTGTTATATCCAACAGAATCAATAGTTCTTTCCCCGGTTGTTTAATTTTTTTCTTTGAACAGCCCTTGTCAGGAGTGGAAGAGGAAGACATTTCTGGAATCTAGCATGCTGGTTTGTTTTTTCCTTCTTTCCTCCCATTTCTTCTGATCTCCTTGATCTAGGTCAGTGGTTGGCAAACTCATTAGACAGCAGAGCCAAATATCAACAGTACAATGATTGAAATTTCTTTTGAGAGCCAAATCTTTTAAACTTCTTCAAAATAGACTCGCCCAGGCCATGGTATTTTGTGGAAGAGCCACATTCAAGTGGCCAAAGAGTCGCAAGTGGCTCGCAAGGCGCAGTTTGCTGACCACGGATCTAGGTTAATAGCTGCAGCTGCTACCAGTGGTGCAAGCTGGGTCTCGAGTTTTCCTTGCCTCTTCTTTCCAAACCTCCCTCCCTTTTGATTGGCTGTTGTATCTTCTCAGTTCTACCTAATCGGTACCCCTTAATTCCTCCTTCTTCCCTTTGTCTCTACTCCTGCACTACCCTAGCTTCCTGTCTCCTCTCCACCTTCTTGCCTGTCTCCCCTGCCCCTCCTCTTAAATTGGGCTTCTAAAGTATAAATGCGGTCATGCATTGCTTAGTGATGGGGGTATGTGCTGAGAAGTGTGCAGTCCGGAGATTTTGTCATTGTGTGAACATTATAGAGTGTACTTACACACATCTCGGTGGTGTACTAGTAAGCTTCCGTAAAGATGGGAAGTAAAAATGGAAGTTAGCAGAGGTGGAGGGTGAGGAGGGAGTTACTGTCTAATGGTTACAGAGTTTCAGTGTGGGGTGATGAACGAATTCTGGAGATGGATATCGGTGATGATTATACAACAATGTGAATATACTTAATTGTACAGAAATGTACATATAAAATAGTGCCTGACATAAAAACAGGCTCAGTGGTTGAGCATTGTCCTATGACCCAGGAGATCAAAGTTTAATTCAGTCAGGGCACATGCCTGGGCTCGATCCCCAGTCATGGGTGTACAGGAGACAGCCAATCAATGATCCTCTCTTATCACTGCTGTTTCTCCCTCTCTCTCCCTCTCACTTCCTCTCTGAAATCAGTAAAAATATTTAAAATTTAAAAATGATTTTTAAAAAAGTAAAATTTTGTTTTGTATATTTTATGATAATAATTTTAAAACCTACAGGTATCTACACTCCACCTATGCTCTTTTACCAGTAGGTGCCTATTCCTCCTGGGTAGTCCTCCCTGTGGCTTCCATTGTTGTGGCTTCCATTCTCCATTTGCTCACAGCCCTCTTCTCTGCTTCCTTTATCAAGACCAAGTTCTTTCTCATGAAATCTTTCTTATTCTTTTTTTAAAATATTTTTTTCTTTATTAAGGTATTACATATGTGACCTTATCCCTCCATGCCCCCCCTCGCTGATTCCCTCACCCTCCAAGTGTCTGTGTCCATTGGTTATGCTTATGTACATGCATACAAGTCCTTTGATTGACCTTTCCCCTTTTCCCCCACCCTGCCCTGCCTTCCTTCAGAGGTACTACCGTGTTTCCCCGAAAATAAGACCTAGTGCATGGAAAGATAAGACATCCCCTGAAAATAAGCCTAGCACAACTTTGGGAGAAAATATTAATATTAGACACTGTCTTATTTTCGAGGAAACAGGGTAGTATGAAATCTTCAGTGTGCCCTCCATTTTGAAAAAAATATTAAGGATATGAGTAGAACTGGACAAGGGGTTGAGAATGGAATTAGAAATTAGAAATAAATTTGTAGATTGAATGGCCAAGAAGGTTGGCCCTGAGCATCTATTGTGCGGGGCTGTAAGTTTGCTGTTATCCACATTTCACAGGTGAGAAAATTAAGGCATTAGTTGACAGCAAAGTTGGGCCCCAAACCCAAGCATTATGATTCAAGTCCCTGCTCTTCACTACTTCCTGCTTGTGCCTCTCAGGCCTGAGAAGGTTGAGAGGCCATGGGATTCAGGGGAAGGACTGAGTTGTAGTGTTGATGCCATTATTGAATGATATGAACTTAGTCACTTAGATGCTCCAGTATTTTGTTGTTGTTAATCCTCACCTGAGGATATTTTTCCATTGATTTTCAGAGAGACTGGAAAGGATGGGGAGAGATAGAGGAAAAAAAACATCGATGTGAGAGAGACACATCAATTGGTTGCCTCTGCACAAGCCCCGACTAGGACCGGGCATCAAGCCTGCAACCGAGGTATATGCCCTTGACCAGAATCGAATCCAGGACCCTTCAGTCTGAGGGCTGATGCTCCATCCACTGAACCAAACCAGCTAGGGCCTGGTGCTTCAATATTGATTCATTTGGTTATGCTCTTTAATTTTTTAAATTCTTAAAACTCATTAAGTCTTTTATGTTTTACTATTGCTTAATTTATATATATATATATATATATATATATATATATATATATATATATATATATATTTATGTTGTCTGTTCTTCTCTCTGCCTAGATTTAAAGTTTCTGAGAGTGTTCTTTACATTTACAGGGTGTCCCCCAAAAAATGTATATACACTTTAACAGCTGATAGCTCAACTTTAAAAATGAAATGCATTTTAATAAACACTGCCTTTATACAAAGTGTGTATATACATTTTGGGGGGATGCCCTATATTCTCCAAACAGTTCACGCAGGGTCTTGAATGTGTAGATTCACAAGTGCTGCCTGCTGGATAGCCACAGAGGTTTATAGGTTTTGGAATGCTGGCACCAAGGTCACAGTCAAAGGCAGGATTTAGATATCTCTCCTGCCTCCCCCAGGGTCGCTGACTCTCTGCCCCTTACCTTGCGTCACGGGCAAGGCTGGCTCCTTAGTGAGCAGGGCTGTGTTTTGTTTTACAGGCACACATGGCATTCAGGGATGTGGCTGTGGATTTCACCCAGGAAGAGTGGCTGCTGCTGAGCCCTGCTCAGAGGTCGCTGTACAGGGAGGTGATGCTGGAAAACTACAGCAACCTGGTTTCACTGGGTAAGCCTGGCATCTCTTTGGACCCCCATGCATGCTGCTGGGCATTTGAAGGTCTGCTTGAAGCAGCCATCTTGCCTTCTGACTTGGCCCTCGAGTCCATAACGTGCAGCCACTTTGCTTTCTTTCTCCGTGAGCAGGAATCCCATTTTCTAAACCAAAGCTCATCACCCAGCTGGAGCAAGGAAAGGAAACCTGGAGAGAGGAGAGAAAATGCCCACCAGCCACTTGTCCAGGTGAGTGGGGCACTGGGCAAATAGGTCATAGAGCTGCGTGTGGGCAGCTCGGGGGTGGGGGAGAGGAGGCATTGCTCAGGTGGAGGGAGGGAAGACCTGCTCCTCACCCCGCAGGCTGCTGTTTGCATTGCCTGGCACAGCCGCCTCCCTGCCAGACCTTCATCCCTACCCTGGGACGGGCCTTTCCTAGTGTGTCTTCCTCCCCCAGAAGCCTTCCTACCTTCTACTGAGTCTCCCTCTCAATCTCACTCATTCTCTTCATAGTCACAGACTTCTTTCTCTTTACTTTTTTTTTTTTTTTAAAGATCAAGCAAGAATGTGGGAAAATTCTGAGTGAACTAAAGAACTAAGGCAAGCCCAGGGAGAGGGAGGAAGGCTAAAAATCCAACCAAGAAATTGAATTCTTAAAAACCTGTGAGCCAGAAGTAGTTTTTACATTTTTAAATAGTTACATAAGTACATAATAGCCTCAATTTTATGCTTCTTACCCTCAAAGCTTAAAATTATTTGCTACCTGCCTGTTTAAGAAAAAGTTTGCTGACTTATGCTCTAAGGAATTACAATATATAGCCCTAACTTTTCCTATCCTACTTATTATGGCTACCACTTTATGTAAAAATGTAAGAACATTGCAATTGCATAGTTCCACTTACCCCTTTCCCCAACATTCTTTATTCTATAGCTCTTATTTGTATTACGCTTATATACATTGTAAATTTCCTAATATGATATGTTGTTTTTAAAAAAAATATATTTTATTGATTTTTTACAGAGAGGAAGGGAGAGGGAGAGGGATAGAGAGTTAGAAACATTGATGATAGAGAAACATTAATCAGCTGCCTCCTGCACACCCCCTACTTGGGATGTGCCCGCAACCAAGGTACATGCCCTTGACCAGAATTGAACCTGGGACCCTTGAGTCCCCAGGCTGATGCTCTATCCACTGAGCCAAATCGGTTAGGGCTCGATGTGTACTTTTTTTAATCAAGAAGAAATTATTTTATAAGCATTCAGATAATTTACCGTTTTCTATACTCTTCATTTTCTTTCTGGGGATCTGAGTTTCCACCTGGTATCCTTTCTCTTTAGCCTAAGTAACTTGTTTAACATTCCTTGTGCGGGTGGCACTGTATTTGCTTACACTTTGTTTTTCTGAATGTTGACATCTCCTACTTAAGAAGTATTATAAGAAGAAAATTTTTCTTTTTTATTGATTTCTGGGGAAGTCCACTTATATTAATAATAGAAATTATCAGGAATTGAACTGATCAGGAGCTCCAGCAAGGGGCATCTCTTAAGGCTATTTGTGTTGCCCATTGCATTATGGCACAAAGAAATCTTCTAACAAACGTTCATTAATGAGTGGGAAAACGATTTAGGCATCTCACACACAACTTCTTCTTACACTAGGAGTTCTCCAGTCTAGATGACTTCTCTCTCAATCTATCCCTTTGTCTTCAGAGGGAAATCGGGAAAGACGTGGCATTTCCACATGGGCCCTCTGATTAGAGATCTCTCAGTCCCCGAAAATACTTGTGGACCCAATTTACATAAATGTGGGCGGTTGTGAGTTAGGAGATGGTTGTAGTGAGGGGGGAGACTTGCATCTTGGCCCTGTTTACAGATCTGAAACTTGATTTTACAGTGTGACACAACCAATAGATTAGGTTCAGGAATGGATTTTCTGGATTGTAGTGGAAATTGGAATATGTTGTGATGGGCCGGAAAAGGATCATGTAAAGGAAGGTCTTGTTTGGGTAGCACTTAAGTTTTAAGTATTTTGAAGAACAGGGAATTGAGTCTCTCCGTCAGACTCGGCAGAATTACTTGGGTTGCCCTCCTGAGCCTCAGCTCTGCCTCTGCCTCTTCTCTCTGCAGGAGAGCCAGCGCCAGAGCTCCACCTGTGTGCTCCCTGCCCTCCGGGCTTCTCCGGTCAGAAGTTCCACGTGCGGCACATGCTGTGTAGTCACCCCCCGTGGATCTTCCCACGCTTGTGCGCAGAAAATCACGTCCAGCCAGGGGATCTGTGCCAGGGGGACCAGAGAAAGCAGCAACAAGCCTCTGATCCAAGTTGCTGGAGTGATAAAGCAGAAGGTCAAGGGACAGAAGGCACCAAGCCTTCATTTGGAAAGACAAAGAAAAGAGCTTTAACAGCATTATCCAAGCCACCCCAAAGGCAGCCAGTCAGCTCTAGGAATGGCATCAGAGGGGTGGAGACAGAGGCCACCCCGGCCCAGACGGAGAATCCGGAGGAAACAGACAAATTACTGCGGAGGATAGAAGTCTTGGGATTTGGAACAGTCAATTGTGGAGAATGTGGACTGGGCTTCAGCAAGATGACAAACCTGCTCAGTCACCAGAGGATACACTCAGGGGAGAAGCCATATGTGTGCGGGGTGTGTGAGAAGGGCTTTAGTCTAAAGAAGAGCCTTGCCAGGCACCAGAAGGCACACTCGGGGGAGAAACCTATCGTGTGCAGAGAGTGTGGACGAGGATTTAACCGGAAGTCAACACTCATCATACACGAGAGGACACACTCAGGTGAAAAGCCTTTTATGTGCGGTGAATGCGGGCGAGGCTTCAGTCAGAAGTCAAACCTCATCATACACCAGAGGACACACTCGGGGGAGAAGCCCTACGTGTGCCGGGAGTGCGGGAAAGGCTTCAGCCAGAAGTCAGCGGTCGTTAGACACCAGAGGACGCACTTGGAGGAGAAGACCATCGTGTGCGGTGATTGCGGACTAGGCTTCAGCGACAGGTCAAACCTCATCTCACACCAGAGGACGCACTCGGGGGAGAAGCCTTACGCCTGCAAGGAATGCGGGCGATGCTTCAGGCAGAGGACGACCCTTGTCAACCACCAGAGGACACACTCAAAGGAAAAGCCTTATGTGTGCGGCATGTGTGGGCACAGCTTTAGCCAGAATTCAACCCTCATCTCCCACAGGCGGACGCACACCGGGGAGAAGCCTTACGTATGTGGGGTGTGTGGGCGAGGCTTTAGCCTGAAGTCACACCTCAATCGACACCAGAACATACACTCAGGGGATAAGCCCATCGTGTGCAAGGACTGCGGGCGGGGCTTCAGCCAGCAATCCAATCTCATCAGACACCAGAGGACACACTCCGGGGAAAAGCCCATGGTGTGCGAGGAGTGCGGGCGAGGCTTCAGCCAGAAGTCAAACCTCATTGCACACCAGAGGACACACTCAGGGGAAAAGCCATACGTGTGCAGAGAGTGCGGGCGAGGCTTTAGTCACCAGGCAGGTCTCATCAGGCACAAGAGGAAACACTCGAGGGAGAAGCCCTACATGTGCAAGCAGTGTAGCCTAGGCTTTGGCAACAAGTCAGCTTTAATCGCCCATAAGTGGGTCCATTCAAAAGAGAAGCCCTGTGTATGCAGAGTGTGCGGCCAAGGCTTTATCCAAAAGTCATACCTCGTCTTACATCAGATGACACACCAGGAGGAGAAGCCTTAGGTGTGCGAGATGTGGGCGAGGCTCACCTCAGCAGACACAGGAGAATGAAGTCTCTCCACCACAAACTGCCACTCCAGATTGACAGACCTATTGAGCAATCAAAATGTCTGGGATGTGTTAACTCTTAGCAACCTTCTGACCTGTTACACGCTCTTTAAAAATGAAAATGCTGGTGAGAACTAAATCGAAATTTTTACACTTTGATGAAAGGAGGTAGAAAAATTCATTCCATAAGTGGTCAAAGGACATTTGGTTCATTTACTTTCTTCACACAAAGTCTTCATGTTTTGTGGCCTTTAATAAACTTTGCTTCTTTACAACTCTCTAAACTTAGCTGTGTATCTCACTTATTCATCTATAAAAATAGGGAATCAGGAGTAGTACAGATAATCTTGAATTCCTAAGTCCACTATTTTTACAAGAATTCAGTTCTTGCCCTGGCAGGTTTAGCTCAGTGGATAGAGTGTCAGCCTGCGGACTGAAGGGTCCCGGGTTCGATTCTGGTCAAGATCATGTACCTTGGTTGCAGGCACATCCCCAGTAGGGGGTGTGCAGGAGGCAGCTGATCGATTTCTCATCAATGTTTCTAACTCTATCCCTCTCCCTCCCTCTCTGTAAAAAAACAATAAAATATATATATTTTAAATATATATATATATATAAATATATATATATATAAATATATATATATATATATATATATATATTTTTTTTTTTTTAAAAGAATTCAATTCTTTGGAAGACATAGAGTCACTAGTATGTTCATTAGAAAGTCTAGTCCCTTACATAGGGAGAAACTTTAGGAGCTGTATTCAGAGATTTCAGGTGAGGGGAGGAAACCTTCCAGGTTTCTTCCAGAGAATATGGCTTCCTCTGGAGTCTACCTGCATCTGGAGCTGCCCTCTTCCTTCGGCTGCTGTGACAGTTGCATCTCCTCAGTTCTCGAATGTCTATTGTTGTCTTTGCTAAACCATCTCCTAGCCACCTTTCTTGCTTTTTGTCAGGCTTTTGTCCCTACTTCTCCCATTATGAAGCCTCCTTAATAATATAATACACTGACCCCAGCACTCCAATCCCGGGCGGTCTTTCCTCTTTGACCAAACAAATTAGTGTCAGAGCCTGGGGTCTCCCACCACACCCATCTCAGAGCACCACTCCCGGAAATAAAGTGCAGGTAGTGATAGCAACCACTTAACAAAGTCTGTTATTTATTGTGCTAAGTTATTTTATATTAATGAATATTCTTGTTATACACAGTAAAAAACAATTTAGGCACCCCACGATTCAATCACCAAAGACTGAAATAACACTCTGAAAAAAGGAGTAAGCCAAAATTAGGCATTCATGCAAGTACTTTATTTAAACCTTATTTGTCACCAAATTACAAGCCATAACAATAGGAATGTCCATGAATTCAACACAAGAAAAACACTTTTAATAAGCCAATCTGAGAAAGACAAATATCACATGATCTCACTTATTTGTGGAATCGAATGAACAAAATAATACCCAAAGCACAGAGACATGGAACAGACTGATATACCTTGATGTGAGGTTGGGGGTGGGGGGGTAGGAAGAGCTAAACCAAAGAACTTAGAGGCACAGCCCACGGACACAGGCAATAGGGTAATGAAGACGTGGGCGTGAGTAGGAACTGGAAAAAGGGAGGTAAAGGAGGGAGGAAATGGAAGTATAACAAGAAAAGATATTAAGAAAAGAAAAATTTTTAAATAAACTCAGTCTTTATATCATAAGTTGGAACCACCTACAAGACACATTAAGCAAAAGAACAAGATAGGACAGTGTGTAGTTCACTACTACTTGTCTCACAAGAGGAGAGATAATATATGTGTATATTATCTATATTTGTATTCATGCCTACTCTATAGACCTGCACATGCATACACTACACACACGGCTTATACAATCCTGTACTATTTCTGGAAAGACACAGTTGACGCTACCACTGGCTACCTCTGAGGAGGGGAAGTGGGTGGCTGAGGGTCAGGGATGGGAAGCAGACTTTTCACTACATGATACTTAACCCTTTGCACTCCGCTGTCCCCTCTCGGGGGACATCGGAATTCTAGCATATCACTCGGATGTCCCCTCTCAGGGGGGACATTGCAGTTTATTAGTGATTACGGGGAACTGAGTTAACTCAACGCACGTGTCCGCCGCAAAGTAGCGTCGAGTAGCTGGTAGCCAATGTCCAGAATGGTTCGGAGTGCAAAGGGTTAATACTTTTTAGCTTTGCATTTTGTGCAATTATTATCTATTGAAAAAGAAAATCTAAAACAAGCAGCAATAAGACATGCATCAAGTTCATCACCATCACATTAGGAAATACCCATGCTTACACTGTCACATAATTAAAAGACAAAAACATATGACTTCATCTTAACCACAGTTGCCAAACTCAAATACACATTTCAGAAGGAAACGAGCAAAGAACTGCCAGGGCTGGATGGTTTCTTTACGTGAAGCTCCGTGGAGGTCCTAGTGCCTAATAGTCATCAAGGCCAAGCTTAGCAGCGAAGAGCGAGGTGATGAGGTCATCCCCAATTGACAGAGCCAGGTCACGGGGGGTGTGGCCTCTAATATTCTTCTTTCGGATGCTTGCATTGCATCTGGGAAAGGAATGGGGGTGAAATGAAGGACGTAGGCACTTGGACCTGAACGCCTGGCTCTTCCCTGACTCGGAGGCCAGTCTGGGAGCCTCCTGGCCCCACCTTCCCAATTCTGTCCCCAAGAGGCCACCATGACCCTCAGCCTCAAGGGCGGCTCTTAAAAGGGTGAGTGAGACCTTTTGAGGGACTTTCTGACTTCATACGTTCAATTGCCAATCCTGGCCATTGCATCAAAGTCCTACAACTAAAGGTGTTTAAGAAGTGGGCAACATTTTATTTTTTTATTTTTTTTAATATATTTTATTGGCTTTTTTTTTTTTTACAGAGAGAAAGGAAGAGGGACAGAGAGCTAGAAACATCCATGAGAGAGAAGCATCGACTAGCTGCTTCCTGCACACCCCCCATTGGGGATATGCCCGCAACCAAGGTACATGCCCTTGACCGGAATCGAACCTGGGACACTTCCGACCCCAGGCGGACGCTCTATCCACTGAGACAAACCGGTTTCGGTGGAGGGCAACATTTTAATTGTGTGTTTAAAAGCTCCTAGTGGCCCTAGCTGGTTTGGTTCAGTGAATAGAGTGTCAGTCTGTAGACTGAAGGGTCCCGGGTTTGATTCTAGTTTAAGGGGCCATGCCCGGGTTACAGACGTGATCCCAGTAAGGGACATGCAGGAGGCAGCTGATCATTGATTCTCCCCCAGCATTGATGTTCCTATCTCTCTCTCTCTCCCTTCCTCTCTGAAACCAATAAAATATATATTTTTTAAAAGCTCCCAGTCCCAGAAGCCATGGTGAGTGGTGGCCCCCATTCACTGGACTAAGTGTATTAATTAGGAGATCTGGGGGAGATAATAGATCAGCTGAAGGACTTGTATACATGCATTTAAGTACAACCAATGGATACAAAACTTTGGGGAGTGTGGGTATGTATGGGAGGCGGGGAATGGTAAGATATGTGCACAAATAATAATTTAATTAAAAAAAAAAAAAAAAAGAGTAAAGACAGCCCTAACCGGTTTGGCTCTCTGAAATCACCCGAAGTCAGCAGGGGGAGCACGTGGCCCTCAGAGGTCTTCCCAAGCGGCCAGTGAACTTACCCTAGTAAAGCAGCGATACACTCCCTTCCTGCCATGCCAAGCAGAGTTGCTTCATGAAGAGCAGTATTTTGGTACCTGTTTGGAGAAAAAAAAATCACCCTGGCTAAAAAAACTGGACAGGGAACACATGACCACAGGGGCCTTGGTTTCACCCACTGCCCTATTTAACAAATTGATATAATCTCTTGAGTCTCCCCTCACTGCCGCTTCCCTTAGAGAAATACTGTGATGGTGGCTAAGCTGTGATGTTAGATAGAAAGTGAAACGTCTCTGGACACATTCATTTCTTATTATGTATTTTTAAAAATTTATCTGACACATTCATATTTTAAAGTGAGAAACCTCACAAAGATCTGGTTTGTAGGTGATTTAACAAATGCTAATAAATACTCTTTCAGTAAATTTCCTACCAGAGTTTATGGAACATATTAGACACAGTCTCCACTCTGGCTTGGACCTCTTGGGCATTGTCTACATCAGCGGTCACCAACCAGTGATCCATGAGGTCTGAAAGGTTGGTGACCACTGGTCTATATGATAACAACCTTTCAGAGCTGAAGCTATTCCTCTTTTAAAAATTTTTTTTTTTTATTTCAGAGAGGAAAGGAGAGGGAGAGAGAGATAGAAACATCAGTGATGAGAGAATCACTGATCAGCTGCCTCCTGCACGCCCCCTAATGGGAATCGAGCTGCAACCCAGGCATGTGCCCTGACCAGGAACTGAACCATGACCTCTGATTCAAAGGTAGACTCAACCACTGAGCCACACAGGCTGGGCGGAAGCTCCTATTCCTGTGTAGGAAACTGACTTCAGTGAGTTGGGTTGTAGGCTATGAAAATAAACGCCAATCTTAGAATCTACAAAACAAGCTCTAGAGGTGAGACAGAGCATATTTTGCTGCATGCCAGACTGTCTCTCCACCTTGCCTGGCCAGGTTTGGCCCAGAGAGAGAGCAGTGGATGCCTAAAATGAAGGATGGGGTGATACCTGCATCCTAGAACTCATGGAAGGATCCTGATCAGAGAGGGCAGGAGTGATGGTACGTACATGGGAGTCACAATTGGACTAGAAAAGGGATGAACAATGGAAGTTCTGCATTCTCCCGGGCCTGCTCTTTCCCCTGATACAACCGTTCTATCCTCTGCACCTGCAAATATACCTGCAGCCATCAATTTATCTCAAAGGAAAGAAAAATATGGTGGTCTCTACTCTGAAAAAGTTAAATGGTGCCCCCAGAAAAAAAATCAGGTAAGCAATTGCCATGCTCAGAGGGAAGTCTTCCAATTGTCTCTGTCTGAGAGAAGCTTCATCTACCCCAAAACTCCCCAGTTGACCAACTCCTCTCAAGTACACAGAATCCCACTCATTTAGCTTACTCCCCATTTTAATATGGATAGACAACAAGGGATCACAGGCATCTGAGAAATACCAAAACATGCAACATAAATCTTTAAAAGACAAAATCTAATTGGTATCCTAAGAATGATTGAAGACAATATCAGACAAAAACATGAAAACAAAACAAAACATGAGGCCATGAAGAAGAAACAATAAACACAGGGAAACAAAAAGAAAACAACCATGTGATGACAAAGGAAGAGACTGGAGTGATGCGCATACAAGCCAAGGGATGCCAAGGGTTGCTGGGGACTACAAGAAGCTACAAGGCAAGGATAATTCTTCCCTGAAGGCTTCTGAGAAAATATAACCTTTGACACCTTGATTTTAGCTTATGGTCTCTGGAACTTTATAAGAATAAATCTGTTGTTTTCAGTCCCCCCAAAAAGGGAAAAACAATAAGAACAAAAAGTAGCTCTTAGAAAGTAAACATATGATTATTGAAATCGAAAGTATTAAACAGGTGGATTAAGAAATTATCTTAAGAAAAGAGAAAAAGGGAGATAAAAATATGGGGGGAAATATATATATATGATATCATCAACTCAAGAGATCTACCATCAAACTAATAGGAGTTCTAGAAGGAGAGAACAAAAAAAAATGGAGAGATAAAAGAAATTTCTCTTGAGCTGAAGAAAAACATGACTTTTTAGACTAAAAGGACCAACTGGGTGAATGAAAAATTGCACATGAAAAAAAGACACCCTTGTGAAATTTCTGAACATCAAGGATAAATGCTTCTAGAAAGAATAGGTCACAAAGAAAAAATTTGCTGTAAAATTTTCATGGCTATATGGGATGCTAGAAAGTAAGAGAGCAAGGCTTTCTAAGATTTGAGGAAATTTTATTTTGAATATAAAGTAATAGTAGTCAAAGCATTAATCACGAGTGAAGACAACCCTAACCGTTTTGGCTCAATGGATAGAGCTGATGCCTGTGGACTGTAGGGTCCCAGGTTCGATTTCAGTCAAGGGCATGTACCTCAGTTGCAGGCATATCCCCAGTAGGGGTGTGCAGGAGGCAGCAGATCGATCAAGGATTCAGAACGTTATTTCTACACACCCTTTCTGAAGGAGTTACTTGAGGCCACACTTTATCCTGACAAAGGTCAAAAGCAAGAAAGAGGAAAATGTGAACAATAACTACAGATGAATTCCAATAAAATAAAAATCCCACAATCACCATTGTACAGCAGAGCTGAAAAGCTATCAGGCAAAATCCAAATAGGAAATGTACTCCAAGAAGAATGTCTCTAAGAACAACACTGAAAAAGTAAGAAGTGAGACAGGATTATGAATTTGGTAAAGCCATGTTCTTTTTCAAGCCTGAAAAAAACAAAGGCAATCATAAATTCAAGGAAAATCAAAGATACAAAAGTTATATGTTATTCATAGTTTATGAAAGAATATGAAATGCAACAGGATTTTGAACAATTGATGGTGTGTAAAGAGAATCAATTTGGCATTTCTGGTAAGAAAATTTTACTTTGACTGGCCTAGGGGTCATTATCTCGAATCCACAAAGAAGGAAATGTAATCACAACATATCTCTTAATTCTTCAACGAACAATATTTATATGGCTATTACAATACAATTGTTCTTTCTGCTTCTCAACTATTGAAATCAATTATTAGAATAAATTATAATTAGGACACCTAATCACAAGAAATATGTCTTCATTATGTTAACACGAGAAAATATAACTGATCAGCCTTGTAAAAATAATAATAGAAATAAAAGAGTAATATAAATTGTGAGATGGAAGGGGAAGAAGGGGTAGAGGTAAAGATAGGAAGCAGTAATATATGCATTAATATACAAGGCAGTCAAGAGATACCATTGAAAGATAATGGTCAAGGCCCTGCCAGGGTAGTTCAGTTGTTTAGAATATCACCTTGATATGCCAAGATTGTGGGTTTGATCCCTAGTCAGGGCACATACAAGACTCAACCAATGAATGCATACGTGAGTGGGACAATAAATCTCTCTCTCTCTCTCTCTCCTTCCCTCTTACCCTGTCTCTAAAATAAGTCTAAAAATGATAGCAATCAAAATATGAGTTTAGGAACATTATTTATAGCAGGAATTAATAAAAGAACCAAAAATAATAATAGAATTATTAAAACATTAATATGAAGATAGAAATAATCAGGTGGGGTCAGTGAAACAAATCATCATCTGGCATGGCAAGATGATAATACCTAACCATGATAAATCAGGAATTGGCAAGATGATAATACCTAACCATGATAAATCAGGAATTGGCAAGATGATAATACCTAACCATGATAAATCAGGAATTATCAGTTTAAGCATATTGTTTAGTGACTGATGTAGCTGACTCCCAGGAGAATTAAAAAATATTTCAATGTAGCTCTAGCAAGTTTGGCTCAGTGGATAGAGCATCGGCCTGGGGACTTGAAGGAGGGTCTGGGTTCAATTCTTATCAAGGGCACATGCCCAGATTGCAGGCTCAATCCTCAGTAGGGGGATGCAGGAGGCAGCCGATCAATGATTCTCTCTCATCAGTGATGTTTCTATCTTTCTCACCCTCTCCCTTACTCTCTGAAATAAAAGAAATATATATATCTAAACAACAACAAAATATCTCAATGCAGCTGTCCCTAGGAACAAGAAATGGGGATTAAGAAGTGAGGACATGATATTTCATTTGCATAATAATCTCCAGGTCCCTCCAAGCTATCTCAAAGAGTAATAGATTATTCTTTTTTACAGCTGCACAGTATTCTCTTGTGTAAATACACCACAGCTTTCCAGTTAGCGAAAGACAATATCACATGATCTCACTCATATTTGGAATCTAATGAACAAAATTAACTGATAAACAAAATAGTATCTGAGGCATGGAAACATGGAACAAACTCAGAGGGAAGAGGGCAGGGGGCAGGAAGAGATTAACCTAACAATGTATATGTATAGCTGCTTTGCCCATGAACACAGAAAATAGGGTGGTGAAGGCCTAGGGCAGGGTGGGAACTGGGTGGGGGGCACAATGGGGATAAAAGGGAGGACATCTGTAATACTTTCAACAAAAAGATAAAAAATAAATTCAGCAAAAAAAAAAAAGAAGGGCAGAGGAGGACTGCTAATCCCTTCTATAGGATTTGACTTTTCTATCCTGTGCAGGTCTTACTTTGATAAAATTAAAAAATTATTTGGCATATAAGAATTGTTTTCAATAAACAAATACAAATTTTTAAAATCTTTCTGCCAGCCCAGATGGTGTGGCTTAGTGGTTGAGCATAGACCCACAAACTAGGAAGTCACAGTTCAATTCCAGGTCAGGGCACATGCCCAGGTTGCAGACTTGATCCCCAGTAGGGAGTATGCAGGAGGTAGCGATCGATGATTCTCTCTCATCATTGAGGTTTCTCTCTCTTTCTCCCTTTCCCTTCCTCTCTCTGAAATCAATAAAAACATATTTTTAAAAATCTTTCTGCCAGACTAGTCATAAATAAGGAAATCTCACTTTGGAACAACCTCTCCAATAGTCTTCTGCACCTAAAGCAAGTCTCTTCCAGACTAAGTCTGTGTCTCTGGTCTCAGGGGGTAGGTTTGGGTCCTTTCCTGACCACATCTTCTATTCTTCTACCTGGCTTTATTATCTTTGCAACACTTATTCTCCAAAATTACTTATTCATTTGTATGTTTATTGTCTGTCTCCTCCACTATATTGTAAACTCCACAAGGGAAAGAATTTTGTCTTCATCACTGCTGTATCTCCATTACCTAGATGATGACTGGCACATAGTAGGTGCTCAAAAACCACTAGCGAAATGAACACATCCACAAAAAGAATGAACAGACAAACTGAAGGAAGAAGCATTGCCTCCAAGATTGAAGCCTATATGAGTTGCAAGAAGTTCAGGTAAGTATAACTATGACCTTCCCCATATAGATGTGGAAGGGTAATCCTCTGATTTGGGCACCAGAATCTGAACTGTCCACTTAAATAGATGCCTCTCCTTTTTCCAAAGTAATTGAAAAACTGAGTACTTTCACTGGTTTTTCACTGCAACAGCACTCTAAAAGCACCAAACACCCTGATGGTTCTGGATCTTATCTAGTTTTAAATCTTATCATGCACACGATTTGTTACTTAAATAACTTATTTGGCTAAGGCTCCTGGTGTCAAGCAAATCTGAATAGTGTTTTTCCTCCTATTTTCCCAGAGGCAATAGATGGAAGTGTCAACGCAATGTGCCTTTGCCAGAATTTCCAAAGGTCTGCCCATTGGTTCTATATAGTTTCTTCAAGCAACTAAGTTTTGGGGATCAGCCTTCATATTGTTGGTGGTGGTGGTGATGATATCATCATCATCATTATTTTTTAAAATCAGGTCAACATAACTGACAGCTCAGGTACAGGGGGAAATCCCCAGTGTCCAATAGCATTATGAGGCCATTTCCTTACCAAATGCTATGGTGGGCTGTCTCTTAAAAGCTCAATTCATATCAATACATTCCGGACGGATCAAGAGAATTCTCGTGCTTTCTGTTCTACAGTTTGTGGCCTTAAAAAAGATATTAGCTTGTAAAAACATGTAATAAATAACTTCAAGATGCAATGGGGCCCTAACCAGTTTGGCTTAGTGGATAGAGCGTTGGCCTGCAGACTGAAGAATCCTAGGTTCGATTCCAGTCAAGGGCATGTACATTGGTTGCGAGCACATCCCTAGTGGGGGGGGGGGTGCAGGAGGCAGCTGATCGATGTTTCTCTCTCATCAATGTTTCTATCTCTCTATACTTCTCCCTTTCTCTCTGTAAAAAAATCAATAAAATATATATTTTAAAAATGCAATGGATATTTAATTTTAAAGCGTGCCTTTAAGATCTATGTAAAACGTTTTTTGTACTAGTTCAATAGAAACTTATCTGGCCACTGGGTAAAGCTCGCAATAAAACTACTGGTCCGCAATGTGTTAAAAACAGTCTCTATATCTTCACTACTCGAACTATGGTACCTGGATCAGTGGCATCCTCCTGGATCAACTGTATATGCATCTTAACAAGATCTTTGATAGTTTCATATATGAAGTAAAATATGAGAAACTCTTTTTAAGTCCAGCTTCTTAGAATTTGATATATTAAAAGACTAGTATAACATGCCCTTTCTTAATTATGAAAACTCAGGCCTAGGAAGACTTGGTGATATCTATTAAGAATAATAGAATAGCCGAGACCAGTTTGGCTCAATGGATAGAGCGTCGGCTTGGGGACTGAAAGGTCCTAGGTTCGATTCCGGTCAAGGGCATGTACCTTGGTTGCGGGCATATCCCCAGTAGGGGGTGTGCAAGAGGCGGCTGATCGATGACTCTCTCTCATCGATGTTTCTAGCTCTCTATCTCTCTCCCTTCCTCTCTGTACAAAATCAATAAAATATATTTTTTTAAAAAAAGAATAATAGAATACAGCCAAAACCGGTTTGGCTCAGTGGATAGAGCATCCGTCTACGGACTGAAAGATCCCAGGTTCAATTCCGGTCAAGGGCATGTATTGATACATTGGTTATGGACACATCCCCAGTATGGGGTGTGCAAGAGGCAGCTGGTCGATGTTTCTCTCTCATCGATGTTTCTAGCTCTCTATCCCTCTCCCTTCTTCTCTGTAAAAAATCAATAAAATATATTTTTAAAAGAAAAAAAAAAAGAGTAATAGAATACAGCCAAAACCGATTTGGCTCAGTGGATAGAGCGTCAGCCTGCGGACTGAAAGGTCCCGGGTTCGATTCTGGTCAAGGGCATGTGCCTTAGTTGGGGGCACGTCCCCGGTGGGGGGGGTGCAGGAGGCAGCTGATCAATGATTCTCTCTCATCAATATTTCTAATTCTCTATCCCTCTCTCTTCCTCTCTGTAAAAAAATCAATAAAATATTTTTTAAAAGAATAATAGAATACAGAACTTTAACTTAAATTGTATAAACTAACACCTTTCACCCTGGGTTTCATTGTGCAGTCCATATTTCCCATTCAAAGCTTGCTATCATTTATTAATGTCCAATTATTAGGCTCTTCCTAGAAATTACAAATACATGGTCTCATTTTCTCCTCCAACTGATTCTATAACAATAAGTATTATTATCTCTATTTTATGGATAAAAAGGCCTAGCAAGAATATGCTCATTTTCTCTACATTTTGCTCTCTTCTGTCTATGTGCTCTCTCTCCAAGAGCGGAATTTCCAGTGCTCACCTTCTAAGTTTACACTTTTCATGAGGTCAATTTAATTACTTCTGCCTGGCTATCAGTTATTCCGATAATTTGTTCATCTACTCAACACACATTTGAATGCCAGCCTGATGTCCCCATTTGTGCCAGGGCTGGGGTCCTCTCTCTGGGAGCTCAGGATACCAGTTGTAAATGCAGGCAGAGGGGTACACAGCATGTGTTGGGAGCAGACAAAGGATGTCTCAGTCACACCAGTGACACCAATCTCCTCTGCATCTTTCAGCTTTCCTTCTTCCTAGTAGCATATGGCTTAACTCTTTGCCACTTCACCCCTCAAGTTCCTTGGGTCTTTATAAGACACTTACCATTTGAACTTAGATATGCTGATGGAGTCACCACATTTCCTAAGTAGATATATGATCGTCTTTCTTCACAACTATCCCCAGTCTGAGCAGAATGTGTATTCGATTTACAGTTTAGTTTTGGAAAATGATGAATTGTGACTCTGCCAATTCTAATTTTGTATACTGCTCATCCTACAACTTAACTCAAATATGGAAAGTGGGGGTGGGGGGTAGAAGATGGCATAGAGGGGATAAATGGTGGAAAAAATAAAATAAATATATGGAAGGTATGCTAGATGGAATATACCTCCTTTTCAGAACCCCATACTTCAGATTAGTTTGAGTTTGTTCCTCTGAATAGCGGTGTTCTCTCATCAGACCTTTTAGAACATGTTTTATACAATAGTTATACCTTGGTGTTCCTGGAATTCGTATTTTAAAGAAATTTTACTCTTAACCAACAAACAATTCAAACTATTTATTCAAATCTAAGCACCATAGTGGATTAAGATAGATTCTCTTTGTAAATCTTCAATTACCTAATACCATGGTCAGCAAACTGTGGCTCACGAGTCACATGTGGCTCTTTGGCCCCTTGAGTGTGGCTCTTTCACAAAATACCACGGCCTAAGCAAGTCTATTTTGAAGAAGTGGTGTTAGGAGAAGTTTAAGTTTAAAAAATTTGGCTCTCAAAAGAAATTTCAGTCATTGTACTGTTGATATTTGGCTCTATTGACTAATGAGTTTGCCGACCACTGGCCTAACAGAACAAATCTCCACAGCTGAACCTCCAAGAAGTAGACTGCGAGTTGCATTTTCTTCACCTGGAGCAGATCTGAGAAATTAATTGTCTGAAACTCCCATGAAGAAAGGCAACTACTGTCCAAAACAGACAACCCTCTTCTGTGTCCTTCTCCCAGCGAGACCTTGAGTCTGTTTCTGAAGTCTGCGAAGAGGTATCAGCTTCGGTGGAGGATGTGTACCTAGCCCTTTTCTTCCTGTTGAATATGAGTTTATTCTGATAGAAATGACACAAACATGGTAAACAGAAACACTAGGAAGGCCTCTGCTACCTGCCAACCTCCTTAATGGAAGTGACCTCATGTGGAAGCCAGCGGGCTGCTTCTCTCCACTAGCCAAATGTGCCTGGGAGGGAAGGCGCATTTCAATCCGGGGGGTGCTGAGGACAATTCCCTGGGCCTCTTCTCCAGGACAGCCAGGTCTCCGGCTGGCTTATACCTGGAGAGCAGTAGGATGAATGGAAACTTGAGGATGTGTTCTTGGATCCACAGAGATCCAGCTATGGGGCAGAGGGCAGGCTGACCTAGGCCTAAATACTTCAAATGAACAAATATAAACCAGACTTGCATAATTTGGCTTCCAGTGGAAAAATCTGCTTTCCTCCACTGGCATAAACTGAAAAGGAAGAGATCTCTGAGCTCTATTTAGGGGGAAGGCATTCAGTCTAGCACTCCTCCCTCCCCCCATGTGAGCTAAATTCTGCTACTAGTACCCAGGAGCACGCAGTAAGAATGGCAAAGGGCTATTATACATCCTCGAGACAGATGGCATAACCAGAGACTTAGCAGAAATACAATGAGATCACATGGATAAACAGCATGATGGGTTCGAATGGTGATAAAGCAAAAGTAAAAACTGAAGAACACCAAAGAAAACCAGTGAATCTGTTGCCCGTCTAAGATAGTTTCATCCTCTTAGCTGGGCTTTTCATAAAGCTAGGACTCATCAGACTTAAGCATCAGCTCAAAATGTGCTCAATATATTTTTGTATTAATCATAACATACTTAAATGCTATAAGAAAAGATTATCTGAATTATACAAATATAAACTATACCTTAACACAAAACAAGATAGTAGTATTTTTATTGTTAATGATGATACAGTGTGGAATAAAGAAGCTGACAGAGTATGATGAATGTGAACCCTAAGAAAATTTAAGAAAGTAAACTCCAGCCATCAAATGTTTACACCAGTGTGCCAAAATCCTGCTATAAAATAAAACTAAAAAGGGAGTCATGCCTACTGATATAGTATAGCTGTCTTTTTGGGCAAAGACTGATAAAAATGCACATCTAAAAATTAAGAGGGATATATTTTTAATAAAAACACTAGAAGAAATTTTGAAACAGAGAAAAACAGAAGCAAAACTACTGGACTTTTGTCCCCTATGCTGGCTTGAGACACTCAGCAGTATAATTCGATGACCTGGGCTTTGACCCTGTCTTAATAATTCAGAAGGCAGTAATGTTAGACACCTGGGATGCCCCTAGAGACGTCTAGTTAAACAGCTTGGTCAGCAGGATAGGCAATTAACAGGAAGGACCCGTACTCAAGGAATTTCCCACCCCAGGTTTCCTACTATTTGCAAGACACCAACAGGAACACAGGCTGGGAGAGGTCAAGAGGCAGGACAGCACCAAGACCAGGACAGTAGGTAACAAAGTCATCACACATGATGTGGTATCACTCTGTCCTGCTTCACAGCTGGGGAAACCAAGGCACCAGGAGATTATGTGTTGAGCTCAGATGGACCCATCTCCTCCCCAATGATGTTAACCTGTGAGACAAGTGCATATCATTTTCTTTGTGCATTAACTTCGTGGGTATATTCCTATGGGGCTTTCTTCTCTTACAATTCAGATCATGATGAAAGCATTGCTTAAAACCCTAAGCACTAAGAACCTGCCAGCCCCACAATAGTATAAATTAATGAATTAACAAAATGTACCATCCTTTGTAAAAGCTACTAAAATTTAGGCAATCCAAAGGTCCATTTTGAAGACTTCATTCTAACCAGATTTAGAAAATATGAGCTATTGAGTCTCTTACTAAGGCCACAATGGGTGCGGATGGTGCCTAAGTGGGTGAGATTGCACAGGGCGTGCAGGTAGCTGATCCTGCTGCAGCAGAGCTCAAGGTACTGGCTGGCTGCCGCATGGCGCCAGAACTCTCCTCCATTGTGTCTCACTTACGGTCCCCACGGCCGCTCGAGGTCTGCTCCTCTCTGCACGAGGACTGGGATCGCTTCATGGTGCCTATTGATCACAGCCACGGTAATAACGGGTCGGTCTTCATTGTCACTGCAGTTGGGATCTGCTCCCTGCAGCACACGGAAAAGGACAAGCCTGCCACAAAACCCTGCACTCAGGAGCATCTAATCACCTTCTTAGTCACAAACAAGCATCCTCGATGGAACTAAACAGCTTTAAGTCCACAGAGAAGGGAGTCAGGAACCCCGAGACCCAGCAAAGAACAGACAGAGCTGCCATGTCACTCGGGTGGTAAAACTTCTGTTTCCACATCGGAAGGAGTAGGTACCCAGACAAGCTTGCCTCTTTAGGAAACATGGGATCTCACAGACCAGGGATTCTGTCCATTTTTGTGCCTGTTATTTGGGCTCATATGCAGGTTTCTGCCTATTTCCTTTGTAATGAAAACTAGCAACAGGTAACAACAATTCATGTAAAGGTTTGGACTCGCCATTTAATCCATTCCCAGCATTAAAAAATTAACTGGCCCTGTGATAATCACAACATTGAACAGAACTTCCATCGGAAAGAGACAGAGATGAAACACAGGCTGGAACCCCCAGGGAGACTTGCTCTTCGGTTGCACTTACTTCATCAAGCAACTGTTCAATCACAGAGACTCTTCCTTCCCCTGTCGGTCCGACTTCCTTCAGCAGGAGCCTGTTTTCGGGCTGCAGCATTACAGAATGTGGTCATTTCCACTGCCACAAAATATCTTTACTGTCAAGTCCCTCTTACCCAGGCTCAGCCCTCGAGGTAAATGTCTCCTCTCCAGGGTTAAGTTCTGAGCCCCAGGGACAGGGGAGCATGAGCATGATCCTGTGTGTGTGTGTGTGTGTGTGTGTGTGTGTGTGTGTATGTGTGTGGTCTCCAACAGCCAGCAGCACTGATAAACACACCTAATGTACATTTTCCTGGTCTTTGAAATACTGCCTTGATGAAGGATAACACACTCACATTGTTTTATATTATTAAGGACAGGGATGCAAGGAGAAATCTCACCAAAACCAAGAAACACCACACTGGTTTTATTATGACTATTTCTAGGAAAAGCAACCGGGTGAATCCTAAAATTTACTTTGCATGCTGTTATAAAGTGCTCAAAGCCAGCCTAAGTAAGACAGCTCACAATACATGCTCACCTGAGGTGTGAGAGAACCAATAAAGTCGATCTCTTGCTTGGGGGGGAAATAACCTCTCATCTACCTATCATCAGAAATCTGAAGATTTTATTATCCTTATATTTTCAAAATGCAATGAAATTTATTTTTATATCATCTTTCCTTATAGAGAAAGGATTGCAAATGCTGATTACTGGAAGACTAAAGGAAGCATTCTAGGAAGCAGGAGACATTACCTCTAGTAGGTGTCTGCCACTGGATCCCACCCAAGGGTGACTGTGAGATAGTTCCGGGACCACCATTTACCTGTTTATAAAGTGGAAGTAATACCACACCTCCCTGGCTCCCTGGAAGACACGGGAATGAGGACACTGGCCAAGGCCTCTGAGCCTTTTGGAAGAAGATGCAAGGTTCACCCTGTGTCCTCCCAGTGAGCAGCTCAGAACAATGTGCTCTAATCCATCGGGGGAGGGGCAGGGGGCAGTTGTTTACACTGAATTCCATTCCGTATGAGGGAAAATGTACTAGAATGTCAACTTCATGAGGTCTGAGAACTTTAAGGCTTTTGTTTATTTTCAAGATCTAGAACTGCACCTAGAATAGATGTGCTCAAAAGTAATCACTGAATGAATGAACAGATGGTATAGCATCTGCCACTTGTCCCCTAAAAGAGAATGAGAAGATAAAGGCACATAACACTGGGGAATTCAGATCACGTATAGAATAAGTGGGTAGAATTTCCAAAATGGTAAAATTGTTATGAAGTTTATGGAATTCTATACTTCTGTTATACGTACTGACAATATTTCAAACTGGGAGAAGGTAGAGTACAAGGAATCACAAGCAATTAAGTTTTAAACAATTCTCAGGTATTCTTCCCACATTTATTAGGGTTTATGACAAGATGAAGAGCAGAGTCCCTGCCTCCAGAGGAATCACAATGCAAGCTAGGCGGCGGGTATGTGCGTCCGAGGATCCTGAGGGTCTGGCTTAACTGAAAGTTGGAGGGCAGGGCTGACTACAAGAAGCAAAGATACCCAGTGTCTCTTTCTGCAAAGCTCCCACTGAAATTATTTTAAACTCTACCAGCTGTGGAAACTCTAAAAGGATGCCATCAGAGGATCAGAAATGGTGAGGAATCCAGAGATGGAAAGTTGATGGGATCTGACAGACAAGGAACTCTAACCAAAGAAAAAACCCGGGTGAAAACCAGGGTGAGTGTGCTTTCTTTAGGGAGCCCTGCGCATGCTCAAAGTTAATCAACAAGGAGGGTAGAAGCTGAGTGCTGGGCCGCATCATGTGTATGTCATCAGAGGGCTTTCTTGTAAATATCTGAGGTGGCTGGTGTCCTCCTCTTCAATGCAAGGACAGGGGCTTTTGTTCTCTGCTTAAGCCCTGATAACTACTTTCCAGAGAGTGCATGATTTGCCTCACAGGCACTTCCTGGGAGCACTTGGGCGCAAGAAGGGCAGAGCCCCAACCTCTATGACAGACATAAGGAAGGGTCTGGAAGACTGCTCACACCGGAGTACTTTGTAGCACCACCCTCATCACCAGAGGAAATGCCGTCTTGTACTTTCTCCTGCCTCTGCCCACAACCCCCCAGGGAAGCCTGCCCCCACACATACCCATCCACCCACACAGAGACTCCAGACCCACCCATGCTGGGCACCCATGCCAGTTGCTTGTGAGAATCAAACTAGCTCTTCACCTGTTAATGTGACCAGACAACCAAGGGTCATCACATTTGAGACAAACCAAAAACAAGAACGCGAAAGATGGGCACACAGAACTGACACCAGAGGAAGAAGAGGTGATTCAGGACACTGATGAGAATTTTTAAATAATTCTAATTAATAATCTTGAGATATTTTAAAGAATTTCAAAAAAATCAATACAAATTGTCATGAAAAAAGGAACAAAAAATGAAAACAATTCTTCCATTGAACAAAAAATAAAAAAATAAAATAAAAAAATCTCAAAATAAAACATTAAGTAGACAGGCCAAAGAAGACATCTGTTAAGGACCAAGGGATACACATACTGTAAGCTGCTCCTTCCTTTCTTGAAATGTTCTGGTCTTGAAAGTCTTTGTCCTCTTGATTTTTTCAGTGGTATCGGAGGTGCTGTGGCAGTAGTCACTCACTGGAATGACAAAGAGTTGCGGATCAAAATGATGCCCCGGCCTCTCCCCCCAGGCACAGACCTAGAGTCTAGTGCCATGCCCCTCAAGAGGATAAAATAAATTTTGTAGAAATTTCTGTTTGAATACATTTGGTAGGAAGGATTCTGGTAGCCATTCATCTCAGTCCAAGACCAGAGAGGATGGGGGGAAGGAGAGGAATAGAAATGACTATAGTTTTTAAGCCCCAAAGAGCACTCCACCCCTGTTTATCTTCCCAAGCCTGTGAAAGACTTCAAAAGTCTCACCCCTGCCTTCAGGGAAGCCAGATAAATAAAATGGCTGGCAAATGAAAGTAAGACATATGGTTGGGCTGGCAAATTTTAAGCAATTCTGCCACCCTTGCCAAGTCTGTGTTCCTAGTCAATGGCTTTAAAATCAATGGAAGGAGCCTAGCTGGTTTGGCTAGGTGGATAGAACGTTGGCCTGCAGACTGAAGGGGCCCTGGTTTGATTCCGGTCAAGGCCACATGTGTGGGTTGTGGGCTCAATCACCAGTAGGGGGCGTGCAGGAGGCAGGCAATTAATGATCCTCTCTCATCATTGATGTTTCTATCTCTCTCCCTCTCCCTTCCTTTCTGAAATCAATAAAATATATTTACAAATAAATAAATAAATAAATAAATAATATCTATCATACCAATGTTAATAGTAATGTATTTACAAAAAATAATAAAATAAAATAAAATAAATGGAAGGGCACAACTTACCCAAGCTATACCTGCTGCCAAATATCCCGTGACCACCCTCGGTGACGGTGCTCAGAAAGTGGTCGCTGAAATTCATCGCCTTACTCATGTAAAAGTTCTGGCCAACAAAAACATGCAAGCACCATGACGATGAGAATGCCGTGTCCTAACACCTCCCTGCCCACCTGCTCCTCTTTCTGTCAATGACAGCTCTGTCCACTCCCGGACATCCTTTCTACAATTCCCTCACACCCAGGATGTTCTGATCATTCAGCCTCTTAAACAGGTCCTCAGTCTGGCCCCTCCTCTCGGTCATTACAACCTCATACCAGGATTATCACAATAGCCTCCCAACAAGTTCCTGCCAGCCCACCTTCCATGTGCTCAAAACGTTTCTGTGTCTTGGAATTAGGGACCTTGGAAGAAGTAAGTTGCTTAACTTCTCTGAGCCTTTCAGTTCCCTCACCCACAAAGTGTAAATATTAAGGTCTACCTCAAAGGCATGTTGTGAAAGTAAAATGAGGTGAAACAGATGTTTATAAAATGAGGATAGATAATGCATAGGCCAGACTTGAAATCCTGTATCCACCCTACCCTACCCTCACGTGGCTGCTGGTTCCTGCCACAGGGAACCACCTGCTACTTTCTAAACACAAACTGCAAGTTAAGAAAAAAACAGTGAACCTGGGCATATTTACTTCCCTTCTATTTGATAGATAGCATGTTGTAGATGCTATTGATGCCCACCCAGTCCCACCTAACTGGTCAGCTGCTGTGTTGGTTACTAACAGCTCACAGCTGACCCCCTTCTCCGGCCAACTGCCATCAGTAGTGGGGTGCTGCCTTCCCATAGAAAATTATGCCCCTCGCCTCCCTGCCTCAACTGGGGACAACTGTGTGGTGTCATTCACAATCCAGGGCTCCTCACGGATCCAGGTAAAGCCAGACATTACTTGCTCATTTAGCTCCTTCCCCAGCCTTGTCCTAAAGCCCTTCACTCCCCTTCTCCTGAAATACCTCCCTGACCCAAGCTCTGCTCTGGCCACACCAGAAACGTGGCATTTAGTGCTTTACTTGGTTTCAAAGCGCTTTCGTATGCATTATCCTCTTGGATATGCCCAGCCTCCCTTTGAGGTAGGCAGGGCCCATAAATCTATCTTAATTTTAAAGACATTGTTAACACCCTGCTGGTTAACAATAAATAGTAGTTCCTCTCTTTTTCCTTGCCTTCTTTATCCGTCTTCTCAATCCACTGATTCTTCTTTTGTATATTTTGACTTTTTGTCCAATAACACCAAAGCTGCCAATATCAATCAATATTTGTTACACACTTACAGGCTCTGCACCAATGCCCCAATCACCATATAGAGGGCAGATCAAAGGAGAGAGACATGGCCACAACACTTGGTTTCTCTTTTACAGGCAAACAGGTCATAGTACATATCAGCAAACAGTTTTGTCAGTCTTTTCCCAAAGCAGTTGTATCACAGACCTGCCATCAGATGTCAGTGAACAGAAATAAGCCTGAAAATCACAGGCCCAATCGGGTAGGTGACAATTCCTGTTCTCACTGTATCACTATGTGCCCTAATGCTTCTCTCAGGCTTAGCTCAGTTATTTACCTAATTCCATGAAAGTGTTGACCTACATTCAAGTTCCACGATATTTGAAACTTTTCCTTTCTATGAATTACACAGAAACATTTCAACAAGTCATAAGCCACAACTTACTAGTTCAGTCAATTCCCCAATAAATAACTTCTGAAGGTTTCACTCACCTTGTTTGAGACTTGAACATAATTCAGCCTGATGCTAACTTCATAGCCATCTTCATGGACAGTAGCAGAAAGAAGCTTTTAAAAAAGTAAGAGAGAGGAATCACAACTGTGGGTATGGAACTCAGTGCCCTGAGCTACAACAAAGAAATTCTGAGATGTTAAACTATAAATTTAATCAAATATTTAATTAACACAAAATAAGGCAAAAAAGATAAACAGAACAAAAACAGAACAAACAGCAAAATGGGTCAAACAAATCTAGCCATATTTATAATTTCATTAATTATAAATGAACTAAATAAATACTCCAATTAAAGAGCAGAGACTGCCCTGGCTGGTTTGGCTCAGTAGCTAGAGTGTGTCAGCCTGTGAACTGAAGGGTCCCCGGTTCGATTCTAGTCAAGGACACATGCCTAGGTTGCAGGCTTGGTCCTCATGGGGGCGCTGCAGGAGGCAGCCGATTGGTGATTCTCTCTCATCATTGAGGTTTCTATTTTTCTCCCTCTCCCTTCTTCTCTGAAATCAATAAAAATACATTTTTTTAAAAAGAGCAGAGTCTACCAGAATGTATAAGAAAGCAAAACCCAACTTTATACAAGAGATATGCTTTAAGTTTAATCAAGAAATATGGCTGGATGCCACCATCTTAGGAAAGGTGTCCTGGAGGCCAGGTTTTAGCAATCAAAGGTAATTCTATATACTAAAAGCATAATACGCAAATCAACCGAATGATGGGTCACTATGATACACACTGACCACTAGGGGGCAGACAGACGCTCAATGAAGGAGCTGCCCCCCAGTGGTCAGTGCACTCCCACAGGGGGAGCGCCATTCAGCCAGAAGCGGGGCTCATGCCTGGTGAGTGTATCAGCTGTGGCGGGAGCCTCTCCCACCTCCACTGCACGAAGGTGGTAAGGAACAAGTGGTCCCAGACTGCGAGAGCCCTGACTGTAAGAGGGATGTCCACCTGCTGGCTTAGGCCTGATCCCCCTGGGGACATTCCCTGATGAGTGTGAGAGGGCACAGGCCAGGCTGAGGGATCCCTCCCCTCCCCAATGTACTGGGCCTCTAGTGTATTATAGTTGAGCAGCTTTCTCTGTAAGCAGTGGGAGGGATTTAGTTCAAACCAGAGATCAGCAAGTGTTTTAAGGATCATATAGTAAATGTTCTAGGTTTTGTGGGCCATAGAGTCTCTGTCATGAATACTCAGCATTGCCATTGTAACACAAAAGCAGTTACAGAAAATAAGTAAATGAATGAGTCTAGCTGCAATCTGATAAAACTTTATTTATAAAATTGGATGGCAGGCTAGAATTGTCCCACAGGCCATAGTTTGCAGACCCCTGGATTAGGCCAAAAAAAAACTAATAAACTATCAAAATAGATGATCAAAGGAAATTGAGCAATACTTGACCATGAAATAGTTTCAATGTTGGCCTTTTAGTGTCAGAGAAGCAGACAGGCTGATTTTCAAAGGTTCCTCTAGTCTCATGACAGAGGAACAGGTCTTCTTACAAAATGTCTCTTTACAACAGCAGATAAAGGCCATGGTATTTGGGGTCTGACAGACCTACTTCAAAGCCTGAATCCCCCCGAGACTTAGCAGTATGGTTCTAGGGGAGTCACCAAACCTCTCTGAACCAGTGTCCCCAGGTGTCAGATAAGGTTTGTTCTGATTATCTACTGCAGTGTAAAAAGTCCCAGACTCAGTCACATCAAACAACTCCCATTTTTATAAGTTCATGGATTCCAATGGGGCCCAGCAGCAATGGCTTTTTTTGTTCCATACATCTGAGGCCTCAAAGACTCACATGGCTAGAGGTAGCTTCATGTTTGGGAACTGGAATAGCCTAAAGCCTCATCACTCATTGCCTGGCTCCTGAGCTGGGATGACTCTAGGATTGAAGTCAGCTGGAGCTGCAGACGGGTGCACCAAATGTGGCCACGCCTTGGGCCTGGGTTTTTCACAGCAAGAGGGCTGGGCTCCAAGGAGTTTTGAGATGAGCATGCAAAGCCATAGAAAGCCACGTGCATATATGACCACCACTTGGGACTCCCATAGCATCATTTCTTACATACTGTTGCCCAACAGTCACAAGCCCACCAGACTCAAGGTGAGAAGATATAGATTTCATCTTCTAAAGGGAAGACTGTTGAAGAATCTGTGGCCATGTTTTAAAAAACGGCCACAGTGCTAATACTCCTACCTTGCAGATTTGTTTTGAGAACTAGAGATGATAAACATGATATATATATTGTTATATGGTTAAATCTCTTAATTACTATTAATAATAGAGTGTAGAGTTTAAGAAGACAATTTGGCTGAATTAAACTATTCTGGGTCATTTAGCTCTGACCACCAGGATTTCCACAGCCTGTGAATGCTCACAATTCACTGTCTTAGGTCAGATGTCCAGGAGCAGACCCTAGGACAAGACTCAAGTGCAGGTGATTTATAAAGGCAGTGACTGCAAGGGAAAGATAGTAAGGAAATGTAGAAAGCAGGACAGGAAAGGGAAAGGAGCCAAGCAAAGGACAATTTCAGGTGAAGCCGGCGGAGGGTACTTCAGCCTGATCCCATGGGACACTGTGAGGTGGAAGTTCCACTCAAAGTCCACTCACCTTTCCCATCCTGGGTTCGGCAATCAAGGCCCGGAACTCAGAGTTGTTCTGAGTATAGGCCCTGAGGTGAGCAGAGATGTGATCCAACTGTTTTCTCCAGTATCCTAAGGAAGAAGAGAAACCCATCCACATGGTTAATTCTTCTGAGGCTAAGAAAGAAAATGCTGATGTGGATCATGTATTCTCAGAAAGGTTGTTTTCCTTTGTAACTTTGTGATGGTTTTTACTTGAACCTCAGCTATGTACTATAAGTTCCATTTTTGTTCCAAGATTCTTTTTACACACGATTAATTATAGAATATTCTAGAATCTCAAAAGACCATATTTTGATTTTTGTGCATTGGGTCTTTTTCATTTATTCTTATAAAATTATGTTTAAAGTAACCAACCATATTTGGTTGGAGTTTCATTCTATGCACCAAAGGGTTACGGGTTTGATTTCTAGTGATAGCACATATTTAGGTTGTGGATTAATCCCCATTTGGGGTTTGTACAGGGGACAAGCAATCAATGTTTCTCTCTCTCTCTCTCTCTCTTTCTCTCTCTCTCTCTGTCTCTTTCTTCTCTCTTCCTTTTCCTCTCTCTCAAAACATATCCTGGATGAGTATTAACATATGAGTATTAACATATATGTTTACATAACCTGTATATAAAATTTACAATTTGAGCTTTGGCAAATGTATACATCCCCATCAATATGCAGAACTCTTGAACATCTCAATTATAAAAGACAAGCAGCTGAATTTAAAAATTGAACAAGGATATGAATAGACATTTCTCCAGAGAAAAAATATAATGGCCAAGAAGCACATGAAAAGACAACATCATTACTCATCAGGGAAATATTAATTAAAAGCATAATGAGGGACCACGTCACCCTACTAGAATGGCGACAATGAAAATATAGTAAGTGTTGGCAAAGACGTAAGAAATCAGAACCCTCCTACAGTGCAAGCAGAATGTAAAATAGTGCAGCCACTTTGGAAAGTAGTATGGAAATGTTAAACATAATTTTATCATTTGGCGCAGCAATTGCACTCCTATGTATATACCCAAGAGAAATGAAAACATGTCCATAGAAAAACTTATACATAAATGTTCACAGCAGTATTATTCATAATAACCAAAAGGTGAACAAAATGCAAATATCCACCAACTGATAAACGAATCTACAAAATGTCATAAATGCTTATAATAGATTATTATTCAGCTATGAAAAGAATGAAAAACATGCCAAAATATGGATGAACCTTGAAAACATTATACTAGGTGAAAGAAGCCAGTCACAAAAGACCATATATTTATATAAAATGTCCAGAATACATAAATCCACAAGTATAGAAAATGGATTTATAGTTGCCAAGCACTTGGGAAAGGAGATGTGGGAAGTGACTGCTTAAAGAGAATATGCTTAATATGCTTTTATCACACTTAAATTACTTTGGTGTGATAAAAAGTTCTGGACATAGAGTGGTAAAGGTTGTATAATATTGCTAATGTACTAAAGCTTGCTGAATTGTACACTTTAAAATGGCTAAAAGGGTGAATTGTTATGTCAATGTTACCACAATAACATAAAGGAATAATAGCAAACAGCAATGACGACACAGGTTAACATTTCTGCCACAATAGAAGTCCATGTGTACTATTTAATTTATAGACTAGATGAGGGGACTGTGAGTCAAAACATCACAATACTAAATGTTAAAAGAAGAGCAGTTTAATTCAAATGAAAATTACTTTAAAAAAGTAAAATAACCAAACTTATTTCTTATATATAAAAATAAATCTAAAGGAAGAAAAATTGAGATTTTCTTTCTTTTTTTTTAGTTTCTTTATTGATTAAGGTATCACATATTTGTCTTTATTCCCCCATTCCCATCCCCAAGCCCTTCCCATGTATGTCCCCACCCATGAGATTTTCTTTCAAAGAAAGAGTGAGTTCTCTCCTGACAAGAAAGCATATTTTTTATCCTCACCTCTTCCTGGGCTGACGGCTGTAAGGAGAGGCTTATGGTCACTCATTTTCTCCTGTCTCTGCTGATGAGAAGCCATTTCCATTTCCTTTTTTGCCAGTAGGTTGCCAGATGGGTAGAACAGGCCAGCGGTCTGTGTACCTACATTCCTCCTAGACCCATCATGTTTGGGTAAAGGACCATTTACGGACTGCCAGGCAGATCGGGACTACAAGTGAGGCAGAAACATAAAATATTATAATTTAATTAATCCTTCAGATTACCCACAGAAAACAACTGTAATCAGAACTCAAATTGTATCTCAAAGAACAACAACAGTATTTTAATCTAAAAGAGGGTTTTCAGCCTTTGCCTCATCTTCCTTTCTTCTGTTTTCTCACCAACTCCTAGCCCCATCTCCTTAGCCACTTACTGTCTCAAATTCAGCAAATTAACTGATGTTCCCTGTTCTGCCCGAGGCCTGGAAGATATCTATCTTCCCAGCCCTACACTTTATTAAAGCACAGACTTTACTATCCATCCACACCCAACCTCTGGGCACCAATATTTCCTGTGAAATAGTCCCCTGTGTCTGGACCTGAGGATGTAAGAGAACCAACATGTAAGGTTATCTAGGTTGTGTACTGCATCTAAAGGAGTACTATTCACATAGTGGACATAATATATTTGCATATTTATTAGGATAATTTTTCTGGTGGATAGAAAATGTCTAACAAAATTAGTATATTATAATCAATTTCCAACAGATGGCACTCAAGTGTCTTCAGGAAAGAACACATTTGCACAAAGGTGTCATGTAGACTATTGGCAGTCCCAGAATGTATAACCCAATTTCGATTAAGAAGACTATGAATTTCCTAAAAATGAACACAAAGTTACTAAAAATGAACACAAAAGTTACTAAATATGTTAGCCTTCATGAAAGTCTAACACAAAGCTGGTGAGTGTTTAAGTCCTTCTGAAAATAACCTTGTGAAATTTTCCTCAAACCATGTCCACTTTTTATAAATGGAAAAAGCAATTTTATATGCGTGATCTAAGTTTCTAAAATATAAAAGAGCCTTGGGGAAAGTTCTTGATGTGCTACATAAGACATCCAAGAGAAGTACTTTCTATCTCATATATGTATTTTTTTTAAATATATTTTATTAATTTTGTACAGAGAGGAAGGGAAAGAGATAGAGAGTTAGAAACATCGATGAGAGAGAGTCATCGATTAGCTGCCTCTTGCACACCCCCTACTGGGGATATGCCCGCAACCAAGGTACATGCCCTTGACCAGAATCGAACCAGGGACCCTTCAGTCCCCAAGCCGACACTTTATCCATTGAGCCAAACCGGTTTCGGCTCATATATGTATTTTAAATCCACTTCTCCTAAAATATATTGTATCTATTGCCTTACAAATGCAATTAGATTTCAATCTATGGTAAATAAATGATATATACTTGATTTCTGAAGAAATCACTCGAGTGTTTAAAACCCAAATTACTTAATTTTATTTCCACATCTAGTTGAAAAATCCATGTGAAAGGTCTAAATGTTTTGGCCCTCTTTCCCTGGCTTGATTCATAGATTAGTATACACACATTCACATACAACCTCTTCCCAAGCACCAGTTCTTACAATGGAGGCCTCACCTCAGCAAAAGGGCCCTGTTCTCCAGCAGCTAGAGCCCGGCTGTTCTCCGCACTAAGTTTTGCCAAGGACTTCAGATATATACCACAGGAGCCACAGAATCGGGCAGACGGGTGATTGTTGGCCCCACATTTGAGGCAAACAGAGAAGCAGGTAGCAACGACAGGCTAGAGGACAGAAAATATTTTTATAATTTCATATATATTTAGGGTCATACTTTTCCCATATAAATTATTTCCATACCAGTCATCAAAATAATACATGCCCATACCCTCAATCCCTGCAATTCTACCTTTTAGAATAAATGTGTATTTTATCCCATGGATGGACAAGTACACAAAGAAGTATATTCAAGACCATTCCCTGAAGGATTGTGATTTTAGAGAAAATAACTGGAAACAATCTAAATGTCCAGCAAGTGAGTATGGCCTAACTATATCATGGTACATACAGATAGCGAAATGCTATAAAACTGCTGAAAAGAATGAGGAGGTTACTATCAATAACTAGACATATTGCGAGATGCAATATATCCAAACTACCACCAGTTTAGTTATTAATGCATTAAGGCTGAAAGAACAGCTCACAAACTAGGTAACAATGGTTGCTTTTAGAGAGAGGAGATGTGGGACTGGGATGAGAAGAAAGACTAACCCTTCACTAAATCTTTTGTATTATTTACATGAAACATTCAGATAAATAACTTTGAGTGTTTTATTAAACAGGAAGGCAGACAATTCACAAAAGAAAAAATATCAACAGTCAACAAATGAGTGAAAAAGTTTAACCTCAAAAAAATACAAATTAAAACAGCAATGAGAGACCATTCTCAAATCAAGAGAATTAATTATCCTTGTCTCCAGATTCTTAGGTGCTAGGACCCAAATCCCAAAATGTGATTTCAGCAAAGTCGTGGAAGAGGGGGAACCTGGCTCTTTCTAGGGTTGGGGTGAGGGTCTCTGCATCAAGAAGCTCAGTGTTCAAATACCCACCGTGGCTCCACACCAGTCACAGAAGAAAGCACCCGGGCGGTTCTGGCGGCCGCATTTGGAGCAGGAAATGGTCTCCCCTTTCCCAGGACCACCTTTATCTCCACTACACCTGGACTAGTGAACACAATGGCATTGACAGGCAGGTTAATACTATTTTCTCCAATCCTCCCACAGAAAAGAAAAAGCAGCTTATCAATGTTTCTCTCTCATCAATATTTCTAACTCTCTATCCCTCTCCCTTTATCTCTGAAAAAAATCAATAAAATATATTTTGAAAGAAAATAAATTATAATAAAAAATATAATAACACTGAACTGAATTATAATAAAAATACAATTGTTATTCATTTCTGAGATGTTGCTAAATAAATTCTTAAACATGAATTTAGGTAGTATCCAGAAATCTTACTACTCAGCATTTACCCAAGAGAAATGAAAACTATGTCCATACAAAATTTTGTATGTAAATGTTCACAGCAGCATTATTTATAATAGCCTGACACCAGAAATGAACACAAGTGCCCATTTTTTGGTTAATAGTTGTATTTATATCCATTCTGTGGAATAACATGCAATGATCAAAGTTATTAATACATATAACAACTTGAATGAACCTTAAAAAAATTGTGCTAAGTGAAGGAAATAAAATACAAAAAAAAAAAAAACAACACAAAAAACTACATACTTCTGTAAAAGGTAAAACCAATGTCAAAAGAGATCAGAATTTTCTGGGGTTAGTGATCATGGAGAACCTCAAATGCAAAAGGACATGAAAAAACTTTTTAGGGTAATGAAATTGTTGTGTAACTTCATTGTGGTGGTAGTTTAAATGATTATGTATAATTACTGATATTTATTAACCTGTATAAAGTGAGTGAGTTTTATTGAATATAAATTATGCCTCAATAAAGATTGTAACAAAAAGAGTTCCTTCAAATCAGCTAATATTATATTGTCAGCAGTTAGACACAACCTTAAAAGACATCTTGTTCAACTCTCCTTTTATGGAGTTAACAGTGTCTCCTACAAAGAGATATGTTGGAGTCCTAACCCCCATACTTCAGAATATGCACTTATTTGAAAATAGTAACTTCATAGAGGTAATCAAGTTAATATGAGGTCATTATGGTGGTCCAGAGACAGACACACATAGGGGGAAGAAAATGTGAAGACACACAGCGAGAAGGTGGCCATGTGGCTGAAGTGCTTCGTGTACTGGCCAAGGGAAGATTGATGCTAGGCGAGAGGCATGAACAGCACCTTCCCTAGAGCTTCAGAAGAAGTGTGATAACACCTTGATTTTGGACTTCTGTCCTCCAGAAATGTGAGATGATAAATTTCTGTTGTTTTAAGCCACTCAGTTTGTGGTGCTTTGTTTTTAGTAACCCCAGAAAAACCAACACACCCTCATTTGATACTAACTATATTGATCACAGTAATCATCACTCATTTGTCCAGTTTCCCAAGGAATCTCTCTGACATGAAAACAAATCCCCCAAAGTGTCAAGTATTTTCCTTCTAAGTTGGCTAGGAAATAGCGACTTCTCTTTGGTTATTGTTAAACCAGGACAAGAGTCACCTGGAAGTAATTTTTAAAAACTCATCTTCATCAGAAATAGTTTATAAACATAAAACAGATCATCTAAACTAAACCCATTTGCTCTACTTAAGTTGCATATACTCCTATTCCCCTATTCCTTCATCTTAAACACTCGAAATAAGCTGGTAGGAAACTCAGAAGTGGGTGCCGGCAATGTTCTCAATTTCAAAACATAGCATGGTATAGTTAAATACAGACATACCTGACTGTAAATGAAAGTGAATGGGTCCATTAACCAATGGCTACTGCCAGCCTTCCATGCAAACTTAGTAAATAAAATTGTAAGAAATTGTAGGTTTTATTGAATCCCCATGAAGACTTTGAAAAAAAAATTTGTGTTGGTAAATATATAGAGTTCTCTCCATATTTAGAGACATTGCTCCTGCCCTGTAGATTATATTTATTCATTATCATTAACGCTGAACCTTAGCAGCCACTAAATATAGGACAGGCACATACCTCCTTTGATGAAGGCAGGGTGCTCTCACAGGTGAGGCAGTATTTCAGGTAAGGATGATTCCCTGTGCCACAGGTGCGACAGATTACTTTCTCCTTGAAAACAGAGAATAAGAAATTCATGTTCCTCTGAGCAAAGAAATGTGCAAATAAAGCAAACAAAGGCATGAAGACAATTTAAGAACAAGATTAGAAGTCAACAGTAATTGCAATGTTGAAGTTTAAATATATGAAGCAAAAAGTTGTCTAAGTAGGCTGCCATGCAATTTGTCCTCTAAATCCATATTCAGAGAACACATTTCTCTTTTCTTTTCTTTTTTTAAATATATTTTATTGTTTTTTTACAGAGAGGAAGGGAGAGAGGTAGAGAGCTAGAAACATCGATGAGAGAGAAACACTGACCAGCTGCCTCTTGCACACCCCCTACCGGGGATGTGCCCACAACCAATGTACATGCCTCCGACTGGAATCGAACCTGGGACCTTTCAGTCCGCAGACCGACGCTCTTCCACTGAGCCAAACCGGTTTCGGCAGAGAACACATTTCTATGTATTCTTTTTGTTTGTTTAGTTTCTCTCTCTCTCTCTTTTTTTTTTTTTTTCTTAGTCCCTCCACCACCACTGATATCTGTCCATATGCTTCTATGATTATAACTATTTTGCTTGTAAGTTCATTTTGGTCATTAGATTCCACATTTTAATGTTAATTCTTCCTATCCATGAACACGGTATATGCTTCCAGTTTTTTGTATTTTCTTCAATTTTTTTCTTCAGTGTCTTATAATTTTCTAAGTACAGGTCTTTTGCATCCTTAATTAAATTTATTCCTAGGTATCTTATTCTTTTTGAAACAATTGTGAATGGAATTTTTTTCTTAGTTTCCCTTTCTGATACTTCATTATTGGTGTATGAAACGCCAACTGATTTCTAGATATTTATTTTGTATTCTGCTACTTTCCTGAATTCATTTATCCATTCTAGATTTTTTTTGTGTGTGGAATTTTTAGGATTCTCTATGTACTATATCATGTCATCTGCAAATAATGACTGTTTTACTTCCTCCTTTTCAATTTGTGTGCCTTTTATTTCTTCTTGTCTCCATATTTAGAAACATTGTTCTCTGTTAATCATGAGAGGCTTGGTAATAAGAGTGGTGAAAGCAGACATTCCAGTCTTGTTCCTATTCTTAAGGGAAATGCTTGTAGTTTTTGCCTATTTTTATTTTTTAAATTTTTTTATAGAGCTTCTTCACAGCCTGTTTGCTCTGGTGTTGGATGGCCTTGATACCACAGTGAACAGTGTATTGTTATCTCTATCTATCTATCTATCTATCTATCTATCTATATATATATGTATGTGTATATTATTGATTTTTTTTTTTTTTTTTTTTACACAGAGAGGAAGGGAGAGGGCTAGAGAGTTAGAAACATCGATGAGAGAGAAACATCCATCAGCTGCCTCCTGCACACACCCCACTGGGTATGCGTCCGCAACCAAGGTACATGCCCTTGACCAGAATCGAACCTGGGATCCTTGAGTCTGCAGGCCAACGCTCTATCCACTGAGTCAAACCGGTTAAGGCAGTTTTTGCCTATTGAGTAAGATGCTGGCCCTGAGTCTGTCATATATGGCCTTTATTATAGTGAGGTATGATGCCTCTATTCCCACTTTGCTAAGAATTTTTTGTTTATTTGTTTGTTTGTTTTTGTTAGTCCTCACCCGAGGATATTTTTCCATTGATTTTTAGGAAGAGTAGAAGAGGAAAAGACAGAAACATCAATGTAGAGAAACACATCGATTGGTTGGCTTTTGCACAAGTTCCAACCAGGACCCGAGGCAGGGAGGAACCTGCAACCAAAGTATGTGCCCTTGACTGGAATCGAACCGGGACCCTTTGGTCTGCAAGCTGATGCTCTATCCACTGAGCCAAACCGACTAGGACTTGTTGAGAGTTTTTACCATTAATGGTTGCTGAGTATGTATTCTTCTTAATATTATAGATCCCATTGGGAAGTTAAACTTTTGGACAACATGCCTTTCCAAAAATTCGAGTGGATTTTGTTCACAGATATTGGCTTATCACTTGTTAGCCAATTCCATCAACTGAAGAAAGACAATTGCTCAAGCATTACTTTCTATATATTTCATTCATGTTTTTACAAAGTTGCATTTCATTACCTTCATGTGGAAGCTGGCGGGTGGTTGCATCTGCAGAGCAAGAGGAGCCTCACACACCACACAGAAGGAAGTGTTCATGGGCACCATGCTTCCACATTCTGCACACAAGCCCAACTGGGCAAAGAAAGAGGTCAAGTTTGTCATGGGATGCAAAACTGAAGGTATAAGTAGATCATAGAATGTACGGTTTAATTTGCTTTTGTAAAAACATTTTTAAAGTAATTACCTCTATTCTTATTTTTTCATATTAAGATTAAAACCATGTTTATTTTAGAAAACAGAAAGAAAGAAGAAAGAAAGAAAGAAAGAAAGAAAGAAAGAAAGAAAGAAAGAAAGAAAGAAAGAAAGAAAGAAAGAAAGAAAAAAAGCGAGCTGAAACCGGTTTGGCTCAGTGGATAGAGCGTCGGCCTACGGACTGAAGGGTCCCAGGTTCGATTCCAGTCAAGAGCATGTACCTTGGTTGTGGGCACATCCCCAATGTGGGGTGTGCAAGAGGCAGCTAATCGATGTTTCTCTCTCACCGATGTTTCTAATTCTCTGTCCCTCTCTCTTCCTCTCTGTAAAAAATCAATAAAATATTTTTTTAAAAGAATGAATGTGTTTTGGTAAAGGTATTAATTTTTAGTAAGCCAAGTATGTTTTCTAACTAACTGCAAACTTAGTAGTAAGATAATATAAATTATTATCTATACTTGGCTAAAACTTTTAAATTTAGATATACTAATCTATCTTTAGCCTATATAAACAGCTTCTTTGGACAGAATGATGTATCTTATGACTATATATAGACTTGTAATTAATACATATGATTTATTTCTAGAATATATTTCCTTACTATTCCCAGATTATAAACAGAAATATCACATAAATAGGAAATTAATATTTATCCATTTATGCATCGTTGAAACAATAAGATTTCACTATTTTTGAGTTTGTGCTTCTACAAGGCCACACACACACACAAAAAAAATATTAAGTGGCATTGCAACCAAGTTTGTTCATTAGTTAGACAGTAAGAGATTAACCTGCCAGCATTATTTTAAACAAGTATTTATATTTGTGGTTTGTGCTTGCCAGGTACTATTCTGCTGCTGCAAATAAAGATCAGATAACCCAATGAAAGAAACTTTTAAGGACTTTGCTGCTCACCTGAGCTCCTTCTGAGGGTGAGAGACGACAACCAAATACAGGTGGAACAGGAAAGCCACAATCTTGACAGAAGCGAACCAAGGGATCAGATGGGCGAAGGGCGAGGCACTGGGCACACCTAAAACAGAAAAGGTTCCTGATTGATCATGTAAGAAGTCAAGTGAAAATCTATAAGTGTTCAAGAATCTTTAAAAATAAAAAAAAAGTAAAATACTCTCATAGGCTATGTCGTTTTATTACAAACTGGACTCAAGCTGGAACCACTGGTATCTTTCACCTCCAGGCCATCTCACTTCCTGAATGCAGCTGAAGTTAGAAGCAGCCTAGATCCCACTTTTTGTGGGGATCTGACTTGTCCTATCACATTGGATTTGGCACTGGGTTTGTGAGGATAAGCCAAGGGAATTCTAGTAATGTCTACATTGCACTTTTCTAACTTTCTCCCTGAGCACTGAGCCCAGTCTGTGTGACTCTCTGGAGGGTCACCGTCTATTAAGCTCTGCCTATGTTTCCACTCACCTGGTTAGAGTGCCAAGGCCCTGCCCCAGCAACATCTGTCCCAGTTTCCTAGGCAGATGAATCCCATCGTGTAGCCCTCACCAACCTACCAGGGTTCTGAATATCAGCCAAAGTGAGAGCATTGACAAAACTCAGCATTCTTTTATGATTAAAAGCACTGAATACACTAGGAACAAAAGAAAACTTCCTCAACATTCTAAAAGTCACATACAAAAACCCCAGAGCTAACATCATACTCAGTGGTGGATGACTGAAAGCTTTTCCCCTAAGATCAATAGCAAGACAAGAATACCCACGTTCACTGTTTCTATTCAACATAGTATTAGAAGTCCTATACAGAGCAATTAGGCAAGAAAAAAATAAAAAGCATTAAAACTAGAAAGAAAGGAAGGAAGGGAGGGAGGGAGGGAGGGAGGGAGGGAGGGAGGGAGGGAGGGAGGGAGGAAGGAAGGAAGGAAGGAAGGAAGGAAGGAAGGAAGGATGAGGAAGTAGAGGAAGTGAAAGAAGGAAGAACGAAATAAATAAAGAAATAAATAAAGAAAGAAAATCGAAATAAATCAAATAAATGACAAAAGAGAGAAAGGAAAGACAGGAACTCAAGTAAATAAAGTAACAGACAGGAAAGAAAGAAAAGAAAAAAGTAAAATTATCTTTGTTCATGGATGATAGGATCTTATATGTAGAAAACCCTAGGGTGTACACACACACAGCTAATAAGAAATTTAGAAAAGTGGTAGGATAAAAAAAATCAACATACAAATATCTGTTGTATTCCTATGAACAATTTGAAAAGGAAATTAAGAAAACAATTCCATTTATAATAATATCAAAAAGAATAAAATGTTTAGGAATCAATTTAACCAATGAGGTAAAAGACTTGTACAATGAAAGCTATAAAACTTCTCAGAGAGAAATTTTTAAAAGACATAAATAAAAGGATAGACATCCTATATTCATGAATCAGAAGACTTAATATTAAGATGAAAATACTAACTAAAGCAATCTACAGATTCAATGAAATTCTTATCAAATTCTCAATGACATTTTTTGCAGAAAGAAAACTCATCCTAAATTCATATGGAATCTCAAGTAACCTCAGATAGTCAATATAGTCTTTAAAAAGAACAACAAAGTTGGATGACTCACACTTCCTGATTTCACAATTTTCTACAAAGCTAACTAATATATGAAGTATTGTTCTAACATAAGAACAGCCAAACCGGTTTGGCTCAGTGGATAGAGCGTCGGTCTGCAGACTGAAAGGTCCCAGGTTCGATTCCGGTCAGGGGCATGTACATTAGTTGTGGCCACACCCCCAGTAGCGGGTGTGCAAGAGGCAGCTGGTCGATGTTTCTCTCTCATTGACATTTCTAGCTCTCTATCTCTCTCCTTTTCTCTCTGTGGAAAATCAATTTTAAAAAATAATAATAATTAAAAATAAAGAACAGACATATGGACAAATAGAATAGAATAGAATAGAATAGAATAGAATAGAATAGAATAGAATAGAATAGGAGAGCCCAGAAATATACCTTTGTATGTATGGTCAAATGATATTGGTGAGGGTCAGGGGGAAAGGACAGTCTTTCTGACAAGGGTGCTAGAAAAACTGGATATCCACATGCAAAAGAATGAAATTGGACCCCTCCTTACAACATATACAAAAACTAACCTAAAATGGATCAAAGATCTGAATGTCAGAGGTAAATCTATAAACCTCTTAACAGAACACATAAAAGACAAGCTTCATGACACTAGGTTTAGCAATGATTTCTTAGATATGCCACCCAAAGCATAGGCAGCAAAAGAAGAAATAGATGCTTGGCTGGCATGGCTTAGTGACTGAGCGTCAACGTATAAACCAGAAGGTCACGATTCAGTTCTTAGTCAGGGCACATGCCCGAATTGTGGGCTCGATCCCCAGTGTAAGGTGTGCAGGAATCAGCCAATCAATGATTCTCTCTCATCACTGATGTTTCTCTTTCTCTCTCCTCACTTCCTCTCTGAGATCAATAAAAATATTTTAAAATTTAACTTTAAAAAACCTTTTGTATATCAAAGGACACTAACAAGGGAGTGAAAAGAGAACCTTACAAATGGGAGAAAATATTTACAAATAATATACCTGATAAAGAATTAATGTTCAGAGTATATAAAGAACTCCTAAACTTAAAAAACAAACAACCTATTAAAAAATGGGCAAAAGACTTAAATAGACATTTCTCCCAAGAAGATTTACAAATATCCAAGAAACACATGAAAAAAAAGTTCAATATTACTTGCCATTCTGGAAATGTAAATCAAAAACACAATGAGATACCACTTTATACTCATTAGAATGACTATTATCCGAAAAATAAAAAATGAGTACTGGTGAGAGTCTGAAAAATTGAAACCCTTGTGCATTTCTGATGAAAATGTGAAATGATGCAGCTGTTGGAGAAAACAATTTGGCAGTTCCTCAAACAGTTAAACATAGAATTGCTATATAATCCAGAAATTCCACTCTTAGTCAAATACCCAAAGGAATTGAGAGCAGGGATTCAAAACAGATATTTGTGCATCAATGTTCATAATAGCATTATTCAAATAGACAAAAGGTGGAAATGTTTCTATCTATTAACAGATAAACAAATAAACAAAACGTGGTATATACACACAATGAAATATTATTTATATTTAACTGAAGGCCCAATGCATGAAATTCATGGGAGGGGCTTAGCCCTTGCAGCCCCAGCCCTCGCAGCACCAGCTACCTCATTGGCTGCCCTGCCCACTGATTGTTCCAGAAGGTCATTCCAGAAGGTTGTTCCACCATCCGGTCTATTTAGCATATTAGCTCTTTATTATATAAGATAAGAAATGAAATTCTGATACATCCATGATAACATGGATGAACCTCGAAAACATTATGCTAAGTGAAATCAGACTCAAAAGAACAAATGATGTCTGATTCCATCTATATGAAGTAACTAGAATAGATAGTTATAAAATCAGAAAGTAGAACAAAGTAGGACAAAGTAGGTTACTGGAGACTGAAGGGAGGGAGTAATGGGGGCTTATTATTGCTTAATGGGAATGAGGTTCTGTGTAGAATGACAAAATAGTTCTGGAAACTGATCGTGAAGATAGTTGCACAACATTGTAAATGTACTTAATGCCATGAAATTTTACACTTAAAATGCTAAATTTTATTTATGTATATTTAAGCACAATAAAAAGTATAAAGGACTGCAAAAAATAATTAATTATCTATATAATAAAAGCCTAAGCAACCATTACAACGGAATGACTAGAACAACCAGTCGCTATGATGCACATTGACCATCAGCGGGCAGATACTCAAGGCAGGAGCTGCCCCCTGGTGGTCAGTGTGCTCCCACAGGGAGAGCGCCACTCAGCCAGAAGCAAGGCTCACAGCTGGTGAGTGCAGTGGCAGTGGCAGGAGCCTCTCCTGCCTCCACAGCAATGCTAAGGAGCAGCGAGCCAAGCAGTAAGGAGCAGCGAGCAGGCCGGTGGTAAGGAGGGAGGGGTCCCAGACATCCCCCAAGAGGTCTCAGACTGTGAGAGGATCGCAGGCCAGGCTGAGAGACCCCTCCCTCAGCACACAACTTTCGTGCACTGGGCCTCTAGTATAAAAGTAATAATGTATTATGGGTTCATGATATTTGTAAAAATAAAATGTATTACAATAGCACAAAAGCTATTGATATTCAGTTATTGGAAATATACTGTCATAATATTCTTATGCTATATATTAAGTATAATATTACTTGAAAATAAACTATGATAAGTTTTAAAAGTACATATACTATAAACTCTAGAGCAACCACTAAAAAAAGTTATTGCTAATAAGTCAACAAAGGAGATAAAATGGAATCATAAATCATACCAATTAATCCAAAAGAAGGCAGAAAAAAAAGGCAACAAATAAAAAATAAGATAAACAGAAAACAAATAACATGATGGCTGATTTAAATTCAAACATATCAATAAGTAAAATAAATAGGCTCTCAACATCTCAATTAAAATGCAGGGATTGCCTGGTACAATTTTTAACAAAGCAAGACCTAAAACACTAAAAGATACATTATGCAAACATCTTGAGAAAAAAGGAGTGGCACAAGAACAGGCATACACAGAAATAAATCCATGCCTTTATGGTCAATTAATATTTGACAAAAGAAGCAAGAAGATACAGTGGGGTAAAGAGAGTCTCTTTAATAAATGGTATTGGAAAAATTGGACAGATACATACATACAAATGAAAGTAGACACCAACTTACACCATACACAAGAATAAACTCCAAATGGATAAAAGACTTAAATGTAAGTCATGAAACCATAAAAATCCTAGAACAGACCTAACTGGTTTAGCTCAATGGATAGAGCATCAGCCTGGGGACAGAAGGGTCCCAGGTTCAATTCCAGTCAAGGGCATGTACCTCAGTTGCTGGCATATCCCCAGTGGTGTTGTGCAGGAGGCAGCTGATCAATGTTTCTCTCTCATTGATGTTTCTAACTCTCTATCCCTCTCCCTTCCTCTCTGTAAAAAAGTCAAAATAAAATATACATATTTTTAAATCCTAGAACAAAACATAGTAAAATTTCAGACATCTTTCATAGTAATATTTTTGCTGGTATGTTTCCTAGGGCAAGGGAAATACAAGGGAAAAAAATAAACAAGTGGGACTTACATCGAACTAAAAAGCTTCTGCACAGCAAAAGAAACCATCAATAAAATGAAAAGGGAGCCCTAACCGTTTTTGGCTCAACAGATAGAGTGTCGACCTGCAGACTGAAAGGTCCCAGGTTCAATTCCGGTCAGGGGCATGTACCTTGATTGCAGGCACATACCCAGTAGGGAGTGTGCAGGAGGCAGCTGATGGATGTTTCTCTCTCATCGATGTTCCTAGCTCTCTAACCCTCTCCCTTCCACTCTGTAAAAAATCATCTAAAATATTTTTTTTTTAATGAAAAGGGAGAAGATATTAGCCAATGATATATCTGATAAGGGGTTAATTTTCAAAATACATAAAGAACTTATACAATTTACCACCAGAAAGACAAACAATTCAATTAAAAAAAGGGCAAAGGATCTAACTAGACACTTCTCCAAAAGGGACACACAGATGGCCAACAGACATGAAAAAATGCTCAATGTCACTAAACATCTGAAAGATGCAAATTAAAACCACAATGAGATATCACCTCACACCTGTCAGAATGGCTACCATCAATAAGTCAACAAACAAGTTGCTGGTGAGGATGTGGAGAAAAGGGAACCCTGGTTGGTGAGAATGCAGATTGGTGCAGCCACTGTGGAAAATAGCATGGAGTTTTCTGCCTTTTGACCCAGTATCCCACTTCTGAGAATATATTCTAAGAATTCTGAAACACCAATTCGAAAGAACATATGCACCCCTATGTTCACAGCAGCCTTATTTACAATAGCCAAGATCTAGAAACAGTGTGTTTACAAAATTATTTACAAATGCCCATTGGTAGATGAGTGGATAAAAAGGTTGTGGTACATTTACAACAATGGAATAGTACGCGGCTGTAAAAAAGAAGGATCTCTTACCCTTTGTGACAGCATGGATGGACCGGGAGATTATTATGCTAAGTGAAATAAACCAGTCAGAGAAAGATAAGTACCATATGATCTCACTTATAGGTTGAATATAATGAACAAAATAAACTGATGAACAAAATAGAAACAGAGGCATGGATACATGGAATGGACTGATAGCTATCAGGGGTAAGGAGAAAGGGAGTACTGGATGAAAGAAGGTGAAGGGATTAGGTACAGAATATATATGCATAACCCATCAACTACACAACAGTGGGGTGATGGCCAGGCAGGCAAAGGAGTGAGGGTGGAGTAAATGGAGACATCTGTAACCGTGTCAACCATTAAAGAAAAAAAAAGACAAAAATGTTTAATACATGCAAAACATGGACAAATCTAAAAATAACCTCAAAATAATTGGCCTGAGTTAAAGAAGCTAAGAAAAAAGAGGAGTACATTCAGAAACATTCTAGTTACATATGGAATGAAATGCAAACTAAGCTACAGTGACAAGAAGCAAATCAATAGTTTCCTGGGAATAAGGAGAGGCACAAGAGAGAAATTTCAAAAGGGCATACACTTTTGGAGGTAATAGATTTGTTCATTTTCTACTGTGGTGATAGTTTCAGAGTTATATTCATATGTTAATTGTACTCACTAAATAAATGCAGTTTTTTATATGCCAATTATGCCTTTAAAATATGTAAAAATTTAATAAAACACAGTTAGGGGTAGCCAAACACCATTACACTTCATCCTTAAATTCTTTTTGACCATAATGCGTCATAGAAGGATTTAAGAAACAGTACAGAGAATGAGATTACTTACTTGAGAAAGTCTGTCTCCCTTTGAATTCTCATGATCTCTGTGGCTGTCAAACTCGGATGGCCAGTTATGTGCGCAAAACTAGGGAACTAAAATTAAGAATGTAACAGAATCTTGGTAAAAGCTGTGGCATAGCAAAATTTCACTGCAAATTATAATATTTTGCCTTATATCCAGCATCCACCCTTTAAAAATCATGGTTGGAGAAGTCATAGGTAATGATTATTCCAGTACCCACCATTAAAAAATTAAAGTGCTAATCATAATCATACATATATATTACATTAAAAACATAAGTGTAGGCCTGGCCGGTGTGGCTCGGAGTGGTTAGAGTATGAGCCCTGCACACTGAAGGGTTCAATTCTTGGTCAAGGGCATGTACCTGTCTTGCAGGTTCATTCCCAGCTCTGGTTGAGATCCATGTGGGAGGCAACTAATCAATGCATCTCTCTCGCGTTGTTATTCTCTCTCTCTCTCTCTCACTACCCCCTCCCCCAATCCCCTTTTCTACCTTCTTCTTTCTCTAAAAAAAATCAGTGGAAAAATATCCTTGGGTGAGGATTAACAAAAACACAAAAAACCATAAGTTTATCTGGGCCGGTTTGGCTCGCCTGCCTGCCTGATTCCCCTAACTACTCACCTGCCTGCCTGATCGCTCCAACTGCTTGCCTGCCTGCCTGATTGCCCCTAACCACTCTGCTTGCCTGCCTGCCTGATCATCCCTAACTGCCTCTGCCTGCCTGCCTGATCACCCCAACCACTCACCTGCCTGCCTGATAGCCCTAACCGCCTCTGTCTCAACCCTCGCCACAGAGGCTTCATCCAGAAGGATGTCCAGAATGACATCTAGGAGGTCATTTGGCTGTCCAGTCTAATTAGCATATTACACTTTTATTATTATAGATTATAAGTGTGATCAGACTTGGAATCATGAGTACATAAGAAGCAGTTGCGGCTATATAAAAAAAATGTGACTCCATAAATGCTCTACTTGGGGCTCAGATTGGAGGAAGAGAGAACAAGAGTTCTTGGGTTGCATTATATGTCAAAATTCTAAATTGGATTTTATAAACATTGAAAAATCAAATTGCTATAATAGTAGTAGCAGTTGGCCACTAGTATAAGAGCATCTTTTTTGTATTATATGGTAAAAAAAAAAAAAAGTATTGATATAGCTTTTATTTATATTATAAATCACTTCCATTTTGTTTAAATCCAATGGGCAAGTCCTTGTCCTTGTCTAATTTGAATCCCAGTAACATTTGACATAGATGACCACTGTCTTCTTCAGAAACCCTTTCTTCTCTTGGCTTTCTATGTTTGTTTGTTTTGCTTTCTTCCTACTTCTCAGGCTCTTCCTCTTATACTCAACCTCTAAAGTCAAGGATTTTGTCTTGTGCTATCTTCTTTTTCTGGACACCCTTATTTATTAATTATTGTATTTCCCATATTAACAACTGTAAACCTAATTTTGCCCACTCTGGTATATTAACTATTCCCACATTTATGTATTTCCAGCCCTGGACTCTACCCTGGGTTTGAACTTGCATGGCCAACAGTGTATTTAACACCTCCAGTTGAATTTTTTTTAATTTGTTGATTAAGAGAGAGGGAAATAAGAGAGACTTATTGTTCCACTTATTTATGCATTCATTGTTGCTTCTTGGCTTTCCCTAATGGGAAATCAAACCCACAACCTTGGCAATATCGAGATGATGCTCTGACTGAGCTACCTGGCCAGGACCTCTTGAATTTCTAATGAGTCTTTGAACACCTGCTCCTCCCTCATCTTCCTCATCTCAATTAATGGTACCATCACCTCCAGGTGCTCAGGGCAGAGCCTTGAGAGTCACTCTTGACTCTTCCTTTCCCCTCATCTTATCTATCTAATCCCTCAGCCAAACCTGTCAGCTCTATCTCCAAAACACATCTGGATTCCCACTGCCTCCTATGATCACCATTTGCACAACCTTGGTAGAAACTACCTTTATCTCTCATCTCTCCCAAATGATATTCCCCTCTTATTCCTCTACAGCCCAATCTCCATACTGTGGCCAAAGAGAAAACTTTTATTCCCCTCCTTTTAAAAAAAAAAAATTTGTTCAAAACTGATTTGAGAGAGAGGGAGGAAGGGAGAGGGAGAGAGAGAAAGAAATATTGATGGGCTGCCTTCTGCTGGGGATTGAGCCTGCAACCTGGTCTTCTGCCGTGACGGGAATCAAACTGGCGACCTCTCAGTGTATGAGACGAAGCTCAACCAACTGAGCCACACTAGCCAGAGCCCCTTCTCTTCCTTTAAATGTAAATAAGATTATGTCTTAGCATCCAAATGAATTCCCTTTACAATTAGAAAATCAAACTCCTTACAATGGGACTCACCTATAGCATCTGCTATTCCCAATCATGCCTGACCATTAGAATCACCTGTGGGTGAATTTTAAAAATAACATAAAATAAAACCAAGTCCAAACCCCATATCAGACCAATAAAATCAGAATTCCTGAGGCTGGCTTCCTGGGATTGACTTGAAACCCCTCAGGTGATTCTCATGCGCAGAGATGTTTGAGAACCACAGGTCTCCATGCACTGGCCCCAGTCTACTTCTCACACCTCACCTCTTACCTTGCTCTCCACACCAGCCTCCTTGCAATCCCCCCTTTTCTGTACTGGCTATTACTGCTGCCAATATCTTTACAGGGTTGGCTTCTATTCATCTTGAGGGCTCAATTCAAATGTCATATTTTCAAGGACACCCTCTTTTATTACCCTGAATTAGAACACTGTCCTTCCTTCACAGTCATTCTCTATCCCATTGGTTCTCAAACTTAAGTGTGTATCAGAAAAAGGGCTAATTAAAACATATTGGTGGGCCCACCTCCCAAGTCCCTAATTCAGTAGACCTTGGGAGGGGCTGAAAATTTGCGTTTCCTTTATATATATGAGGAAGAGAGAGATAGAAAATCATGATGAGAGAGAATCATTGATCAGCCACCTCCCACATGCCCCCCAACTGGGGACTGAGCCCACAATCTGGCATGTGCCCCTGACCAGAATGGAACCCGGGACCCTTCAGTGCATAGGTGATGCTCTATCCACTGAGCAAAACCAGGCAGGGCTGAAAATTTGCTCCCATGTGATACTGATGCTACTGGTCTGTGAGGTCCACACTTTGAGAACCACTGCTCTATTCTATTTACCCAGTGTTATCTTGTTCATTATATTTATCACAACTTACAATTTTTTGTTTATTTACATATTTATTATCTGCCTACTCCCATCCCCAATAAAATATAAGTGCTATGAGTACAGGAGGCTTTCTTAACCAACCCAGTGTCCCAGCTCTGAAACAGTTCTTGGCACATGGTAAAAGCCTGAGAAACACTACCTTAAAGTATTTTGTGGAGGACATTAAAAAGGCAGTAGGGCCAAAACCGGTTTGGCTCAAATGGATAGAGCGTCGGCTTGGGGACTGAAGGGTCCCAGGTTCGATTCCGGTCAGGGGCATGTACCTTGATTGCGGGCATATCCCCAGCGGGGGGTGTGCAGAAGGCAGCTGATCGATGACTCTCTCTCATCGATGTTTCTATCTCTCTATCTCTCTCCCTTCCTCTCTGTACAAAATCAATAGAAATAAAAAAAAAATCAATAAAAAGGCAGTAGGTATTTAGTACCCTGAAGATTTTCCTTAGAAGTTACCTGGGGTGGATTTCTGGGTGGTCTAGAAACTGATTCTTCACGGTAAGGGGGCCTTTCCATGTGGTTGTCTGAAAGCAAAGATCTTTCAATGTTTTATACTTAGTTCTTTCACCTACCTTGAGGTATACAAATACTAGTACATCAAAAACATCATTCTGTGAACAACTATAATTATATATATAATCATGCAAATGTCTTCATAGTTGCAAAACTTTTTATAAGGGACCACTGTCATCACAATCTTTCTTTAAAGTAGCAACTACATAAAGATGCCCTCACTCAGCACTGAGAAAGAAAAAAATTAGTCCAGACTAAGAAAATTAAAATCTGCCCAGATACATTCCAAAATATTTCACATCAGGCTAGAAAAATAGATAAATCCAATTGCAAGTTTATAAGGAAATATTTCTCCCCAGAACACAGTGCAGGAGTAAAATGTCCTAAAAGCACATCCATTGAGTGACATTATTTCTTGCCTGCCAAGAAACTCTCTTCTCTAAAAATCAGGTTTTTAGAAACTGTTGTTTCAAAGCATCTCAGTAAGAATGAAACATCTGACTCTTGCCTGAGGATGTAAGTTAGACATCCACAAGCAGCCCTAATTTCCAACTCCAGTGCGGTGTGGAGCTTCAGAGAAGGGTTTCTGAGGCAATGGTCACATTTATCTTTGTTGTTTCCAAGATAAGAGAACACTGGTTCCCTTAGGCAGTCCATACCAGATAGTGATCACTTCACATTTAGCCCTGATGTGCTGTGAGCCTTTCAAACTTGATGCTTTCATTTACATTTCACACAAAGTCCACTCTCCCCTGAAACCTTCTACTATCTTTTTCTTTGTTTTCAACCCCATAGATCCTCTTGTGTGTTGCAGGGAGTTATAAACCTGACTTTGTTAGACTGCTAGGTTAGCTAGCCCTCCTGAATAAGCATTAGCTTACACAGCAGTAAAATTCAAATTCTGGCTTATTTTACTATTCCAGTATTTCTAATTCCAACCCTTCTGCAGACAAAGTAAGTTATGAACCTATTTGGCATTTAGATGTTAACATCATCCTCTCATGTCATACCTAGATGTCTATGGTGAACATTCCAACCAGGTTTATGTTCAACATTCTTAGATTTCTTCCTTGGTTTTGGTGCAACAAATCCATTTTTCAGTTCCTAGGAATGAAAAAAAAAAAAAAAGCATATTATTCTCTTCATTAAGCCCACTTTAAAATGTGAACATTAAGTTACATGGTAGACCAACATCAACAAATCAACAAACGACAAGTGTTGGCGAGGTTGCGGGAAAAAAAGGAACCCTCGTGCACTGCTGGTGGGAATGCAGACTGGTGCAACCACTGTGGAGAACAGTGTGGAATTTCCTCAAAAAACTGAAAATGGAACTCCCATTTGATCCAGTAATCCCACTCCTAGGAATATATCCCAAGAAACTAGAAACACCAATCAGAAAGGATATATGCACCCCTATGTTCATAGCAGCACAATCTACAATAGCCAGAATTTGGAAACAGCCTAGGTGCCCGTCAGCAGATGATTGGATCCAAAAACTATGGTACATCTACACAATGGAATACTATGCTGCCATAAAAAAAGAAGGAATTCTCATCATTTGCAGCAACCTGGATGGAATTGGAGAACATCATGCTGAGTGAAATAAGCCAATCAATGAAAGAGAAACACCACATGACCTCACTCATTTGTGGATAATAAAGATCATTATAAACTGATGAACCAAAAGATAGATACAGAGACAGTAAAGCAACAAGCAGATTGTCAAATTTCAGCGGGGAGGGGAGGAGGATCTGGGGAAGATAATAGATCAACTGAAGGACTTGTATACATGCATATAAGTACAACCAATGGACATAAAGCTCTGGGGAGGGAGGGGATGTGTGGGAGGGAGGGAGGGGGGAAAAATAAAAAAAATAAAAATCAATGGAAAAAATAAAAAAATAAAAAATAAAAATATCTCTTGTAATAGTACCACTTAATAAATGCACAGTCCCAACTTATGCAAGGATGAAAAAAAAAAAAAAAGTTACATGGTAGAGGCAGTGTCATAGCGCATACTTCTTACTTGAAAGGATTTACAAAGTGACTTCTGCCTCACCTTACTCTGGAAATACACAGCTTTGTATCTGAGCTGCTTGGCTGACAGCGTGAGCCCCACCAGATCAAGTGATCAAGACCATGGGAGTCTGAGTAACAACAGAGGAACTACCAAATCCAGGGAGCAAAGACAGGTTCTGAACATAAGTCCTATCTTGGTCTGACCCCCAAGATAGGACTTATATACAGTACCTGCCCACATACAGTCCTTAACACTCCTCTCTGGGCTTCCTTCTCCATGGACTCTGTCTCTTTTGCTTGATCAAGCCTGTGCACCTGCTGACACGTGTAGGCTCAGCCTCTGCTAGCTGGCCCTGCCATGTGTAGATCCCTTCCCTGATCATACTTGAGCCCCCATGTTCTACCCACACCCACTGCTTTGGTTCCACAGCCTCCCTGCTGGCTTCTGGACCACTGTTGGGCTAACGGGACTCCCCAGAAAACTTTATGTCACCCTAAACACGACCTCTGTGACAGACTCTTTAGTTGATTGCTTCTCCATGGGTTGGCCCATCTTCTGATCCTTGGATCTGTCTCACTGAGGCCCACAACGCAGGGTCTGACGTTTCAAAAGTCATTTTTAGCTAGGTCTCATTCACTCCCCAAAGTGGTGTTTTGCAGCTGCATGGGAATGAAGATTTCAACGTAACAGCAGCCCATTGAGGGCTTCTCCACTAGTCTGGTGCATCTATTTAACAAATATATCCTCTCCACCCTCTCCTACCTGGCCCTGTGCAAGGAATTGAGCATGGCAGACGTACTCTGTGCCACCTTGGAGCTTACAGTGCCAGGGGATGATAGACAAGGAGCAAAGTAATCACATATTCACAGCATTTTATAAAAGGAGAAGGCCTGGGTGCCAGGGGAGCAGTGATAGAATATAGAAAACACAGTTCAGTTTGGCTGGAGTATATACAGGGGAGTCACAAAGCAAGAAAAGAATGACTTAGGACAGAAGTGACCCTTTGGGATGCCAGCCTAAAGGTATGTTACTTCAATAGGTAACGTGGAGTCACTGAGGACACTAGAACATGGGCAGTTATGATAGGCAGGAAAATCTACAGGCGGACCAAAGGGGGGAAATCAGCAAAGATATGTTGCAATGGTTGATAATGTCCAGAGCTGTAGGTAGAAGGACTGTGGTGATGAAATGAAAGGGAAGATGTGACCACTGAGAAAGGAGGAACCAAGAATGTGGTGACTATCTGAATGTATTATAGTTTCACTACTTGCCTGCTTTGAAGAATCTTCAAGAATGTTTTCAACACTGTCTTCTGAAAAGGCTGCATTTGGCGGTTCATAGTCCACCTGAAACATCTTTGTTACAATGCCACTCTGTCTGCAGTCTCTGAAAATTATTTTAAAAAGAAAAAGTCTGGGTATTGCACAAATAGTTCAAAAAAGCCGGATAGCAATTAAGATTAACTCTATTAAAGTCCCTTAGTCTAGCTACTAAATTTAGTATATTTTAAATTGAGGAAATAAAAATATAACTTCTATAGTCTTTCTTTACATTATTCTCATTAAGAAGATCTATTGCTTTGTAACAAACTGCTCCAAAACATAATGTTTTAAAACAAATCTGCAATCTCTCATGTGATTGCAGTCAGATATTGGCTGGGCTGGAGGTCAACTGAAAGGTCAACTTGGCTGGAAGTGTTTATGTTCCAAGAGACCAGAGCAGAAGCCTTACCACCATTTCTGAGAGATTCTACTGGTCAAAAGTAAGTCATAGGACCAACCCACATTCCAGTGGAGGGGCTACACTGGGAGGCATGATTCATTTTTGGAGACTTTCTATCATACTGACCATAAAGATTTTATACTTTAAGTCTCAAACTATTTTAAAACAAAGAATGAGGTTATCTGTATATCATTCTATGTACTCAAGTGAATTTTCCTGTAGGTAGCATAATATATGTTGCTGTGGTAGACTTAAACTGTTAATCCTCAAATGCTACCATGTTTTCGATTTATTCATAATATTTTACAGTTAATCTTGTTCCTCTTTGATGCAAAAGAAGTTCCACAAGAAAGTCATGTAGAGGTGCTCATAACTAAAAACTGGTGGTGATTTATTCTGAGCACCAGAAACTCACCTAACACTATTTTTTTTTTAAGTATATGTTTTTATTGATTTCAGAGAGGAAGGCAGAGAGAGAGAACATCATGATGAGAGAGAATCATCGATTGGCTGCCTCCTGCACGCCCCCTACTGGGGATAAAGCCCACAACCCGGGCTTGTGCCCTTGACTGGTATCAAACCCGGGACTCTTCAGTCTGCAGGCCGATGCTCTAGCCACTGAGCCAAACCAGCCAGGGTTGGCTTGTTAATTTTTAATGATAATTATGAAGACTTGTTTTGATAGAAGTGGATTAACAAGTAGAAAAAAGCTAAAAATGCCAATATTTAATAAAGAAAAATAATATGTGTTAGGGGGTTGTTTGGTTTAATTTTTATTTAATTCTTTTTAAAAATTATCAAATTCCAAAACAATCTTTGGTGTAGAATTTGTAACTTTCCGCAGAAAGCCATGAAGTAGATCAGCCACCAGAGGGAGCCCTGATAATCTTATTTCTTTTCTAAAAAAATAATTTTATTGATTTTTTACAGAGGAAGGAAAAGGGATAGTGAGTTAGAAACATTGATGAGAGAGAAACATTGATCAGCTGTTTCCTGCACACCCCCTACTAGAGATGTACCCGCAACCAAGGTACATGCCCTTGACCAGAATCGAACCTGGGACCCTTCAGTCCACAGTCTGATACTCTATCCACTGAGCCAAACTGGTCAGGGCTTGATAATCTTTTTTAAAGCAGAACCTGGGCCAGCCAGTTATTGATCTGGGGACTAATAGTGCTCCAAAGATGTGGCCAAACCTGTCTTGCTGCACAAAATAATTCCCCTATCACAGACTTGCAAAGCAATTGAGTTTTTCTCTACATCACAAGGTTTCCAAATTAAGATGTGTTTCCATATTGGTAAAGTGGTAAAAGTCATTGAATAGGAAAGAAAGTTATAAAATAGCAAATATCACAAATGGAAGTGACAGTAGCAATTAAATCAATTGAATCAATACAACATAAAACAGAATGGTCATGGTGATTGTAGGCTATGTCCTGGGGAATAAAAGAAATATCCACTAGAAACAGTGTTTTCTCTAGAACTTGATGAATCTCTTCAGAGGTCCCAAGCCCTGCAAAGGTTCCTGAAATTCCAATATAGCATTAAAAATAAAAACAATATTATTAATATACGTAGTAGTACTTCTTAAGTTGTACTCTTATGATTTCTGCACTTTACAATATACCTCAGCAGAAGACAAAAACCAAAAGTTACAGATATATGTTGAAATTAAAATAAATTTTCTTTTATACCCTCTAATCCAGCACTAATTCCCACTGAAAGAAAGAAAATTAAAGCATCATTATATTATAAAGTCATTTTAATCACCATGCTCTTAACTTACTTAGAGACTGCAATAGCTTTAACTTGTATTTTTCCATCAGGCAGAGTAATAGGCCTTGTATACTTAAATGTAGTATTTTCACCATAACCTATTCTCTTTAGAAATTCAGGCTTGCTGCCATCCAAGGTATAATATATGCTGACATCTGGGGTATCTGAAAAACCCGAAATAGGATAACTGTGATTAGCATTAAAATACCAAGTCCCTGAATAATGCTGATGGGTCCATTATTTAATGAGATTTTTAAATATATTGTAGAAACAAATACCAATAACAATAATTGAGTTCCTTCTCTATTCTAAGCACTGGGCCTTACATGAATAAGCTCATTTCATCTGAAAAATCCCATTAATTAGGCCCTATTTTATACCCACTTTATAGTTGAGAAAACTTGAGAAATCTGCCAAATAATAGCAGAGTTGTGATTTGACTCCTGATAGGCTGGATCCATAGCCCACGCTCTTGAACCACTATGCTGTTCTGCTTTTCCAATAGGGAATTAATTCAAATAGAGTAGGGGTCTATTTTAAAAATAGAACAGCCATTTAAAAAGCAGGAGTTATTTTTTCTTTTTCTTTTTTCAGTATTGCTTAATAAATGCTTTTATACTTGTACTTGGTAAATGATTCATTCCTACAATCTTGGAATATTTGTAAAGGTAATAAATTAATATAAATCTAAATTCAAAATGTCAAAAAATGACAGACAATTAAAGTTCTCCTTCCCAATAAAAAAATAATAATAATAAAAAATAAAGTTCTCCTTCCTGCTCCCTAAGGCAATCAATGAAATCTTGACTATCCTTTCAGTAATATTGTATAACAATACAAGCATAAATGTATGTGTTCTTATTTCACTTACTTTTTATACAAAGGTGTATATCATACCCTGTTCCACACATTTTTTTTTCATTTAACAATATATCTTGTATATTGTTCTATACTGGTACATAAAGTGTGACCTCATTCTTTATTTGGTTGTGTTATATTCTCTCTTTATAGAGATAAACCTACAGATGGACATCTGAATATTTTCTTTTTCTTTCTTTTGCCATTACAAACACCATAAGAATAACCCTGAAAAAACTTCTTTTTGTAAGTATATTTGTAAAGTATGTAGAACTAGCACTGTTGAGTCAAAAGGTATGTGCACTTGTAATTTTGGTTAATATTGCCAAACTTCCCTCCATGGAAGCTGAAACAACTTGCACTGCTTCCAGTAATTCATGAACATGCCTGTTTACCCACACACCCATAAAGTGTGTTATCAATTATTTTATTTTTACCCATCTGTTAGGTAAAAATAAAAAGTATCTTGCTGTTTTAACTCATATTTCTTACATTTTTGAGTAAGATTGATTCATTCCTTCAACAAATACTTACCAAGTACCTATTATGTAGCAGACACTGTTCTGGGGATACCCCAGTGACCAAAGTCCCTGCTTCCATTTTAGGAAGAACACACAGACAGTAAAATATATATATATATATATATATATATATATATATATATATATATATATATGTATATATATGTATATATATGTATATATATGTATATATATGTATTATTAAATGGTAATTAAATGCAATGGAGTAATAAAGCAGAGGATAAGGTCTGCTCAGCAAACAGGTGAAGGGGTAGGCAGAAGCATATTCTCACATGTCTAAGAGACACTTATATTTCCTTTCCTATAGAATGTCCTCTCACATGCTTTGTTCATTTTTTATGGGTTATTATTATTCTTTTTGTTACTGAATTATAAAACCTCTTATTTATGAGACATTTTTAATATTAGAGAATTTGGATACTCTATTATTCATATCATCATTTGTCAGTAAACATTCAATTTCTATGAATCATGGGCACATATATTAAAATTTGTATTTTGCTTTGAAAATTAAAAATATATATATATTAGCTTTTAAGACAGCGGGAGATACCATAATGTAATATATTTTCAGTTGAAACTTTTGCTCTAGGAAGCACAGGGGTCATAACATAAAAACAGAAATAATTTTTACACATATCACTTAATAAAGTACATTGGAATCTCAGTCTGCTTTTCTTTTTAAATATTTTTTTATTGATTTTTTTTTACAGAGAGGAAGGGAGAGGGATAGAGAGTCAGAAACATCGATGAGAGAGAAACATCGATCAGCTGCCTCCTGAACACCCCCTACTGGGGATGTGCCTGCAACCAAGGTACATGCCCTTGACTGAAATTGAACCCAGGACCTTCAGTCCGCAGGCCCATACTCTATCCACTGAACCAAACAGGTCAGGGCCTCAGTCTGTTTTAAACAAGTATTTGTTCATATGCTTTATCTATAAAACTTTCCCTCTTCCTTATAGTATACATATGTATATGTAAATATATATGTGTGTATATATGTATATATACATATACCCACTTCTGGCATTAGTAGGAAATGTTTTTTGTTATAATAGCTAAGACTTGTTTTTTTGTACTAATTACAAAATATTGCTTTGTGCCGAAATCGGTTTGGCTCAGTGGATAGAGCGTCGGCCTGCAGACTGAAAGGTCCTGGGTTCGATTCTGGTCAAGGGCATGTACCTTGGTTGCGGGCACATACCCAGTAGGGGGTGTGCAAGAGGCAGCTGATCAATGATTCTCTCTCATCGATGTTTCTAACTCTCTATCCCTCTCTCTTCCTCTCTGTAAAAAAATCAATAAAATATATTTTTTAAAAACACACACACAAAATATTGCTTTGTAATAATAGGTGGCTTTATTTTTGTAATAACAGCTAAGATTTATTTTGGCATTATTACATGCCAGACCCTGCATACCTCACATTAATTTATTTAATCCTCACAATGGCTCTAAATAATAGATATTATTATCCCTATCTCATAATGAGGAAACTGAGACTCAGAAAGGCTAATTAATATACCAAAAATTACTAGAGGTTGTCAAAGCCAGGATTCAATTTCCAACATGAGTGGAGAGCCTGTTAGTATATCAAAATTATTATCCCAGCAAAATAATGAACATCCTGGAAACATTTGGGGAAGCACTGGGACATCTTACCTTGGCCTAAGTGAGTCAAGTACCTATACAAATGGAAGTACCTATACAAACGAAAGGTCAATCAAAGCTAATGGTCTCGATCTAATTATTAGTATACACCGTTCTATTGAATATAAACCATCAAGTGTAAGTGTTGCAAATTTTGCAAGTTTTATAAACTTCTCAAGGTCCTGGTTATAGAAAACATACAAAAAAGAAAATCAACAACCAGATGAACATAAAGAGTATGACCATGTTATTTTAAAGCATTCCAAATATGTTTTATTTTTACCTGACTTCATTTCCACAAGTGTATTGTTATCAATTTCATGGTTGGCTTTTCCAGGCTGAGGCACTCGCAATGGTATGATCTGAGGAACACACACTGAACCAGCAGTCATTTTCCCTGCTTACATTTTTAAAAAAGTAAATGAAAATAAATTCCAACAGCCACATATATTTGAACACACATGCTGAAGAGAAGTACCTCATTTAAATACAGTAAAGCTAGTAAAAACTAAAGAGAATACTATTACTATATCACCTAAAAATATTATTCAGTTTTTATTTGAAATAATTATTGCTTCAGCTGTATTTTTACTATTGAAGTCTTCTGTAGAGTTTTGATTATCTAATGATTACCTTACTCCTGGGGGAAAAGCATGAATGAATGAGATGGGGGAAAGGAATTGTTTTTTAAAATATATTTTTAATTGATTTCAGAGAGGAAGGGAGAGGGAGAGAAATAGAAACCTCAATGATGAGAATCATTGATTGGCACACTCCGCACTGGGGACAGCCTGCAACCCGGGCATGTGTCCTGACCAAGAATCGAACCATGACCTCCTGGTTCATAAGTCGATGAGTAATCACTGAGCCACACCAGCTGGGCAAAAGGAATTATTTTAAATTATTAGAGGCCTGGTGCATGGATTCGTGCACTGGTGGGGTCACTCAGCCTGGCTTGCAGGAATGGGGCTGAAATTGGCAGTCTGACATCCCCTAAGGGGTCCCAGAATGTGAGAGGGCACTTTGCAAAGTTGCTGTTACTCAACAGCCCCTGCATTGAGGGTCTGCCCCCAGGTGGTTAGTGCACATCATAGCTACTGGCTGTTCAGCCGATTGCCTAGGCTTTTATATATATAGATGGGCAAATTAAATTAATGCATCAGAACACAGACCATCACTAATAATCTGGTCTGAGCTTCCTCTGGATCATTATCAGCCTTTCCTGCCTTTTATTCCTGTGCTACCTTTCTTGGCTTCAGGGCAAGTCATCATGCCAGAGAAACAGAAGTAACTTTGTATACAGCACAAAATTTTAATTTAGAGCCAGCTCTTGGGAAAGCTCCAGGTTCCAGGCCCTGCAGTTGTCACCAAGTAATTCTTGCATTTGAAAGCTGCAAAGAAACTTTAGAAAGATGACAGAGTATCAAGCCTCAGCTGAAAGATGGCACCAATATAAAAAGTAAGCAACAAATACAAAAGTCTCCCACTCTGTCTACTATATTTATAAATAAGTATGAGTGTGGAGGCCTTATTGACATTTTCCCTGGGCAGTGTCATAATTTTTAATATGTGAAGGATTCAGGAGGAAAAACACCCCCCCCCCCTTAATATAGTGACCATTTCCCATCACTCTTTATCCTGTTCAAATTCCAATGATTATGGATAGATTTCACTCAACACAATCATTCCATTTTTATAGTTTACTTATTGCACCATCACTATTATTTACAATTTTCCACATGCTTATATAATCTTATTTATCAATTTGTGGTTGGGCTTTAAGGATATTACTAGTTTTAGTGGTTGCAATTCTAAATAATGCTGCTCTGAATATCTTGGGGTTTTACTTTTGTCACAGACAGTATTCCAAAAAAAATGAGATAAACAAATGGAGGAATGAACTTAATGCCTGGTTACCATAGTTCCAGGGTAGAGGTCAAGAATTTGAACCGCAAATACTAACAGATCACTAGCCTCTAAGAAAGGATGGATGGACTTGGGACACTTGCTCAAACTCACATTTCCATTTATGTGAGAGACAGTTAAAATAAAAATAGTTGAACCCTGCTCGTGTGGCTCAGTGGTTGAGCGTCACCTGATGGATTCCTGGTTAGGGCATATGCCCTGGTTGCTCGCTCTATCCCCAGTAGGGGGCGTGCAGGAGATCGATGTTTCTCTGTCGTCATCCATATTTCTATCTCTCTCCCTTCCTCTCTCTCTAAAAATCAATAAAAACATATAAAGAAATATTATAAAATAAAAATACTTGAAAAATTACTTCAAAATAAAAAATGGTTGTGGAGGGAGTCATTCGCAAGCAGTAAGTAGGAGCAGCCCTTGGAAGGCCGGGGCGGCGAGTGGGCCCCAAGAAAGAGATCAAGAAGTAGACCAATCCAACAGGCCCAAATGGCATTGTGGGGGAAACAGCATCCTAACCCTCAACTCCATCCACCCACACTGGGCCGCTCAGATCAGGAACCCTGTCTGGTCCCGGCCCCCGCCCATGGGGGAGGGGGGCAGTCAGAGACTCTCTCTTCCTTACCGCAGGATTGAGGGAGGTCCTCCTCCTCCTCTCCGCAGGATTGAGGGAGGTCCTCCTCTTCTCCGCAGGATTGAGGGAGGTCCTCCCCCACCTCCTTGTCCTCCTCCTCCTCCACCTCTTCCTCTATCACCGGCCACCAAGACAGAATTAAGCCCTCCGAGGCTCCTCTGCCGTCCCCGGCCAGGTGCTCCACCTCTCACTGCGGGGGTACCGCCGCCGTCCGCAGCGAGCTAGCCCACCTCTCACTGCCTCCTGCCTTCTCCTTGGTCAAGGTCTCGGTTACCACTGACGCTGAGAGCCTCGCCCCGCCTACTGAGAACTGAGCAGGTGATTGGCGGAAAATTGGCTTCCTAGCAACCAGCTCCGCCCGTGACGTTTGCCAGGGAGAGTGGTACCCGCAGGAACCGTAGGCGTCCGAGAATACGCCTTCTCCGAGGTTGGAAAATGCTAAAAAGTGGCGTCTCCACTCAGAATGAGGAAAGGAAGCTCGTTCGCCCGACAGGCATTGACCCTCTGGAAGCAAGAATAAGAGGATGTAGGGGGAAATGTTTTGATTTTTTTTAAAGAATCAGAGGATGTAGTGGCGCCCGTGCGTGACGCGGAGCAGGCGCGGTGTGGCCACCTCAAGCCGACAGACAAGGAAGGACCGGCTGCGACACGCGGAAGAAGGCCCATCGCCCGGCACCGCTGGTTCTCCGGCCGATACGCGCAGCTCACCCCACTGGTAAAAGAACCGCGTCCTCATGGCTGAGGTGAAGGTGAAGCTGCAGCCGCCCGACGCGGATCCAGTAGAAATAGAAAACAGGTGAGTCAGTGGGTGAGGCTCGGTTCCCGGCGGGTCATTTGGGCAGCCGGACCCTTTCTCCGGGGACTGCCGGGAGATACCGGACAAGTTTAGTGAGCACGCAGGGAGGGGGTTGCCGGGTGTGGATCCCCTTCCCACCCCCGAGGAACACAACGCTTAAGAAATTCAGAAGGAGTTTCTGACAGTTTGCAATTTTGTGTAGCTGTCCCGATGCTGTTAGGGAAGTTGTGATGATGCACCGCCTTCCTGTGTGAAGGTGATCGACGCTCAGCAAATGGCGTTTTTACCTAAGGACTTGAGGAGGATGCGTGTTCTGACTCCCAAGTGGCCCTTGTCGCTATGGGAACTCCCACGACAGGACGTGTGGGCGAAATCAGGGTGCAGTTTGTGATGACAAAGCAACACTAAGCCACAAATGGTTTCGGTGCGGAATTTAAGTCAAGATTGTAGGGCACCTAAACCTCTCACTATTGTAATTCTCTAGCAGTGCCTACTATTGTTAGATTACCACATAATCTTTAAAGACCCCAATTTTCTCAAGCTAATATGAATAGCAAATGAGGATCCCATGACAGTGTGAATATTTGGGCTTATTTCTGTTTGGTAGGGATAATTCCAAAAACAAGCCCCAGTTGTGAATTGTCATACATTTTGGCTTCCCACCAGAAATATCTGATTTGGCTCCTGCTTGCAGACTTACACTGTATCCTAACTTTGTGTACTTGCATCTGAGAAAATTGAAGCTGCAGCGTTAATATTTTTTTCTTTGTTTTCATTTGACCTTTGTTCTAATTTAGAATTCATATTGGTGAGAAAAATGTTTTCCTTAAATAATAATGTAAACATGTATTTTGAAAGCTTTGATTCAGAACCATCATAGAAACCCAGTCTGTCTGCTAAATGTGAAAACACAATTTCAAATTAATCTGCTAGTCCCCCCCCCCCCCCCGCAACCCCACTTGAAATAAGAATATCATTAATGCCTTTGTTCCTAGGATTATAGAATTATGTCATCAGTTCCCTCATGGAATCACAGACCAAGTAATTCAAAATGAAATGCCTCATATAGAAGCTCAGCAGCGGGCAGTGGCAATCAATAGACTGTTGTCTATGGTAAGGTGAACTCAACTAGTTAATGTAATTACATTTTTTAATTACCATTGTCATTACTTCCTATTATTAGTCATAAAAACATTGGAAGAGCCTGGCCAGCATGGCTTAGTAGTTGAGCATCAACCTATGAACCAGGAGGTCACGGTTCGATTCCCAGTCAGGGCACATGTCTGGGTTGTGGGCTCAAACTCCAGTGTGGGGCGTGCAAGAGGTAGCCAATGGATGAGTCTCTCCCATCATTGATGTTTCTATCTCTTTTTCTCCCTTCCTCTCTGAAATCAATACATTTAAAAAATAAAACAAAACACTGTTATTAAAAAAAGAAACATTGAAAGTGTGTTAGGTTGTGACTGATAAGATTTTAAACCAGGAAACAGCTCAGACTGCTTTGCTTGTTAACCTAATTGTCATTAAGATACATAAAGGCACATAGGCATAGTTTCTTCTGACGTTCTATTTGCTTCCTACTCCTGGTGTTGGCCATTCCCTATGAAACACATCCCCTGATTTTTCTGTGAATCATCACGAACCACCTCATTAAGGTATCCCTCCACAATCTCACTGAGCATTTCAAGAGGCAGGAATGAGTCCAGTTTAATGTCAACAGTGCTGGGTCCCTGGGAGGAAGTGCAGACTCAGCCCCCAGTGATAGCAGTGGGTTTTTGTTTTTTAGTGAAGCCCTTCTACCTATTCTTACCTTTTCTGTTTTCCTGGAGCTCTAATGTCATTCTCTCCTGTCCTAGTGGTACCCCATGTTCTAAATCTACCTATTTCTCCTTTCTATCCCCTATCATCAACATTCCCATGTCCTGAGGAATGTTGGTCTTAATAGCAATTAGGTAAAATATTTCTAAAATAAGGAATCATCTGAAGGCTGGTTTGCTTTTTATTATTATAATTATTATTTATGTTTTTTTAGAGGAAAGGAGGGAGAAAAAGAGGACTATCAATTTATTGTTCCACTTATTGATGCATTCATTGATTTCTTGTATGTGGCCCAACCTGCAGCCTTGGTTTATCAGGACAACACTAAATAACTGAGCTACCTGGCCAGGGCTAAGGCTGATTTGCTTTTTTAAATCAACTTTGTTGGATTTTTAAGGGCTTTGGATATGGAGGTTTGAGGACAAGTGAACTTTCTGTTAAAATGTTCCCTTCAACCTACTAGTTGAAGGGGTTGGCAAACTTTTTGTATAAAGTGGCAGATAGTATGTTTTAGGCTTTGCAGGCCATTTGGTTTCTGTTATAAGAGATAACTCTTCAAGAAAGTAGCTATGGCCGAAACCGGTTTGGCTCAGTGGGAAGAGCATTAGCCTGAGAACTGAAAGGTCCCGGGTTCGATTCCGGTCAAGGGCATGTATTTTGGTTGTGGGCACATCCCCAGCAGGGGGTGTGCAAGAGGCAGCTGATCAATGATTCTCTCATCAATGTTTCTAACTCTCTATCCCGTTTTCTTCCTCTCTGTAAAAAAATCAATAAAATATATATTTTTTTAAATTCCTGAAGAAGAAATTAGGAAAATTAAAAAAAAAAAAAACACGAAAGTAGCTATGGTCCACACATAAACAAATGGGTGTGGCTGTGTCCCAATAAAACTTTATTTATAAAAACAAGCAGTGAGCCAGATTGCTAACCTTGTTTTAGCACCAGGGAAAAAAGGACTCTTGATGATTTCTAGACATTTCATTATGAAGGTCTTCAGCTCCAGGAAAGATAGAGTAAGGGATGCCGGGAGGTTGTGGCAATAGAAAATGTTTTTGTCCTTTGACCACTCTTTCAACCCTTCCTTTCTGTCTGGAAATCATCCTCAGTACCTCCTTCTCTTTTACTATCTCTGTGACTGACCCCACCTACTGCCAGTCCTGTTTGCTATAGGCTGTAGTCAGTTGTGGAGCTATTGAAGAGTTTTAAGCAAGAGCAATTATCAATCACAAGTTATTACTGATTTTGCCTCTTAAATACATCTCAAATTTATCCCCCCATTTCCATTCCTATGACCCCTGCATGTGTTCTGGCTCTTTGCTTTTACCTGGACTATTCCAGTGCATCCCAACTGGCTCTCCTGGCTCCCTCTGCCTCAGAGCAGGCAGTCTGATGTGTCTTCAATACAGATCTGACCAAGTCACTTCCCCATCAGAAATACTTCTTTCAGTGCTAGAGATTCAAGTCAAAACTCACGGGTTGACCACATTGAACCTCTATCTTCCTTACCTATCTCCTCTTTTGCCATCATTGTGTCTCATAAGTTAGGTTTCAGAGGGACCACATCATGCTGTTGCATGTCTCAGGTCCTTTGCTCATGCTGTCTTCCCTGCTTAGAAGGCCCTTCTTCCTCTTCTTTTTAAAGTAAAAAGCTTATCAGATGACTAACTCCTCATTATCCTCTAAGACTCAGCTCTGCTGTTGTCTCCAAGAAGCCTCCCTGAATCCCAGATTGGGCCATAGCTGCTTCTCTGAGAGCCCATCCCACCCATTACTTACCTCTACCTTAATGCCATCCAGATGGTTTGAAGTTAGGTGTATGATTTGCTTTTAGAATTCATGTTTGTACCCACAAACAACAATCACAGTACTGGTTCATTAAATGTTCATAGGTTGAGTTAAATAACCAAATGGAACCTCTAAATTGAGCTTTGTAGTTCAGCTTTGCTACTTAATGGTGTCTAGGGAGGGAGGGTATTACTGTTCAGCCATATGTAAACCCATTTCCAAATCATGGGTCTGCCCAGTCATAACATGGAAATGGAGCCTCTCTTAGCCACATCTTCCCCAAACTGCCAGAAGCCCAATGGTACAGCCATCTGGGTGCTCCTAAGTTCAGACCCAGGGAAATTTAGAAGTATGTTAAGACATGCTTTATTTTACTTTTGATTTTTACAGAAAAACAAAACTGTGGGTCTTTTTTTCATTAGTTGACTCTTCTGCCTAATTTTTTTTTTAATATTTTATTGATTTTTTACAGAGAGGAAGGAAGAGTGATAGAAAGCTAGAAATATCAGTGAAAGACGCCGGGACTGGTTTGGCTCAATGGATAGAGCGTCGGCTTGGGGACTGAAAGGTCCCGGGTTCGATTCCGGTCAAGGGCATGTACCTTGGTTGCGGGCATATCCCCAGTAGGGGGTGTGCAGGAGGCAGCTGATCGATGACTCTCTCTCATCGATGTTTCTGACTCTCTATCTCTCTCCCTTCCCCTCTGTACAAAAATCAATAAAATATATTTAAAAAAAAAAAAAAAAAAAAAATATCAGTGAAAGAGAAACATCGACCAGCTGCCTCCTGCACACCCCCTACTGGGGATGTGCCCGCAACCAACGTACAGGCCCTTCACCAGAATCGAACCTGAGACCCTTCAGTCCATAGACTGACGCTCTACCACTGAGCCAAACCAGTTTCTGCATCTTCTGCCTAATTTTCATGTAACAAATAGAAATCACACATATCAGTAAATGTCACTATTAACTTTGTAAAGTTTAATCATTGTGTTAAAAAAATGTTTTTACAGCCCTAACTGGTTTGGCTCAGTGGATAGAGCGTGGGCCTGCAGACTCAAGGGTCCCAGGTTCAATTCTAGTCAAGGGCATGTCCTTTGTTGAGGGCACATCCACATTAGGGAGTGTGAAGGAGGCAGCTGATCGATGTTCCTCTCTCATCGATGTTTCTAACTCTCTAAAAAATAAATAAATAAATATATTTTTTTAAATGTTTTTACATGTTAGTTTTTATTTGAACTTTATGTAAATTATATTTTATTTGTATTATACTTATAGTTATTGAATTTGTTTTAATTTGAATCAATTTATTGAGGACAAGTGAACTTTCTGTTAAAAGTTCTAAAGATGCTTGTTTATAATTCTTTATACATTGATTATATAACCAAGCCAGGATCAAGCATATAAGTAATTATTAGATATTAATATTTTAGAAAATGATGAGATAAAGAGCTAAATTTTAAAAAATGCACCGTATGTGATAGGGGGAAATTTAAATCTCAAGAACTGACAAATAACTATGGGAGGTAGTATATTTAGTCTGTGTAAAATAATAAAGAATATATTAACATTTGTCATTAGATTTTATGTATCTCCAAAGTAATTCACTGCTATGTTCTATCTTTAAAAATTTTAGGGTCAGTTGGATCTCTTAAGGAGCAATACAGGTCTTCTGTATAGAATAAAGGATTCTCAGAATGCTGGGTAAGCACGTAATCACATCATTTTAAGAAAACTTTGATTATTACCAAATATAAGTTTTGAAAAAAAGCCGATACAGAATTGCATAATGTAAACCTCTTGCATATCATCCCTGCCTCCTATCATGAGTTCCCATTTCCTGGAAATAACTGCTTATAATAATTTGGTATATTTTTTTTCTTCTAGATATATAAATACATATAAATGATTATATATTTATATATAATCTCTCTTTTTTTCTTTTTTTTTAACCAAAAAATGGGATCATTCTATTCATACTGTCTTGCAACTTGTTTTTTTCACTTACTCTGTCTTGGACATCTTTTCATTCTGGTACATACAGCCCTGTCTCATTCTTTTTAAGGTAAGTTCTTATTTTAGTAAATAAGTCAATGTGATGACCTTGTCTGCTGATTCATTGGAGTAGTCATGTAGATTATTAGATTATCCTGTACCTCTTTGCCTTTTTAATTATATTTTATCCCCCTGCAGTAAAATGAAGGGATCAGATAACCAAGAAAAACTAGTATATCAGATCATAGAAGATGCAGGAAATAAAGGTAAGCATCTGAAAGAAGAAGCAGAAAAAAAATGTTGACTTTTGGACCAGATATAGGGACTGAGATTCTGTCTTCCTGGGAAATGGATCAGTGTCTGTGCTGCCACTTATATAAAAAGGAGAGGAAAATAATATACTTCTACATGGGCGGGGGTGGAGGGTGGGAAGGGAGAGGAAGTTGGTTTACAGTTGTGAGTATGCGAAAGTGTATTCTTTATTAATTATTGTATTATTTTGAATACAAACAACTGTAAACTTACTTTTGCCCCATCCTGTACTATATATATATATATATATATATATATATATATATATATATATATATATGTATGTATATATGTGTGTGTGTGTGTGTGTGTGTGTGTGTATGTATGTATAATATATGCTTGGAGAACATCTGGAGTGATGTCATTGTTGCTTCAAAGGAGGCAGGGATTAGATAACTGAGCAGGAATGGAAAGAAACTTCCAAATATTGAACCATGTGAATGTATTATCCAAAATAAAAGTTAAGGTCCTTTTTTTAATCCTCTTTATACTTAGGAAAGCCTTAGTTTCTTCATCACATGTAAATTGTGGCTAATAAAATCTCTCTGGTTTTTCAAAAAACAAACAGAGAGATGAATAGAGCAGTATGGCAGTGTCTGACTAGGTCACAGAACAGCTATTTAGTTTCTCTAACTTCATTGAAGAACTATATCTAAATTGCTGCTTATAAAGAAAAGTAAATAAATTGCTGGTTATTACAATTTAGGATATATTTGATCTGTTAGCTTTAACATTTATAATGTAATGTGAAACCACTAAAAATAGATGAATGAAAAAACCGTTCTGTGTTGAAAAAAGTTCTTATCTCATTATGCCTCTGCACTGGGAAGAAAATATGGCAAAATATTTTTACATAATATTCCCTTTTCACATATAACACTCTTTCTTTCTTTGAAAGAAAAATTATACCTCCCTGTACAGGCTGTTGAGTGGCTGTAAGAACTATAATCTTCCTATTTTCCATCTCCTGAATGTAGTGTTGTAAAATGGACATCGGTGCTCACATAAACGGGTTTTTTTTTCTCTCCCTTGAAGATTGCAGCTGACTGTAGCCCAAACTTAATTTTGTGTTTTACATATATAATCTGATTGAAATTTATAGAAAACAGAGGTTGGGATACAGGAGGGAGAGGAAGAGACTGTCAAGCACCACTTAACAACAAGGATAAGTTCTGAAAAATGCATAGTTAAGTGATTTTATGGTCCTTCTGCAAATATCACAGAGTTTACTTATACAAACATAGATGATATAAGCCTATTACATACCTAGGCAATATGATATATGGCTTATTACTCCTAAACTACAAGCCTTTGCAACATATTACTGTATAAAACAACACAAGATTAAATCAAGCACAAAAGAAAAGAATGCAATCAAGAGACACAGTAAACCCGAAATGTATGAGACTAGGGATAAGTGAAGCTTCTGCAGCATAGTTTTACAGTAAACTTTTTTTTTATAAGTAGGAAGAGTACATTTTAAATTCATGATTAAATGTATACTATAGTAAATATGTAACCAGTAAAATAGTCACTTATCAAGTATTATGGACTGTACATAATTGTATATGCTGTATTTTTATACGACTGGTTGGTTTGTTTATACCAGCACTACCACAAACACATGAGTAATGAGTTGGGCTACATTAGGACACCAGATGATAGAAATTTTCACCTCTATTATAATCATTTGGACCCACCAGGATACATGTGGTCCATCACTGATGTCAGTATGTAGCACATAACTGCATAAATTTAATAGCATTCAAGATTTTTCTTCCAATACAAAAGATCCTTTTTATTTGTTTTTAAAAAGGTTCCACACTAGGATTCTAAGAAATTTCTATAGAAAATAGAACATATAGCATATATTGTTTTGCATACTTTTGTTACTTTATGTGAGAGTCTTATTACCTCCATGTCACTTAATTTTTCCTATAATTGTGCCCTAGCAATATATAGATATATATTTTGCTGGTTTTGGAATGAGATATAAGCAATGGATTATAAGCACAAATCTTATAGTTTTAAACTTATTTTACTTTCTTACAGGAATATGGAGCAGAGACATCCGGTATAAAAGTAATTTGCCATTAACAGAAATTAACAAAATTTTAAAGAATTTGGAAAGTAAAAAGCTTATCAAAGCTGTTAAGTCTGTAGCAGTGAGTAGTTTTCACTTTCCTTCCAAATGTTTACTATATATATTACTCCAATTATATTTCAAGTTTTTATTGTTCTTTAAGCTGTGCTGTGATTTAAAACAACTGATCAAAAAATATATTTTAAAATTTAGCTCATAATTGGTTTGGAGATACTGCTTAGATATGTCACTTCTTACCCACTCAAAATTAGTAAATTAGTAAAGCTAATTTACTCTATTTAGGAAAGAATTTTTGGAATCATGAACATTTTTTCTGGATTTTGTGATGTGTAAGATAATTTACTCTCATCTTGATATATTAGATTACTCATTGAACAAATATCTACTGTGTGCTTGCAATACATTAGTGAATAAGTCAGAGAAAGATCTCTGCCTTGGTGGATCATCTGTTCCACCACATAGTTTCTCTTCCTCACCCCACCCTACCCATCACATCCTTCGGGGGCTCCATGCTCCAGAACTGTGTTCATCATGGACATCTGCTGCTGACCTCACTGATTTTAGTATCAAAGGAGCCAAAATTCCCTTAGATTAAAGTTTGCTTGAACACAAATTTCAGCATATAAGAATTTAATATTCATGCAAATTGATACAGCCACTATGGAAAACACTATAGAGGTTCCTCAAAAAAAAAATTTTTTTTTAAATGGAACTGCCTTATGACCCAGCAATTCTACTTCTGGGTATATATCCGAAGAAACCCAAAACACTAATTCAAAATAATATATGCACCCCTATGCTCATTGCATTATTTACAATAGCAAAGATATGGAAGCAACCTAGGTAGATGAGTGGATAAAAAAAACAGTGGTAATATATATAATGGAATATTAGCCATAAGAAAGAATAGAATCTTACCATAACAGCATGAACAGACCTAGAAAGTATGCTAAGTGAAAGAAGTTAGAGAAAGACAAATATATGATTGTATTTATATGTGGAATATAAAAAACAAAATACATGAATAAATAAAACTGAAACAGACTCATAGATACAGAGAACAAATTGATGGTTGCTAGAGGGGAAGGGGTTTGGAGGACTGGGTAAAAAGACAAAGGGATTAAGTACAGATTGATAGTTAGAAAATAACCACAGGAATGTAAAGTATAGCATAGAGAACATACCTAGTCAATAATGTAATAATTATGTATGGTGCCAGGTGGGTACTTGAAATATCAGGGGATCACTTGTAGGGTATATGATTATCTAACTATAAGGCTGTACACCTGAAACATATAAAATAATATTGATGTCAACTGTAATTGAAAAATTAAATAAAAAATATAGGTGAATTGCCAAAAAAAAGTTTGATATTCATTTGATTCTACTTATCAATGATTTTTATGTCATACCACTCCCTAAGTTAGAATATTATTTCTATTTCACATTTTTAATGGGTAAGTTCCAATATATATACAGAAGTAAAGAAAATAATATAATGAATCCCCACATACCCATCTCCTAGCTTCATTTCTACAATTCTCCTACATCTTTATTTTTAATAGCTTTATTGAGATATTTACATATTATAAAATTAATCCTCTTAAAGGGTATGATTCATTGGGTTTCAGTGTACTCACAGGATTGTGCAGCCATCACACTCTTCTGATTTTAAAACATTTTCCTCACCCCAGCATGTGACCACACTAGCAGTCATTCCCCAGCCTCCTTGTCCCAAGGCCCTGACAACCACTAATGTATGTTCTATCTCTATAGATTTGCCTAATCTGGACATTTCCTATAAATGGAATCATGTATATGTGGTGTGTGTGTGTGTGTGTGTCTGTGTGTTTTGTTTGTTTTTTTGGATCTGGCTTCTTTCACTTAGAATGATATTTTCAAGGTTGCAAACCAAGTAGTATAAATTTTCATAAGTCCATACCAGGAGATGTTTGAATAAATGGACACATTAGACAAGTCCATAGAGAAGAATTTCAAATTTATGTAGACACTCCACCCTAAAGAAAGTAGAGCATAATTCCTAATCCTTAGTTGTGGGTAGTACATAATAACTTTCTTCCAAGGAAAGGGCAGGGGAAAAAGTACAGTGAAGAAACTGTGAGTCACTACCGTTAGCCAGGCGATTAAGGTTAATGTCAACACTGATAAGTCATATTGATGACAATCATCTCTTGGTGACAATCAGATACCCTTAATATCTATATATATATTAAAGCCCAGTGACCATTATGATGGAACGACCAGAATGAGCGGTCACTGTGACGTGCACTGAATACCAGGGGGGCAGACACTCAACGCAGGAGCTGACCCTTAGTGGACAGTGCGTTCCCACAGGGGAAGCGCCCCTCAGGCAGAAGCCAGACTCACGGCTGACAAGTGCAGCAGCAGTGGTGGGAACCTCTCCCACCTCCGAGGTAGCGCTAAGAAGCAGCAAGGCCAGCTTCTCAGGGATTGGGCCTAAGCTGGCAGGCAGATGTACCCTGAGGGGTCCCGGACTGCAAAAGGACATAGCCCGGGCTGAGGGACTCTCCCTCCCCCAAGAGCACGAATTTTGTGCACTGGGCCTCTAGTGATGTGATAAGAAGGTCATTTGATCTCTGTGATCTTTCTTCCAGTTTAATAATCAGAAAAACATTGACCAAATCCCAATTAAGGGCATCCCAATTAAGGGCATCCTACAGAATACCTGACCATTAATTCTCAAAACTGTCAAGTTCATCAATAACGACACTTAAAAACTGTCACAATCTAAAATTTACTTCAAGAGACATGACAACTAAATCTAATGTGGTATCTTGGGGGCGGTGTGGGGGAATGGACCAGAAAAAATGGACCAGAAAAAAATTATGGAAAAACTCAGGAAATACGAACAAAGTGTAGACTTTAGTTCATAATAATATATCAGTATTGGTTCATCATTGTAACAAATGTACCCTATTAATTTAAGATGCTAATAATAGGGAAAACATTATAAGGTAACTGGAATTCTATACCATTTTCACAATAATTCTGTGAATCTAAAACTCTAAAACCTAATGTTTTGAGCTTTTTTTCACATCTTAGTTTTGGGAGATTGTTAGCTTATAAGCACCTCTTCTGTGCATGCTTTTTCCTAGGCCTCAAAGAAAAAGGTGTATATGCTCTATAACCTGCAGCCAGACCGGTCTGTAACTGGTGGAGCCTGGTACAGTGACCAGGATTTTGAATCTGAATTTGTAGAGGTGCTTAACCAACAGTGTTTTAAGTTCCTACAAACCAAGGTAAGGCATAGTTGAATAAACATTTTTTAAGATTCTTCATAAAGAATGTTTAAATTTGTAGATCTTGTTTCATAGGCATATTAAATTGGTAATTTTTACTAAACAAAATATGTTCTGTTGATTTCACTCTGTATAAATTGTATTCAGAAAACAGTTGTGTTCTTGCTAAGATTTATGTGTCTTATCCTTATAGGCAGAAACAGCCCGAGAAAGCAAACAGAATCCAATGATACAAAGAAATAGTTCATTTGCTTCATCACATGAAGTGTGGAAATATATCTGTGAATTGGGGATCAGTAAGGTCAGAACTCAGTTTCTAATTTTTATCTTACTTTTTAAAACATAGTTTATTCCAAATATATTTGACCCTGAGCATTTTTTCAGGGGATAACCTGTGAATATTCTGCAGAACCCACTTTGGAAAAGTACTATCCTGAGCCAGTTAGGCAAAGTTGGTCATTGCCATTGGCATTATCGGAACTGTGTGTATTTGAGCTTGGGAGACAGAGCAGCAGAGCGGAGCCTGGTACCGTAGTACATTTCACTTTCAGAAGTTTATTCTGACTTTTTTTTTTCTTTTTTCTTTTTTTAATATATTTTTATTGATTTTTTACAGAGAGGAAGGGAGAGAGAGAGCTAGAAATGTCGATGAGAGAGAAACATCGACCAGCTGCCTCCTGCACACCCCCCACCGGGGACGTGCCCGCAGCCAAGGCACATGCCCCCGACCGGAATCAAACCCGGGACCCTTCATTCTGCAGGCCGACGCTCTACCACTGAGCCAAACCGGTTTCGGCTATTCTGACTTTCTTAGACACATTTCTTTTTTAATATATTTTTATTGATTTCAGAGAGAAAGGAAGAGGGAGAGATAGAAACATCAACAATGAGACAGAATCATTGATTGGTTGCCTCCTGCATGCCCCACACTGGGGACCGAGCCTACAACCCAGGCATGTGCCCTTGACTGGAATCAAACCTGGGACCCTCAGTCCTCAGGCCAACGCTTTATCCACAAAGTCAAACCAGCTAGGGCAGGCACTTTTCAATATATGTGCCAACAGTCATCACATCAGTTGTCATTTATTGGTATTTTCCTCTTATGAGATATATGGTGGTATCGGCATATTTTTTGAAGACTTTTACATAAGGTCCTATACATAAGGAAATAGTGCTGAATACTTTTCATGATCAAAGAAGAAATTGAACATTTAGACAAGTCATTTTTCATTTTCCAGATTTTTCATTTATAAACTAGTGATTTTGACTAAAGACTGTTTTATGTCTAAAATACCTTTCTGCTCAAGCATTTTATAAATCTCCATCCAATTCTTACCAAACTTGACTTTACAAGACTTCTAGGTTTTACATAAAAGAGCAAAGATATGAAAGTCAGTTTGAGGTAAGATTTTCTGTCTGTAGCATTTGAGTGGTTTGTGCTAACTTGGATCATTGTTCAGCCTCTTTGTGTTTTCCATGACTTGTTTTTAACTCCCTCCAAAAGGATGTGTCTTTGTCCTTTTTGTTTCCTTTATAATATATTTCCTTTACAGGTAGAGTTGTCTATGGAGGACATTGAAACCATCTTGAATACACTCATATATGATGGGAAAGTGGAGATGACTATCATCGCTGCAAAGGAAGGCACAGTTGGCAGTGTAGACGGACACATGAAATTGTACAGAGCAGTCAATCCAATCATCCCACCTACGGGCTTGGTCCGGGCCCCCTGTGGACTCTGCCCTGTGAGTTCAAGAGACTTCACGTTACACTTGACTACCTCCAAGTGCAAATGCCATGTAACGTACCAATAAGCACACCCCAGTTTTCTGACTCTCAGGGTTGACCAAGAATTAAACCTCCATGTAATCTTGATATTTAATGAACAAATCATTGCCTTACATAAGAGATCTGTGTTTTAAAATGGACAATTTTTTAAAAATATATTTTATTGTTTTTTTTACAGACAGGGAGAGAAATAGAGAGCCAGAAACATGGATGAGAGAGAAACATCGACCAGCTACCTCCTGTACACCCACCACCGTGAATGTGCCCGAAACCAAGGCACACGCCCCTGACCGGAATGGAACTTGGGACCTTCCAGTCCACAAGCCAATGCTCTGTCCACTGAGCCAAACCAGTTAGGGCTAAAATGGACAATTTTTTACAACTATTAATCTTTTAACCTTAGTAGTGTGAGCAATGAAATTTGTTGAGAACATGAGAACATAGCATAGACATGTTTTTGAAGATTTATGTGGTTTCATTAAATCCTTCTTATGTCCCTTTGAGCTACTGGAGTTATTTTCCCTTAAGTAGGAGGGAACTTAGGCCAAGAAAGACCTAAGAGCATGTGGCTTAGAAGTAACAACCAGGATTCAAATTCAGAGGTAATATTCTTTCCCCTGCAGTATGCCCAAGTACTCTTCATTCATTTATGAGTGCCAACTGTGTGCTATAGGGACTGTCCCAGCCTCATCACATTTATATTCATGGGCTGCTAATCTGTTTTATTTCATTACTAGAGGCCCGATGCACAAAATTCGTGCAAGAGTAGGCCTTCCGCTGAAACCGGTTTGGCTCAGTGGACAGAGCATCGGCCTGCAGACTCAAGGGTCTCTGGTTCGATTCCAGTCAAGGGCATGTACCTTGGTTGCAGGCACATCCCCAGTGGGAGGTGTGCAGGAGGCAGCTGATCGATGTTTCTCATGGATGCTTCTAGCTTTCTATCCCTCTCCCTTCCTCTCTGTAAAAAATCAATAAAATATATTAAAAGAAAGAAAAAGAATAGGCCTTCCTTCCCCAGCTGCTGGCACCGGCTTTCCTCTGGTACCCAGGACCAGGCTTCCTCTGTCCGCCGGCAGGCACCTTGCACCCGGGCTTCCCTTGCAGCCCTGGCTTCGTCCAGAAGGATGTCCAGTTTAATTAGCATATTATGCTTTTATTATTATAGATACTGGCCCTTTTTATATATCTAAGCATTCTATGCCATGGTTTCAATTACTAGAAAAAAGGCTACCATATTGGAAATTCTATTCAGTACCCTTCACAAAAAGGAAAGTAGCTAAACAGGAAACATTTCATTAGTCAAAACTAAGTCTTTTTTTTTTTTTTTTTTTTTTTTTTTTTTATTGATTTTTACACAGAGAGGAATTGAGAAGGATAAAAGAGTTAGAATTGTCGATGAGAGAGAAACAGTGACCAGCTGCCTCTTGCACACCCACCACTGGGGATATGCCTGCAACCAAGGTACATGCCCTTGACCGGAATCGAAACTGGGACCTTTCAGTACGCAGGCCGACGCTCTATCCACTGAGCCAAACCGGTTTCGGCTAAGTCATTCTTATGTATAGATCTCCCTTGAATTCCTGTTACCTGCTAATAGTCTTTTCCCCAGTGGGCAGGTGAGCATGGTCATCTTAATGCTATAGTAAAAGATTTCCCATTAAGTAACTTTATGATCACAGGGCAGGCCTAATAATTAGTATGTCCTTAAATACAGACCTAATCTCTTTCAATTTGAAAGTTTTGTTTTTAATAAATAGTGCTTTAAGTAAACGGTTGGGTCTGGGATAGTTTAATAAAATTTTGAGACATTTAATTTGACTTTATTAGTATAATAAATTAAAACTTCAGTTTGAATATAAATATTTTTCTGTTTTAAAGGTTTTTGATGACTGCCATGAAGGTGGTGAGATTTCGCCCTCTAACTGCATTTACATGACAGAATGGCTTGACTTTTAATAGAGCTAGGAACTTTATGACATCTTTCAAATGAAGTTATTTTGGGAACAAATTATTTAACTCATGATGGAACATCAATTTCCCTTGAAAGCAAACTTCACAATAATGGATACAGACTTACTGCTATGAAAATGTATTTTTTAAATCTATGAAGACTAAATTTATATTGGTAGAGTAGCCATCAGAATATACAGCAGGTAAGTGAAATCCCTTCTTTAATAAATAAAATACTTTGAAGTTCTGGAGGACAACATCCGAAGCTTTCAAGATTTGACTGTCCAAAAAAAAAAGAACCCAACAAATGCATATTTACCAATGGATAATAGCCGGAGCCTAAAAATGCTTGTTTTAAAGCTATTTATTAAGGTCTTCATTGGAAATTGTTTATATCTGGTTCACTGTCACCATTTCTGTTCCCTCAGTGGTTCCACTGAGAATAAATTAAAACAGGAAAGGCAGGAATAGCAGAACAGTCTGTGCAAATTGGGGTATGGATAGAGAGGATAGTTGGAACATCCTTTTCCACATTCTGTTCCTTTTTATGTGAAGTATTCTTGTCCTAGCCCCATGGTCGGCAAACTGTGGCTCACGAACCACATGCAGCTCTTTGGCCCCTTGAGTGTGGCTCTTCCACAAAATACCACTGCCTGGGCAAGTCTGTTTTGAAGAAATGGCATTAGAAGAAGTTTAAGTTTAAAAAATTTGGCTCTCAAAAGAAATTTCAATTGTTGTTCTGTTGATATTTGGCTCTGTTGACTAATGAGTTTGCCGACCACTGCCCTAGCCAGTTTGGCTCAGTGGATCAAGCGTTGGCCTACGGACTGAAGGGTCCTAGGTTCGATTCTGGTCAAGGGCACATGCCTGGGATGTAGGCTCAGTCCCCAGTAGGGGCATGCAGGAGGCAGCTGATCAATGATTCTTTCTCAGCATTGATGTTTCAATCTCTTCCTCCCTGAAATCAATAAAAATATTTTTTTAAAGAAATATTTTGGAGGATTAAGCTACTGCATTTACCTCAAACTTAAATAACTATTGTCAAGGATGTTTTCAGTCCATTAATATTATTCTCATCCAAAAGGGTTTTTTCCCTCTAGACCTTCTTTGTTAAAGTCTTACAAATTCATCTATGGCTGTTATATTATTTAATAGAATTTTTCCTATATTCTTATTATTTAAGTAACATTAAAACCAAAAATAATCCATTGCCCTCTAGTCAGACTTTATTTTGGGAAGGGGTACCATTTGTTTGTTCTTGTCCTATTTTAGACTTATTTCTTTTCTTTATTCTGTTCTAAAACTCATGATGTAATATGTCTAAACTGAGCAGAAAGCCATTGTCATTGTCCGTAGTTCTAATACCACTTTCAGTTTTCATTCTTTAGACATATAAAACATACTAGCTTGTTTGTAGTGTTCCACAGATGTTAGCTGGAGGACTTTTTAGGATCTCAGCTGTTGTATTTTCCCTTTTAACTCCATTTAAAGGTTTCTGTGTTGCCCTGGGCAGTGTAATTCAGTTGGTTGAACATCACTCCATACACAGAGAGGTCACCAGTTCAATTTTAGTAAGGGTACACGTCCAGGTTGCAGGTTTGATCGGCGGGGGCGGGGGGGGGGGGGAATCTGATGTTTCTCAGCGGGGGGTTATCTATGTTTCTCCCTCTCCCTCTCTAAAAGCAATAAAATAAAATAAATGTGCCTGGCCTGCAAGACTCAGTGTTTGAGCATCAACCTATGAACAAGGAGGTCACGATTTGATTCCCAATCAGGGCACATGCCCAGGTTGCGGGTTCAGTCCCCAGTGGGGGGACATGCTGGAGACAGCCAATCACTGATTCTCATCATTGATGTTTCCATCTCTCTCACTCTCTCCCTTCCTTTCTGAAATCAATAAAAATATATTTTATAAACAATGGACGCAAAACTCGGAGGGGGAGGGCATATATGGGAGTGGAGTTGGGCAATGGTAAGATATGTACACATATAATACTTTAATTTTTAAAAATCAAGAAATCTATATAATAAATTATAATTATATATAATATAAAAAAGTTTCTTTGGCTAGGCCAAAAGTGTGAAACCAGAGGAAAGGAATTCAAGCTCAGCTACTCCTGAGGCCTGAGTTCAAACAGTTTGGAGATATTCTTAAGCCAGGAGTGGGGAACACCCAGCAAGAGGGCTGTATAGATCCACAAAACTATTTGATCTGGCCCAACAAGGCAATTATAGAGGGGTCTCAAAATTCAACAAATCTAGGAGTGTAAATTTATCAATATAAATTTACATTGAATGAATGATGTATGTTATAAATATCCATATGGCCTTTGGTAGAAAAAAGGTTCCCCACTCCTGCTAAGTGGACAACCAGAAGGGTTATTTTGAAATAAATGGGATTAGTAAAATAAATTCAGTTAAATAACCAATTTTTGAGAATCAAATTCTGTGGCCAGCTATATAGAATTAGCATTTGATGACACTAGCTCTTTGAAACAAATAACATTTTTTAAGTATTGGATATACATGAGATAGAGAACCCAGGAGCCTGTAAAGTACAGATTTCTCTTCTACCACCAGTGAGAATTGGAATGAGCCGGGACCGGTTTGGCTCAATGGATAGAGCGTCGGCTTGGGGACTGAGGGGACCCGGGTTCGATTCTGGTCAGGGGCATGTACCTTGGTTGCGGGCATGTCCCCGGTGGGGGGTGTGCAGGAGGCAGCTGATTGATGACTCTCTCTCATCGATGTTTCTGACTCTCTATCTCTCTCCCTTCCTCTCTGTACAAAATCAATAAAATATATTAAAAAAAAAAAAAAAAAGAGAGAATTGGAATGATAATATCTGTCCTTCGGGGGACCTGGCCTATCACAGAGGTATAGTCTTATTTAATAAGCAAACTGAACTTGGAGAATTCGCATTGGAAAGCAGGAATCAGTTTTAAATATAGACTCTGCATTATGTCTTAATTTTTTTTTTTCCAGAGATTTATTTTTAAAGCTTACAATCAATGGCTAAAACATAAAAGTATCCCTTGCCTCACTAGAATAAAGATTCTCTTTAAACCTTTTTGTCATAGCACATCTTAAATTGTGAAAATTAGCTGAAGGAAAAAGACAATAATTTAAAAACACAGCACCTTTGATGGCAAATGTATATTTATGTACTGGAGTAAACTTTGACCAAAACAAATAGTGGGGCTCTAGACTCGTGACACCACCAAAAAATCAAGTTGTGAGTGAAGTCCTAATCCTACAGTTGATTTTCATTTAATATAAGATATTTTGCTCACCTGAGATTGGATATTCCCCGGAGTCTGGCAAGGCCTTGCTATAGTTAATAATGAGCCATATACAAAAATGAGAATCTATGGTTCGATGGCTCATTAATGGTTCTCATCGATGTTTCTCCCTCTCCCTCTCTAAAATCAATAAAAACAGAAAGTAAGCTTCTGCCCAGCATGCCTGACTTAGTGTTTAATTCCCGGTCAGGGCACATGCCCAGGTTGGGCAGTTAAACTAATAGTTTATGTGGGATTCTTCAATGAAGCTTCTCTGATCTTAGTTTGGTGATGAGTTTTACAGAGCCATGATTTTTCTGATAACCAACTAAGCAAACTAGACAAGTAATTTCAAATTGAGTCATATTAGATGGTGGGTCAGGGAAGAATATAAAATACATTAGGGGCCCGGTGCAAAAAATTTGTGCATGGGGGTGGGAGGTGTCCCTATGCCCAGCCTGCACCCTCTCCAATCTATGACTCCTTGAGGGATGTCCAACCACCCATTTAGGCCTGATCCCAGTGGAACTAAACAGGCAATTGGACATCCCTCTCAATCCAGGATTGCTGGCTCTCAACTGCTCACCTGCCTCTACCTAATTGCCCCTAACTGCTTCTGCCTGCCAGCCTGACCAACTCCTAACTACTCCCCTGCCAACCTGATTGACACTTAACTGCTCCCTAGCTGGCCCGATTGCCCTTAACTGCCCTCACCTGCCGACCTGGTTACCCCTAACTGCCCTCCCCTGCCACTCTGGTCACCCTTAACTATCCTCCCCTGCAGGCCTGGTCACCTCCAACTGCCCTCCTCTCCTACCCCAGTCACCCCTAACTGTTCTTCCCTGCAGGCCTGCCCTTCCCTGTAGACCTGGTCACCGCCACCCCCAGTTGTTCTCCCCTGCAGGCCTGGTCCTCCCCCAACTGCCCTTCCCTGCAGGCCTGGTTCCCCTCCCCCCACAATTGCCCTCTGCAAGCCTGGTCCCCCCCAACTGTCCTCCCCTTCAGGCCTGTCCCCACCAACTACTCTCCCCTGCAGGCCTGGTCTCCCCAACTGCCCTCCTCTGCTGGCCTGGTCACCCCTAACTGCTCTCCCTGCTGGTGTGATCACCCACAACTGCACTCCCCTTCAGGCCAGTTTCCTCCCAACTGCCCTACCCTGCAGGCCTGGTCCCCTGCAGGCCTGAATCCCCCCCCCCCCCCAACTGTCTCCATTGCAGGCCTGGTCACTCCTAACTGCCCACAACGGCCCTCCCCTGCAGGCCATCTTGTGGTGGCCATCTTCTGTCCACATGAGGGTGGCCATTATGTATCTTGGGGTGATGGTCAATTAGCATAATACTCTTTTATTAGATAGGATGCCCTAGATTCCAGTGCTGTCCAATTGAACTTTCTATAATAATTGGCTGATAATTGGTTTTTTTGTGTGTGTGGTTTTTTTTTTTTTTAATAAACCATGTCATGTTTTTTTGTTTGTTTTTGTTTTTATTTTTTTCAGAGAGGAAGAGAGAGGGATAGAGAGCTAGAAACATCGATGAGAGAGGAACATCGACCAGCTGCCTCCTGCACACCCCCTACTAGGGATGTGCCCGCAACCAATGTACATACCCTTGACCGGAATCGAACCTGGGACCTTTCAGTCTGCAGACCGATGCTCTATCCACTGAGCCAAACCAGTTTCGGCAGCTAATGATTGTTTAAGGCAATATTTAGAGATAGTAATAGGCAAAAATTTTAAGAAATGAAAAGGGTTTTTTAAAATATGATCAGAAGAAAAAGCATGGGAAATGAAAGAGATCTAAAGAACCATGGGAGTTAAGAAGTAGAACTCTACAGAACAAAAATTTCAGGAATGAAAAGATTATTTAAAAAAATAAGACTAACAAAATCCAAATTGTTTCCATGATTTTATTCTTTGACATTATGTTCATTTCTCAGGCTTTACTGGGAATCTTTTTTTTTTTTTAATGTATTTTATTGATTTTTTACAGAGAGGAAGGGAGAGGGACAGAGAGCTAGAAACATCAATGAGAGAGGAACATGACCAGCTGTCTCTTACACACCCCCTATCAGGGATGTGCCTGCAACTAAGGTACATGCCTTTGACCAGATTTGAACCTGGGACCCTTCAGTCCACAAGCCGATGCTCTATCCACTGAGCCAAACCGGTTTTGGCTATAGAGAATCTTTTAAGGCACCTGGCTAAGTTAATTACGGCAGAAGCCACAAATGGATGGCTTGGATTTTGTGTGTGTTGCAATGTTTGTAAATTTTTTATTTACACTGTACTTGCCAAGTAATCCTTAGGTACATGGACTACAAGTAATTCATGTACATATGCGTTATTTATACATGCATATATATTCCCTAAATATAAACCCATTCTATAAAGTTTTTTCCTTAGAAAATTGGCCACACCTTTGTCACATTCCCACATGACATGAGTTCTCCAGATAGCCTTTATCCTCCCAACTGTGGTTTTAACAAAGTTGACTTATACTCCCCGCCTGACCCTTGCAAAACCCTGCATCATAGCATCCTTATGTTTCATTGTCTCTCAACCTGTTTGAAGGATCATGGGTTAGAGGGCAAGGTGTCAAAGGTGAAGGCCCCAGTCTGGGATTAATATCTTAGGCCAGCTCAAAACACTGGCTAGTGTTTTGAGCTCTAAGCCAACCTTCAGTCATGTTTTCTTTCTCCAACACTTTAAAGAGGAGGAGGCTGAAACCGGTTTGGCTCAATGGATAGAGCATCGGCCTGCGGACTGAAGGGTCCCAGGTTCGATTCTGGTCAAGGGCATGTAACTTGGTTGCGAGAACATCCCCAGTAGAGGGTGTGCAAGTGGCAGCTGGTCGATGTTTCTCTCTCATCAATGTTTCTAACTCTCTCTCTCTCTCTCTCCCTTCCTGTCTTTAAAAAAATCAATAAAATATTTTAAAAAATAAAATAAAGAGGAGTACAACTCGTATACATTAAATTAATTTTGTTTTAATCTGGGCTAGAAACCAGGAAACCTGGGTTCCATTTGTGTCTTATTCACTTTGGATGGTTAACATGTCCTTATGTCCCTTATCATAGGGAAAATACTGCTTTAATTCATAGCAATTTGGAAAGATATAGAGTCTAAGGAAAATGGAAATGTTATTTGTAACTTAGTTTGAACACTGAAATTTGTGGGGGGGTTTTAGGCATTTCTGATGAATTACCTATAATCTGATCATTGTTCTACTATACTGGTATGCAAAATAGCAGACCTCATTCTGTTTGTGCTGATATTTTCAGTATAGCCTTTACCACCTCAATCATTTCAGGAAACTCTGTGTCCTGAAAGTGCTCACGGTCAGTGAATTTGTAAAATTTGGTTTCCAAACTGTCTGCCACTTCTTGTTGTTCCTTCCATGGTAGGAAAGGATCATCAGTGGAGCCGAACTGCACAATGAGAGGGCAGTTGGCTTTGATCTTCTCCCACTGCCAAGGGCGGTTGAAGTAGCCTAGGGAGAAAAATATATATAACCCAAAAAATATATATAAGTAGTAATATATATGTACACATATAATACCTTAATAAAAATTTTTAAAAGAAAAAAAAATATATATATATATATATAAACAAACTATCAGTGCCAATGGATAATTTCTATTCTAGCCATTCTGAAATATCTAGTGAAGACCATAGAAGACGCATCAAGAATCAAAACCCAAATGGTTTTCTGATCTGTAGGGCTTGATATCATAGGTACTTGTGAAAGGGAAGTATGGCTCATATAAAGTCAGACCTCAATTCTAGACCATGGATTGGAAATGGTTACAACCTTTCAAAGTGCCAAACTTAAGCTAACGATAGGTGGTAAATATTTTTCATGTACTATTAGATTTTTTAGCCAGTCCAAAAGACGGTGCTGTTTTATAACCTGAACAAGCAGCCATGTGACTAGAGGAAGGGCTCTTCTGGGGTTTCTGCCTTCAAACTTACCACTTGCACGTTCATTTTCATCCCCTAAGTCTGATGTGTATGCAGACACTAATACAATCGCAAACACTCGATGTGTTTCTGCATACCTGAAGAAAGAGAAATTATGTCAGCTAATATTTAATGTTAAATCTGATCACCAAAAAGTCAGTTAACCACTTACCTCATTTGGTTTAGCTTACAAGAAGTATGTGCTATATGCTGTTGGAGTTAATATGAGAAATAATAATGAAACTGCAGAACTGTAAGCCCAATGGTTACTTGATATGAGTTTCTACTCATTTTTCAAGGTAGTTCAAACCTCTGCTGCAATCCTTTCCCAATACTACACATAAAAGTATAATCATGCCCAAACCGGTTTGGCTCAGTGGATACAGTGTCTTTCTGCGGACTGAAAGGTCCCAGGTTTGATTCTGTTCAAGGACATGTACCTCGGTTGCGGGCACATCCCCAGTAGGAGATGTGCAGGAGGCAGCTGGTCGATGTTTCTCTCTCATCAATGTTTCTAACGCTCTCTCTCTCCCTTTCTCTCTGTAAAAAGAAATCTATAAAATATATATTTTTAAAAAGTATAATCATTTTCTTCATTGTGTGCAATCTATCATTAGTATGCATCAGCATTATTTGATTAACACATAGATTTCTGGGCTCAGTCCCAAAGCATGATTCAAAAGGTTGGGAAGCCTAACAGACATGGCTCAGTGGGTGAGGGGTTGGCCTAAGAACTAGGAGGTCACAGTTCGAATCCTGGTCAGGGCATATGCCGGGATTGCGGGTTTGATCCCCAGTGGGGGATGTGCAAGAGGCAGCCAATCAATGATTCTCTCTCATCAGTGATGTTCCTCTCTCCCTCTCCCTTTCTCTCTGAAATCAATAAAAATATATCTAAAATGTTTTTAAAAGGTTGGGAATGTGGCTCAGGAATCTGCATTTTTTAATACATTTTTAAAATATATATATATTATTGATTTTTTACATAGAGGAAGAGAGAGGGACAGAGAGTCAGAAACATCAATGAGAGAGAAATATCGATCAGCTGCCTCCTGCACAGCCCCCACCGGGGATGTGCCCGCAACCAATGTACATGCCCTTGACCGGAATCGAAACTGGAACCTTTCAGTCCACAGGCCGATGCTCTATCCACTGAGCCAAACCGGTCTTGGCAGTAATCTGCATTTTAAGGCATGCCACCTCTTCCAACACTATTTTAAGAAATTCTGTAAATAGCAGAAATATACCTCCTTTACCACACACTCCACATTGCATTGTATTACTTATGCAGTATTATCATATATCTATCTCCCCAATGTAAACCATCAGCTCCTTAAGGGCACATCTGAACCTTGATCTTTGGGACCCTGGTGCCTAGAACATTGCCTGGGAAACAGTTTACTATTTGCAGACAGTTTCCTCAAAAAACAGGCGAAGGTAAGACATAGAATGATAACAGTTTCAAGGAGCCATGGCACTCTGGGGAGGGAGGGTATGTATGGGGGGGGGGGCAATGTTAAAATATGTACAAAGGTAATAATTTAAGGAGCCATGGTGCCAGAAAAGATTTAGGGTTGATATTTTGTTCATGGGCCTAAACTTCTTTCCCCAACCTTTTGTTTTGAAAAATGTTCAAACCTACAGAAAAGTTAGAATAACAAGCACCTAGGTTCATTAATTTTGCTACCTTTCACCCTAAATCTTCAGCATGTATCCCTATATCCTCATATAACAGTACCACTATTACACTGAATAATTTAACATTGAAACATATTAACTCTATTTCCCCCCCCACAATTGTATCAAAAATGCTCTTTAAAACTGCTTTTTCAATCCTAGATCCAAAGATCATGCAGTACGTTTGGTTTTCATGACTCTAGTCACTTTTAAATTTTTTAAAATATATTTTTATTGATTTCAGAGAGGAACAGAGAGAGAGAGAAATATCAATAATCAGAGAGAATAATTTATTGGCTGCCTCCTACAAGCCCCACACAGGTGACCAGAGTTGAACCTGGGACCCTTCAGTCCACAGGCCAATGCTCTAGCCACTGAGCCAAACCAGCTAATACTAAATTTTTTGTTTTAAATAACATAAACATAAACGAAACTGGTTTGGCTCAGTAGATAGAGTGCTGGCCTGCAGATCGAAAGATCCGAGGTTCGATTCTGTTCAAGGGCATGTACATTGGTTGCAGGCACATCCCCGGTGGGGGCTGTGCAGGAGGCAGCTGTTCGATGTATCTCTCTCATTGATGTTTCTAGCTCTCTATCTCTCTCCCTTCCTCTCTGTTAAAAATCAATAAAATATATATATTTTTAAAAACAAGTTTTTTAAAATTTAGGCCAGTTTTCTTGTACATTATCACATAACCTGAATTTGCCTATTTCCTCATGATTAGACTGAAGTTAGACATTTTTGGCAAGGATATTATATAGATAATGTGAATCTCCCAGTTCATCCATCAGAGGCACCTGAAGCCAGTGGTCTCATTATTGCTGAGATTAACTTTGATTACTTGCTTAAGGCAGCAATTTTCAACCATTTTTATCTCATGGCATGCATAACTAATTACTAAAATTCTGTGACACACAAAAAAGATATACTTTTTGCCAGTCTGGCAAAAAAAAAAGCGCGTAACTTTTATCCATTCTCATCTGATGGTTATTATGTTGGCTGTTTTGTGTTTTGTTTTGTTTTTATCTGATAGTCTCAGGAAAAAAAGATTGGTACTCCTAACTAGGCAGGTATTGCATGTTTCTTTCTTTTATATATATATATATATTTTATTGATTTTGTACAGAGAGGAAGAGAGAGGGATAGAGAGTAAGAAACATCGATGAGAGAGAGTCATTGATCAGCTGCCTCTTGCACACCCCCTACTGGGGATATGCCCGCAACCAAGGTACATGCCCTTGACCGGAATTGAACCTGGGACCTTTCAGTCCCCAAGCCGACGCTCTATCCATTGAGCCAAACCGGTTTCGGCGAGGTATTGCATGTTTCAAAAATTCTTGTGGCACACCAGTGTGCCTGCTGTGGCATGCAAGTTGGTAATTGCTGGCTTATGGGTGATATCCGTCAAATCCTTTCCTTGTAAAGACATTATTTCCCCTTTGTTATTAACAAGTAATCTGTGGGGTGGTCCTCTGGGACTCTGTCAATCCTCTACCATCCTCCATGGTTTTGGTATCTATTTTTCTCTGTCTACCTTAACTTTAGAAGTTAGAACATTGCTCACAACCCTGCAATCAGTTTCAGGGATCTTTAAAAGAAGGCATACCTTGCCCTAAACAGTTTGGCTCATTGAATAGAGTGTCAGCCTGCAGGCTGAAAGGTCCCAGGTTCGATTCCGGTCATGGGCATGTACCTTGGTTTCGGGCACATCCCCAGTAAGTGATCAATGTTTCTCGCTCATCAATGTTTCTTTTTTTTTTTTCTTTTTTTTTTTTTAATAAACTTTTTTAAAAAATATATTTTATTGATTTTTTTACAGAGAGAAAGAGAGAGGGACAGAGAGCTAGAAACATCAATGAGAGAGAAAGATCGACCAGCTGCCTCCTGCACACCCCCCACCGGGAATGTGCCCGCAACCAATGTACATGCCCTTGACTGGAATCAAACCTGGGACCTTTCAGTCCGCAGGCCGACGCTCTATCCACTGAGCCAAACCAGTTTCTGCTCATCAATATTTCTAACTCTCTATCCCTTTCTCTTCCTCTCTGTAAAAAAATCAATAAAATATATTTAAGAAATAAATAAAAGAAGGGCACACCTTTATTAGCCAACGGCTTGAGAGATATTTGGTTGGCCTTGAGTTGGTACATATTTCAGCATAAAGGAATTTCTTCATTTTCCAGACAAGCCCTGGCAGCTTATAAACAATGGCTGTACCATAATTCTGTAATTCCATATTGCAAAGCATTATTATTCTTATAACTTCAATTAGTGTGGCTGAAAGGTTATAGAATTGGGCAAGATTCTTTGACATGCAATTCATGTGACATCCTAAAGGACTGCTTGGGATGATGCCACATGAATAAAAACCACAATCCTTTGTCATCTAGCCTGGCAAATATGGAAGAAACCCAACCTGAACAGGCTTATTCAGCCAGCTAAGTCCCTAACCCCTAGGCCTCACAACCCTAAAGTGAGAGATGTCATGTTCTTTGGTGATCATGCCCATGAATACTAAGGACTTGGGGTTTAAGAAGAAAAGGAGTAACAGCCTCTAACCGCTAACTAATACTTACTGAACACTGATCATATGCCAGACATTCTTCTAGACACTGGGGTTTCAGAACAAAGTTCCCTCTCATTTATCTTACATTCTATTGGCAGGAGACAAATAAACAGGATATCAGATGGCAAAAAACTGTATAGATAATAAAGGGGATAATAAGGTATAAATGGAATAGGAGCCAGTGAAGTGAGGTGGTTGTTTGAAATGGAGTGATTAGAAGAGGCATCACTGAGAGGGAATATTCAATCAAGCAGAGCCTAAAGAGGAGCAGAAAACCATGCAGTATCTAGGGACAGAGTTCCAGGTAGAACAAGAGCAAGTACGGGCCTAAGGTAGGCGCACACTTAGCACGTTAAGGAACTATAATGAAGTCTGTAAACCAGGCTGGGGGCAGTGAAGGTAGAGATGACATTGGAGCTACTACTCAGAGCCTTGAAGGCCTAGGAGTTTTTCTAAAGAGAAGTGCAGCAGCTGGGGATAGAATCACTAATGTGTTTAAAAGATCACTGGTTTTTTGTCCAATCTCTTCCTGCACCACTCAGACCCCTTTCCCCCTGAGAACTGTCAGTCCACTCCCTTTCTATGTCTCCGATTCTATTATATTCACCAGTCCATTGTGAGATTAGACAAAAAACTTACACCTATGGATGAAGACAGTGGCAAGGGGTAAGGGCGTGGGGTGGGGTCGGGAATCAGGTGGAGGGACCTATGGGGGGGTAAAAAAGAGGAACACCTGTAATAATCTGAACAATAAAGATTTATTATATTAAAAAAATTTTTTTTTAAAGAAAAAAAAAAGATCACTGGGTCCCAAGAAAAGAAAAAAAAGGTTTTAACCCACTAACCAAACCAGGAAGCATTACGATAAATTATATTGCCACTTTTGAGGTCAGCACTATTTCCTCTACAGTGGAAACCAGATATACACAAGGTATTTCCCAAGAAGACGGTTGGAGCCCCTACAAGGTGATAATTCAAGGATCGCACCTCATGGCTGCGATGGCCCCGGAACTGTGGCCTATGATGATGGTCCTCTCGTCACAATGCAGCTCTGTCTCCATGAAGGGCAGCCAGATGCTCTCTCGAGCTGTAACTAAGGTTCAGGGTAAAGAAAGAGTGTCATTTGACAGGGACAGCCTTCATCTATTCACAACTTTAAAACTTCAGATCATGCCGAAACCGGTTTGGCTCAGTGGATGAAGCGTCGGCCTGCAGACTGAAAGGTCCCAGGTTCGATTCCAGTCAAGGGCATGTACCTTGGTTGCGGGCACATCCCCAATAGAGGATGTGCAAGAGGCAGCTGATTGATGATTCTCTCTCATCGATGTTTCTAACTCTCTATCCCTCTCTTTTCCTCTCTGTAAAAAAATCAATAAAAATATATTTTAAAAAGTAAATAAAATAAAACTTCAGATCACAGTGGCAATGGAGCCATTTTAATAGAGACATTGCATGTTGCTGTTTGAAAGAATCAAATCTGTAGTTCTGTTTTTGTTTTTTACCATTGTAAGAAAATACTGCAGAGATGATAAATTATAACTCTGAAGCTTTAAACTTTCCAACCTAAAGGACAATGTTCTCTTTCAAATTTATACATTATTTCTTTTCAAAACGGAAATTCCTGAGACAAGTCATAGCCAAACTCAGAACAAAAGAGTCACTGTTATATTTTTTAAATATTAGGATCTCATAAATGCTGTAGAGTTTTATCATATCTCTGCCTCAAGTGGAACACCCATAAATTTTGCCTAGAAATAATTGTTGATTTATGGAAGAGAAAGTCAAGTTGCTTACAAAGATAGAAATTAAATTTTACCAAGTCCAAGTACTTTTATTTTTTTCCCTTTTTTTAAAATTCTCACCCAAGGATATGTTTTTATTGGTTTTAGAAAGAGAAGAAGGGGGTGAGAGAAACATCAATCGATAGCCTCCCGTACATGCCCTGACCAGGGATTGAACCACAGCCTAGGTATGTGCCCTGTCTGGGAATCCAACCTGTAACCTTTTTGGTGTACAGGATGATGCTCCAGCCACCTGAGCCAACTGGCCAGGCCCAAGAGCTTTTCTTGATCCTTACTAGAATTGTCTATTAGTTTTTTTTATTTTGGGTTTTTTTGTTGTTGTTGTTTGTTTTTTTGTATATACCCTCCTCCCCAAACTATTTGCCGTCATTCATTTTTAGGTACATATTCTGTTTAGCTTCTCTACTATGATATTCTTGTTCTCTACCAGGAAAATACAAGATCAAAACCCAACAAAATGAGGCTATTTAAAAACATTTTTAAGAGGAGAACCAAGATGAGTGTAAAGAATCCCTGGGACAACTTCAAGTGTACCAACATCCGCGAGAATCCAAGATGGCTGCACAGGTAAACACCTAGCCGCAGCCCCACACAACAATTTCAATAAAATACAACTAAAATATAAAATGGACATTACCCAGAACTACAGGAAAGTTGACTGACTGGAAATTCTACAACGAGAAGCAAGGAGAAAAACAGAAGGAAGAGCGGAGGAGCTGTAAAAGCCTAAGGTACAGAGACATGGTACCCGAGGAGAGGACAGAGCTGGAGAGGAGGGCGGCTGAGTGCCTGGCTGGCATTCCCTAGCGGTACAGAGATAAAAGCTCTGACTGTGCTGGGCCCCACTTCCGACTGCACTGAACCCCAGTTCTAGGCCAGACCCCACGGACTCAGGCTCATCCATAGGGAGCTGGGCTGTAAGGCGGAACCCCGGGGGAGCGGCGAAAGGAGGTCCCAGGGCTCGCACATTACATGCAGAGAAGGGATGGTTTGCTGTGCCGCGAGATTGCCCTGGTGGGAAGGAGACAAAAGCTCCAGATTGCTTTGAACGCCACCTCCAACTCCACTTCCAACTGAACTGAACCCCAGTTCCGGGCTCATTGGGGAGAGGCTGGACTGTTTGGTAGCAGGCGAAAATCGAGGGCACCTTTCTCTCAGAGGTGCTTGCAACAAGTACTGAGGACCCTGGGGATTACTGAGACTCAGAAGCTGCATAGGGCGGGGCTGACAGAAGCCAAGCCTGTAGGCTCCACCCTGAAACCCTGCCCCATCAGGGAAGCTGCGAAAATGCCCAGACAACTAAATAGATCACAAACGCGCCGATACTGGTTTGGCTCAATGGATAGAGCGTCGGCTTGGGGACTGAAAGGTCCCGGGTTCGATTCCAATCAAGGGCATGTACCTTGGTTGCAGGCATATCCCCAGTAGGGGGTGTGCAAGAGGCAGCTGATCGATGACTCTCTCTCTCATCAATGTTTCTGACTCTCTATCTCTCTCCCTTCCTCTCTGTACAAAATCAATAAAATATGTTTTAAAAAAATAAATAAATAAAAATAAAATCCACTAAGATAACACTTTTTAAAAAAAAATAAAAATAAAAATAAATAGATCACAAACGAAAGAAATGGAGGACAAAAAGCGTCTGGATATAGAGTTCAAATCTACGCTTATAAGGTTTTCCAAGAATTTCCTAGAAAAGGTCAATAAGACCTATGAGGATATGAAAAGGGATCAACTAGCATTAATAAGGAATCAACAAGAAATGATAAGGGATCAACAAGAAATAAAGAATACATTGTCTGAAATAAAAAATATTCTACAAAGTCCTAAAAACAGAATGGAAGATCGCAAGAATCAAGTCAAAGATTTGGAACATAAAGAGCCAGAAGACACTCCTCCACAGAAGGAAAAAGGCAAGAGAATCCAGAAAATTGAAGATAATGTAAGAAATCTCTGGGACAACTTCAAGCGAACCAACATCAGAATTATGGGGTCCCAGAAGATGAGAGAGAGCAAGATATCGAAAACATACTGAAAGAAATAGTGACAGAAAACTTTCCTCACATGGGGAAAGAATTAAACTTACAAGTCCAGGAAGCGCACAGAACTCCAAACAAAAGGAATCCAAAGAGGACCACACCAAAACACACCATAATTAAAATTCCAAGAGCAAAAGACAAAGAGAGAATATTAAAAGCAGCAAGAGCAAAGAAGGTAGTTACCTATAAAGGAGCACCTATACAATTGTCAGCTGATTTCTCAACAGAAACCATGCAGGCCAGACGGGAATGGCAAGAAATATTCAAGGTGATGAACAGTAAGAACCTACAGCCAAAGATAATCTACCCAGCAAAGCTATCACCCAGAATCAAAGGCCAGATAAAGAGCTTCACTAATTAAAAAAAGCTAAAGGAGTTCATCATCACCAAACCAGAATTATATGAATTGCTGAAGGGGGTTCTTTAGGAAGATAAAGTAAATAAAGATAAAAATTATGAACAACAAATACGTAACTATCAACAAGTGAATCTAAAAACCAAGGAAATTAAAAAAAAATCTGATGAACAATATTAACTGTTGAATATAATAGAATCAGAGGTATGGAAGGGGAGTGAACTGATGATTCTTGGGGAAAAGGGGAGATGGGAAGTGGGGAAGAGACTGAACATAAACTGTGCACCTATGGATGAGGACAATGGGGGGTGGGTAAAGGGCAGAGGGTGGGGTGGGAACCTGGTGGAGGAGAGCAATTGGGAGGTGGGGAGAAACATTTGTAATAATATGAACAATAAAAATTATTAAATTTAAAAAAAAGTGTACCAACATCCAAATTATGGGGGTGCCAGAAGAAGAGAGAGAGCAAGATACTGAAAACCTATTTGAAGAAATAATAACAGAAAACTTCCCCTACCTGGTGAAAGAAGTAGACTTAGAAGTCCACGAAGCTCAGAGAACTTCAAACAAGAGAAATCCAATGAGGACCACACCAAGACACATCATAATTAAAATGCCAAGGGCAAAAGACAGAGAATATTAAAAGCAGCAAGAGATAAACTATTACCTACAAGGGAGTACCCATAAGACGGTCAGCTGATTTCTCAATAGAAACTATGCAGGCCAGAAGGGAGTGGCAAGAAATATTCAAAGTGATGAATAGCAAGAACCTACAACCAGCCAAAGCCAGTTTGGCTCAGTGGTAGAGCGTCGGCCCGCGGACTGAAAGGTCCCAGGTTCGATTCTGGTCAAGGGCATGTACATTGGTTGTGGGCACATCCCCGGTGTGGGGTGTGCAAGAGGCAGCTGATTGATATTTCTCTCTCATTGACGTTTCTAGCTCTCTCTCTCTCTCCCTTCCTCTCTGTAAAAAATCAATAAAATATATTTTTTTAAAAAGAACCTACAACCAAGATTACCCAGCAAAGCTATCATTCAGAATTGAAGGTCAGCTAAAGAGCTTAACAGATAAGAAAAAGCTAAAGGAATTCATCACCACCAAACCAGTATTATATGAAATGCTGAAGGGTATTCTTTAAGAAGAGGAAGAAAAAGAAAAAGGTAAATATAAAAAATTCTGAACAACAAAGTGACAACAAATACATATCAACAAGTGAATCTAAAAATCAAATGAATAAAAAATTTGATGAACAGCCCTAACTGATTTGGCTCAGTGGATAGAGCATCGGTCTGCAGACTGAAAGGTCCCAGGTTCAATTCTTGTCAAGGGCATCTGCCTTGGTTGTGGGCACATCCCCAGTAGGAGGTGTGCAGGAGGCAGCTGATTAATGTTTCTTTCTCATTGATGTTTCTAGCTATCCCTCTCCCTTCCTCTCTGAAAAAATCAATAAAATATATTTTTTAAAAATCTGATGAACAGAATAAACTGGTGAATAATAGAATCAGGGGCATGAAAATGGAGCAAATTGACAATTCTCAGGGTGAGGGAGCGTGGGGGGTACAGAAAAAGATTGGACAAAGATCTTACAGGCATATATGCAGTACATAGGGACGCAGACAGTGGGGTTGCCAGGGCCTGGGGTGGGGTAGGGTGGGGTGTGAACTGGGTGGAGGGGAGCTATGGGGGGGGGGGGGGAAATGAGGGATATCTGTAATAACCTGAACAATAAAAATTAAAAAATTAAAATACTTTTAATACTCACTTGGGTCAGGCATGTTTTTAGTCAAACACTGGAAACCAGGTATCTATGATATGAAAGGGAGAAAAAAAAAGCTATAATAAACAGCTTCATTACTACTTATACTTTGCTAATAAGAAAAGAGACACCTAGCCGAAACCAGTTTGGCTCAGTGGTAGAGTGTCGGTCTGCGGACTGAAAGGTCCAAGGTTCGATTCCAGTCAAGGGCATGTACTTTGGTTGCGGGCACATCCCCGGTAGGGGGTGTGCAAGAGGCAGCTGGTAGATGTTTCTCTCTCATCGATATTTCTAGCTCTCTATCTCTCTCCCTTCCTCTCTGTAAAAAATCAATAAAATATATTAAAAAGAAGAAAAGAGACACCTAATATGATCTTTATTTAATAAGTGTTTGCTTAGATTTTGAAATGAACCAGGTAAAGCACTATAGGATTATGTATGAATATACAATCCTCATAAATGTCATGTGTCTGTTAATCCATACCTAGCCAGCTCTGTAGGTCTCTATATAGAAATACTTGTAACTGTAGAGAGGGTTTTACTGAATGTGTTCTAGACAGAATGACCTGGAGCCAAACAGACTGTGGGCCAGGGAGTAGATAAAATGTAATACAGAAGGTTGGAGATCCCATCCTCTTGGACAGCTCTAGCCATGGTTTTCAGCCACAACCCAGGTATTTTATTTTAGCAACTTACTTCAGTGCTCAAGGGGTCAGCAACCCAGGAAGTAATCTTATTGTTTGGTTATGGAAGAGAGTTTAAAAAAACAAAACAAAAACCACAATTATGTTGCCACAGTGGAATGCCATTTCTACAAAGCTCACAAAGAAGCCAGATTAAACAATACATGTTTAAAGGATACAATAGAGGTTGCAAAAGTACTTTAAAAAAAAAGGAGAAAATGAAAATAAAATAAGGATGGCAGGGAAATGGGATGGAAGCACACAAATGGCTATTAGTAATGTTCTAGATTTTAGTTTGATGATGGATTCTCAGGAGGAAAAAACCATGCAGGTATCAAGGGACAGAGAGTTCCGGGTAGAACAAGAGGAAGCACGGGCCGAGACCAGTTTGGCTCAGTGGATAGAGCTTCCGCCTGCAGACTGATGGGACCTGGGTTCGATTCCAGTCAAGGGCACGTACCTTGGTTGTGGGCACAACCCCAGTGGGGGTTGTGCAGGAGGCAGCTGATAGATGATTCTCTCTTATCGATGTTTCTACCGTGTTCCCCCGAAAATAAGACATCCTCCAAAAATAAGACCTACTTACAGGTTTCCTTCTGAGTGAAATATAAGGCATCCCCCTGAAAATAAGGCCCCCCTAGGCTAAACATGAGAGATTTAGTCGACTGATTCTGAAAGAAATGGAGTCACAAGAAATTCACCAGGAAATTCAGGAATTGGATTGTTATGATGATGTTCCAGAAGATGATGACATGATTGTCATTGAATAAATGAGTAAATTCTTGATACTGTAGGATTCACAGTTTGTCTGGTTTGTGTTGACAACTACTGTACTACCGTACCGTATACAGGTAATAAATTTCCTTTATTTTCATTTAACAATGAATGTGTACCATATTCTTCTTCATGGAAAAATAAGACATCCCCTGAAAATAAGACCTAGCGCATCTTTGGGAGCAAAAATTAATATAAGACACTGTCTTATTTTTAGGGAAACAGGGTATCTCTCTTCCTCTCTGTAAAAAAATCAATAAAATATATTTTTTTAAAAAGAGGAAGCACGGGCTTATACATTATGATTCATAATTTGTATACATATTACACATATATTTTGTATACATTCATTAATATTACATGTTGAATTTTAAAGAATCTGAGCCAGGGAGCAAAGGGAACAGCTGTAAAGCTTTATGGGCACTCCCAAATCAACCAGCAGCAGATACCAGGAGGGGGAGGGGACTCGGTCTCCGCAGTTCCAAGAGGTGGTGCCTTGTTCTCTAACGACTAAGCCCTAAGGGAGTTTTATCGAAATTAAAAAGTGTAGCAAAGGGGAGAAATGAAAATACACAGGGCTTGGGGTTTAGGAGGAGTGGGGAGACACGTTCAAATTTCAGTCCTCCATCCCTTCCGTCCCCTCCAGCTCCAGGCTGATTTCCCAGCGCAGCGAGGTGTGTCTTACCTGATCCAGCCTCTTCTTCACCCAGCAATACCATCCGTCCTCGTCCGCCACATTCACGTCTCCGTTCCCGGGAACAATCACCACCTTGCAAGGAGAAGCCATGATCGCAGGTAAGCCAGACTACCCTGGCAGCCGATCCTGCAGTGCTCTGAGCCCAAAGGGAGCCTGCACTGCGGCATTCTGGGGATTGTAGTTCTAGGGGACCAATAGGGTTACTCCAGCCTTCCTTAACCCACAGGGCACCCAATGGATACCACCTTTTACAATACTTGCCTCTTACTGACATTCCCGTTCCCTCCTCCCTCCCTTAATTAAGACAGGTTGTGACATACCCAGAATGTGTTATTTCTTTACTAGAATTATTGATATTTCCATAGGAAAGTGTGCTTTTAGTTCAAATGTACAGAACACAGCCTATTTATTAGTTGAGGATTCCTGGAATCCTTATCATTTTTCCTTCTGATTTGAAAATAATTTTTAGTATAATAGTCGATTTCGGCTCTGGTTGTTATTTTTTATTACTTTAAACGTGTCCTTTAAAAGGTTTTACCGTTTGTGTAGAGAATATGAATAACAATAACTTAAACCAATTTAGAGACTAGGGAAACTTAGATAACAATGAAATGGTTTAGCCAAAACCGGTTTGGCTCAGTGGATAGAGCGTCAGCCTGTGGACTGAAAGGTCCCAGGTTTGTTTCCGGTCAAAGGCATGTACATTGGTTGCAGGCACATCCCTGGTGGGGGTTGTGCAGGAGGCAGCTGGTCGATGTTTCTCTCTCATTGATGTTTCTAGCTGTCTATCCCTCTCTCTTCCTCTCTGTGAAAAATCAATAAAATATATATATTTTTAAAAACGAAGGAAAAAAAAAACAATGAAATGGTTTGCCTATTATAATATGGCAATCCTGAAATTTTAGGAACTGGTCCTATCTTATATAGTCAAAGCTTATTGAACTGAGGTGGACAGAGTGTGTATTATAAATGGGAATGGAGAGGAAAGTACATGCTCTTCCCATGGACTTACTCACTGTGTACATTACATGTGTGTTAGCATCTGACATTGAGAAACACTCCAGCAGTTTATATTTTGAGCAGGTGCAGGTAGATGATCAATGATACACTGCCCCAGTATGTCTAGGAAGAGCAAGACTTCCTTTTCCCTCTTGGATCTTAGACTCCAGATTTTCTTTAAAAGATCAGTGTTACTGCCCTGACCAGTTTGTCTCAGTGGATAGAGCAACGGCCTGTGGACTGAAGGATCCCAGGTTCAATTCCGGTCAAGGGCATGTACCTTGCTTGTGGGCACATCCCCAGTATGGGGTGTGCAGGAAGCAGCTCGTCGATGTTTCTCTGTCATCAAAGTTTCTAACTTTCTATCCCTCTTTCTTTCTCAAAAGGATTATGTTGAGTGACAGATGCCCCCCCCCCCCAAAAAAAAAGAGAGTATGTACCATATGTTTCCACTTATTCAAAACTCTAAAAAAAAATAGATATATCAGAGACACAAGGAAACATTGCAGGGTGATATACACATTCCTTATTTTTGTTTTTATAATCCTCGCCCAAGGAGGATATTTTTTCATTGATTTTTAGAGAGAGTGGAAGGGAGGGAGGAAAGGGGGGTAAGGAAAAGAGAAAGAGAGAGAGGGGGGAGAGAGAAAGAAACATTGATGTGAGAGAGACACTTTGATTGGTTGCTGCAACCCCCATGCACCCCAACTTGGGCTAGGGATCAAACCCATTATCCTTTGGTGCATGGGCTGACACTCTAATCACTGAGCTAATCAGCCAGGGCTACAGATTTGTTATCTTGATTGCAGTAGTGTCAAAATTTAACAAAGTGGACGGGGGTTGGGGAAAAAGACTTGTATGCATGCATATAAGCAGAACACACCAATGGATGCAAGACACTAGGGGGGTGGGCTGAGGACATGTGCCAGGGGGATCGGGTGGCGGGGGGGAAGGTCAATGGGGAAATAAAAGGAGACATATGGCTGAAACTGGTTTGGCTCAGTGGCTAGAGCGTCGGTCTGCGGACTAAAAGGTCCCAGGTTCGATTCCGGTCAAGGGCATGTACCTTGGTTGCGGGCACATCCCCAGTAGGGGGTGTGCAAGAGGCAACTGGTTGATGTTTCTCTCTCATCGACGTTTCTAGTTCTCTATCCCTCTCCCTTCCTCTCTATGAAAAATCAATAAAAAATATTTTTTAAAAAAAGGAGACATATGTACTAATATTTGTAATTCTTTAAACAATAAAAAACAAAATGAAGTATGAAAAAAAGCATTGTTCTATTCATAATAAAAAAATAAAAAACAAAAACAAATTTAACAAATTGTATATTTTAAATTTGTACAACTTATGTATCTCAATAAAATTGTTTAAAACTTAAAAATAAATTAAAACAACCAGAGGCATTCCTATAGCTAAGTGGTGGTTTGTTTGGTGGTTTTCAGTTCAAAAAATGATGGCAAGAACTGAAGGCTGGAAAACGATATATCCTTCCTTTGGGCTTGTTTTAAGATTTGTCTGTCTTGGGGGAGGGAGGGAGGGGGCAAAAAAAAAATCATTAAAATATGTATAAATAAATAAATTAATTAATTAAAAAAAAAAAAAAGATTTGTCTGTCTTCTCACTCATAGGTTGGTTAGCTCTTACTTTGAGAAGGGAAAAATTAAGGCAATGGCCTCAACTCTCAACTTTCTCAAATTGTTTATACCAATAACGCTTGTAGAGATTATATATTTACACATAAATCCACCTTTTCTACTTTTTATCTCTCTCTCTCTCTCTCTCTCTCTCTCTCTCTCTCTCTCTCTCCTTTTTATTTCTTGTACAAACTTTTTCTGAGCTTGTCATTATCAGAGAAGAAATAGTTTGGTTTCAAAACAACATTTTTATGAATTTTTAAATATCTGAAAATGCACAATTTATATTAAGCATATCATTTGAAAGAGCTGCTCACAGAAAAACCAAGATAGTGGCATAGGTAAACACCTGAACTTGCTGCCTCGCACAACCACTTCAAAACTACAACTAAAAGACAAAACAGACATCACCCAGAACCATGAGAAGGCTGGTTGAGTGGAAATTATACAACTAGAAGGAAAGAGAAAAACAGAGAAAAATACTGGTTTGGTGGTGATGAACTCCTTTAGCTTTTAGCTTTTTCTTATCTGTGAAGCTCTTTATCTGACCTTCAGTTCTGAATGATAGCTTTGCTGGGAAAATTAATCTTGGTTGTAGGTTCTTGCTATTCATTACTTTGAATATTTCTTGCCACTCCCTTCTGGCTTGCATAGTTTCTGTTGAGAAATCAGCTGACAATCGTATGGGTGCTCCCTTGTAGGTAACTGTTTTTCTCTAACTGCTTTTTTTAAAAAATATATTTGTATTGATTTTTTACAGAGAGGAAGAGAGAAGGACAGAGAGTTAGAAACATCAATGAGAGAGAATCATCGATCAGCTGCCTCTTGCACACCCCCTACTGGGGATGTACCCAAAACCAAGTACATGCCTTTGACCGGAATCGAACCCGGGACCTTTCAGTCCGCAGGCCGACGCTCTATCCACTGAGCCAAACCAGTTCCGGCCAAGAGGTCCTCTTTTTAATGAATGAGTTATGTAGAAGCTTTGACATGTTCTTATCTTATATTTGTATGCAGGGCATAATTTTCCCTTTTTGAAACTTTAACAATTTTTGAGGTTGCACCAACATCCCAATGTATCCACTTGATAAAACCAGGGAAATCATGTTGCTAAAGAACATGAAATCAAGTTAGTACATCTCTTAAAGGGGTTCTGTGTGAATGGCTTATTAAGATAAATACAGTTATATAAATTACCTGTTCCTTAAAGTCCCAGAAAATAAAACAGCTAAACTTCCAATACTCTAAATGTGCTAGATTTTTTTTAAAAAAGCCTTCTTACAGAAATTTCTAGTACAGAATCTGGATTCATGTAATCAAAGCAAATCTTTGCAAAGTTATACTTAATGTTTGATTAACAAAACACCTATGTCTTCCCTCAATGTAAAGTATAATGCATGTATTTATTTGAGCTCAATTCCTGAGAGAGTAATTAATTTGAATGTCCTAAATTTATAGAAGTGTAACGATCAAATGAACTAACATTACTCTTACATAATGTTTTAGGAACATGTAAATTGAGAAATGTAAATTTGCTCAACAAAACCGAATCATTATTCTGACAAACATTAACAGTAATTTTCATAGTACATTGACTTAAATGAATTTTAAAACTCTATAATACCAAATTGAGCTAATTAATTATAATTCTTGGATGCCTAGATATATTCTAAGCATAAATTTAAGCATAGTTTTATATGCTACAGAGAGGCTATATATCTCTGGGTCAGATTAATAACCTTAATCTCATTTTTGCCTTTTATAAAATGGTGTAAAACAGTTTTGGTGCCTGTAGAAGTTGCACTCTGCATAGTTATGAGGTTCATTTAGTCATCTAAAGTGCTTGACTATGATCCTAACCAGTTTTGCTCAGTGGATAGAGCATCAGCCTGTGGACTCAAGGATTCTGGGTTCGATTCCAGTCAAGGGCATGTACCTTGGTTGAGGGCACATCCCCAGTAGGGGGTGTCCAGGAGGCAGCTGATAGATGTTTCTCATCAATGTTCCTAAATCTCTATCCCTCTCCCTTCCTCTCTGTAAAAAAAAAAAAAAAAAATCAATAAAACATATATTTTTTTAATAAAATAAAGTGCTTGACCATGACAATTCTCAATTATTCACTGCCTCACAGGACAGGGATAGAAAAGCAGAGAAACTGTGCTTCTAGGGCAGTCTTCGCAGAGAGCATGCCATCAGGGAGAGCGAAAGGAGGAAACCTTGCGATGCGAGGAAGCAGAACCAAACCTGTGGCATTTATGATGAATCTTTTCTTTTTTAATATTTGATATTTATTTATTTTACATACAGAGAGATAGCATTCTGTCTTTTTTTAATTTAATTTAATTGTTTAGCAATCTGTCTTAAGGTATATGGCTTAAATGACCTATTCATGGAAGTTCACTTAATCCAACTTAATGAAACCTATGTCCTTCGTGTACTGACGTTACCACCACTGGCGGCACATGTTGAAGTCATATTTCCGAACCAGACCGCGCCGGTTTGAGCAGACGCGTCAGGAACGAGAACCGTGGCCGAATTTCCTCGGACGGCTCCAGGAGAATCGCTGGCGACCCATCTTTCTCTCTCTGCAGCAATGCAGCAAAAGGCACCATGAATCTTAACCAGACCCAGAGACCTGCCTCCACACATCTGGGC